ATCTGGCTTGTCTTGACCTCGACGTACGTCTGCATCTGGGCGATCTGGCTTGTCCTGACGTACCGTACGTCCGCATCTGGCTTGCCTTGGTGTACGTTTGCATCTGGCTTGCCTTGGTGTACGTTTGCATCTGGGTGATCTGGCTTGTCCTGACGTACCGTACGTCCGATTAGGCATCTTCCACTTTGATCGTAAAGAGCGCGCAATTCAGTATTGATCATTGGGCATCGGCTATATAGATCGTAAAGCACGTGTGTTTGTGACGATCGCCAGGCATCAATCGTAAAGTACATGTGCCTGTGTCAATCATGCAGCATTGGTGAGGGTTACACTTCCGTTTTTAGCAAGCATATTGGCAACTTTCTTTCCTGGCATACTGGCGTACATCCGAAAACGAACCTCCGGCGTACACGCTGCACCTTCCTGACCATGGTGAATGCGCGGCAACGCTATCACACACGAACAAATATCTGCATCACGTTGACTAGATTTCTAACGTGTTAACTCAGGTTCTAAGAGTTGGCAATGTTCTCAATAATTATTCATAGATCACAATTCGGTTGGAAATTAATTACAAAACTGAATAGAAGAAGGCAACAATCCACATGGCTTGAGATCAACTCCTTTTAACGAAGGACTTACTTACTTGGTTAAGATACGGCGCAGCACCGACGAAGGTATTGGCGCCCAACGAAGGACTGACTTTGGCAAATAGTACAAACCCGAATGTCAATGTCAGGAATACGTTGCGTTCCCGACATCCTCCCGGCTGGAGAAATGGGTTTGTGCGGTGCAAACCCATTGAAAACAAAAATACATGCACTGCACTTTTTTTATATTGTCAGTTCTCATTTTTCGCAACTTTGAAGGTTAATTATATAGACTAACAACAAACATTAATAAAATATGAATAGCTTCAAGGGACTCGTACGTCTCAGACAAATTTACGGCCAGACTTTGTACCTGAAATATCTCCCAAAGTACTGAACATAGCTTGATGAAACTTGGTTCACATATTCATTATGGCCTAACGGTGATGTCAAGCGCGTGACAATTCTTTTTAATATCGCCTACGTTCGTGAGTTCTATGACGAAACGTGCCGAAATTTGCAGTGTACCAGATATTTCTTCTCAAATACTGAACAGATTTGAACGAAACTTTGCATATAGAAACCTAACCTCCCAACGGTGTGATGTTTAGCTCGTGACAATTTTTTTACGTTTTGCCTTTGTTGGCGAGTATTTTTCTCTTTTCCCTCATTCGTGATTTAAAAAGTAAATTTGTATTTAAATTCGCAGTGTACCAGAGATTTCTTCTAAAATACTAAACATATTTGAATGAAACTTTGCATAGAGAAACCTAACTTCCCAACGGTGATGTTTAGCTCATGATAATTTTGTCAATTTTGCCCGTTTGCGAGTTATACGGCTTTATGTATATGGCTCTTGGTCAATGCAAGTTCAAAAATTGGCCTGAGAAATGCTGGTCGTTTCTCCATATAACTCGCAAATGAAGGCAAAATCGAAAAAATTGTCACAAGCTAAACATCACCGCTGGGAGGCTAGGTTTCTATATGCAAAGTTTCATTCAAATCTGTTCAGTATTTTAGAAGATATCTCTGGTACACTGCGAATTTAAACACAATTTTGCTGTTTAAATCACGAGTGAGGGAAAAGAGAAAAATACTCGCCAACGAAGGCAAAACGTAAAAAATTGTCACGAGTTAAACATCACACCGTTGGGAGGTTAGGTTTCTACATGCAAAGTTTCATTAAAATCTGTTCAGTATTTTAGAAGAAATGGCTGGTACACAGGTCTCAGACAAATTTACAGCCGGACTGGCAGCCGGTCTCGCGGCCAAAAGGTTTTCTTAGTGTTTTTATGAGTTTTTCTAGGTATTATGTGTTTTTAATGGAACCTGTTCCTAACTGGACCTAACCTGCAAGGTTTTCGTTGATTGGCTAGGTTTTTTCTATGTTTTTAGTCCAGCGGCCGCGAGACCGGCCGTAAATTTGTCCGAGACTTAGTGGTACACTGCAAATTTCGGTACGTTTCGTCATATAACTCATAAATGAAGGCGATATTAAAAATAATTGTCACAAGCTTGACATCACCGTTAGGCCATAATGAATATGTGTACCAAGTTTCATTGAACTATGTTCAGTACTATTGGAGAAATTTCAGGCAGAGTCCAGCCGCGAAACCGGCCGTAAATTTGTCCGAGACGTTATTACATGACGATGAAGCAGCATTGCGTAAAAGTATGTAAAGACAATGTTGGGAATTTCTGATGACAGTTACGTATGTCAGGACATATTTTATTTACAAAAGATTTCGCACTCAAAACTATTTTCCCATTAATTACAATGATTAAATTATTTCTGACTCCTTTCATTAACCGTAGAATCTCTAATAACCCTATCAGCGCAATAATAGTATATATAGAACGAGCAAAACCTGTCATTTAACACTAATATTTGTTTACTTCATATGTCCAATTTCTGAGGACTTGGTTATTCACCACTTGCCTCACGTCCGGACTGAATATTGCCTCACGTCCGGACCGGAGGGTCTACGGAAGGTAAACAAACACAAACGATGTTCACCAGTTCGTATAAGAAATTTGTAGAAAATTTCTTCGAAAATAAATTTCTAGATTTTTGCTTTTACAAAATTTCCATATCAAGGAAAATCATAGATTATTGATGGATAATTAGATGCATATTAATTATTAAGTATTATACATTTTCTGTCTCTTGTCCCTTGACAAAATGTATGTGCGCCCTACGCCGACGCTTGCACGCGCTGCGCCGACGCTTGCACGCTCTGCGCCAACGCTTGCGCGTGCAAGCAGGGATGGCCAGAAGTTGCACCAACTGTGCGCCGCAATAGCTTGAAAAAAGTCAAAATGCGCGGGAAAATTCCCTGAAAACATACATAATCCTGAGTGTGGCCATGGTCAGGAAGATGTGCCAGGTGCGCGGGAATTTATATTGTCATTTTAACGACCTGCGCGGTGCGCCATACTATGCCGGTAAAAAAAATGCGCCGTGCGCCAACAGCGCCGTACTTTTAGAAAGCTAAAATAGTTTAAATATGGACGCGCGGCAATGCAAATTACGTAATCACACTGTACCGTACACACAAACGTGTATCCGCACTGTGTTGTGGTTGGATACGAGTTAACTAGATTGCTACCGAATGAAAACTTGCGGTAAACTTGCGGTTCCAAAAATGGCGGGAAAGCTCTAATCGCGCCGCTCTGAAGGCAATTTATATAAATAATAATATAATCCACGCCTACGCTGGAGGAAGTTAAAACTTCAGAGGTGGAACTAAATGCAGTAAATTTGCAGTAAATCAGAAAATACCAGATTTAGGCATATATACCAGATCTAAAATATTCATACCAGACAGTCAGACACCTTTTGAAAATACCAGATTTGTGAAATCTGGTATAGAAATATACCATCTGGCAATGCTGGTTCAGCGTTACTTGAAATCATCTACAGACGATGTTGCCATTCCATTCAGATGCAAACTGTGTCTAAATCAGAACTGTGTCGCACGGCTCCGCGGCCCGCGCCGAGTGCTGCGCGGCGCGGAATCGATGACCGTTATTTGCACGAGTCTGCGCGAAAAAAATATAATTAGATTGATTTACGCGAGAAATTTCCCCGTTTATATACATCTTCCTGAGTGTGGATCTATTAGTATTACTAACAGTACTTTGAAGTCCTCCTCTTCCATTGTAGATGATGTAGATGTAAAATAAATGACATTTTCAGATTTTCTGTGATTTTTACTTGTTTTTCCTTTATTGTTATTGATATTATATAACCATATTCATTAATTACCGTATTATTAATGTGATATTACTATATCCATGGACATGCCATTGAGCATTGACAATGACCTTGTCCACTGCAAGCTTCTTGTCAGCAGCCATGTAGCATTTCTTCTGTATCTGTAAGCTTACACAGGTTGATTATGCCCCATTTTCTAGTCAGGTTTGCCACTATGCCATAGGGGATGGATTCGACTGCATTTTTCTGCATTTGCTCCATATTCAGGAAGAGCAGATTAGAGCATTGCAATGTTTCTGGGTTTATCTGTAAATAATGTTACAGAAAATTGACAGGAATTGAGTTTCATTGAGTGGAGAAGGAAAAATAGAACAAATTGATCAAATTAAATATTTATTACTTTAGAATTTCGTAACTTTACAAAGTTCAGAAAGAACTTATTTGTAACTTTAGAAAGTTTAGAATGATGGTAGTATTTTTTTTGGCTATTTTAGAATCTTAATTTAATATATTTCAACATTTAGCTTATTAGTACCTAGTTTTTTTTAACTTGTATTATTGAACTGTATGCTGGTCACCTTAATTTATATTATAGGTATATACCTTATGTGTGAGATTCATTTTGCCTATACATGACTTGCCTCGTGATCTGTTTGTGTACATGGTATTACATATCTATATAAATTAGCATTAGATGGCATTTTTTCTTATTGAAATATGTATAAATAATGACCAGTAAATGCAATCTATTCCAATTTGCAGGAAATCAAAATTCTTCAGATGACGTTAATAGATCAAATACTTATGTCCACCAAAATTTCCTTCTTCAATGCTTCTATTAACTTGAAAATGAATGTTGATACATTCGAAACCTTGTTAAACATACCGGTATTATAAATCCTTGCTGAGACCTGCGTTTTGATCTATTAACATTGTCGGAAGAATTTTGATTCCCTGCAAATTGGAATATAATGCATTCACTGGTCATTTTTTCTATGCGTGTCTATATAAATGTAAATGCTTGGTTGCATGGCTACATCTTTACCTGCATTGCTGTGCTCAAATGTTCAATTTCATTTGCTCATTGTATTTTTTTTAATGAACAGCTATCTATTTGAATTTTCATTGTCCTAAACTCTAGTCATCCTGTATCAGAGTTAAGTTTTTCTAACTTAATTATCTCAAAGTGCCAGGGCACAGGACAACTAAATAGCTGATTAGTCAGCTTGTTAAAAATATAAGTGTTATGCAAATTTGTATCTTCAAAAGAAAAACTCATAATTGACTAAATTAAGCTCTCAATCATTCATTATAGGTTTTGTAGGGAATCAGTGGTATGTGCTATAAAGAACATGAAAAATGTGTTGTATGGAGTATTTTTTGATAACATCAGCAAATTTTATGCACAAATTGTGATAGATTGGCTTCTGAATTAAATTTTCATCTTTAAATTGAAGTTTCCATGAGAACACTATCAAGTATTTTATTTCACTTAAAAAGTTTTTGTGATTGTTTGTATTGAATTAATGTCAGTATTGATTAAATAAAGAAAAATGGATGTCTCCTCCGTATTGGTTCATTCTACAAACTACAAGAACACAGTTCGGCAGCTTGACTACTACTATGGTGTTGGTGAGTCTTTTAATCCTTAACATTCTGAGATGGCAGCTCACAGAATTTGGAAATTGAAATAGAATTTATTCCATTACCTGATGATTGATTGTTGACAATTATTTCTATTGAGCTGTTTGTATAATCTTGAAAACATGTCAAAATAAAATAAGCTTAAGATAACTTCACTGGAGTAAAATGATTATGAATACATTACAGATTTATTGAAAAGAGAAGGAATAGATAGCATTAAATTTAATTTATTATAGTCATGATTTGTAACTTAATTATATACCTACCTATCCAAAATAATTCATGTGTTCTAGGTGTCAACTCAAATTAGCTAAGATTTTTTTGAAGAAAATTTAATCTGACCTTGATTGTAATGATGACTATGCATCAATTTTTTTCCTGTGTTGAACAGAAGTTCTTTTGCTAAATTAATCCCTCTTTTTAGCGCATTTTCTCATTTATGGAAAAAATGCATTATTGTAGCGCCATGTCCATCTGTCTGTCTGTCTGTCTGTCCGTCTGTCCGTGACCTCAAGTTTTTGTCAACAAGAAAATGCGCTCTCTGTCACTCACTGCAGTGAGTACTGAGTTATATTTTTTCCTACAGTTAAGCGGCAAATCCTCCACTACCAGAGCCCAACCAACGGTCTGTTCCCTGCCTGCTCTAGTGACACTCATGTCGCTGACCTCAGAACAAGCGTCTATTGCTCCATGGCCATCTGGAGCCTCTATCAGTCATACAGGTGTAATACTGAGCCTTCATATCAGTTGATAGCTTTAGTCATAACATTATGATATATTGTGCTAAATTGTTTAAAGTTGAGTCTTTATCAACCATACAGGTGTACTGAGCCTTCATATCATTTGATAGCTTTAGTCATTACATTATGACATACAGGTGTACTACTAATGTAGTACACCTGTGTACTACTAATGTACTACTAATGTAGTACACTACTCATACAGGTGTAATACTGAGCCTTCATACCATTTCATACCATTTCAGTCATAACATTATGATATATTGTGCTAAATTGTTTAAAGTTTTATGGTTCCTCTATCAGTCATACAGGTGTACTACTGAGCCTTCAAATCATTTAGTAGCTTTAGTGATAACATTCTCATATATTGTGCAGAATTGTTTAAAGTTGAGCCTCTATCAGTCATACAGGTGTAATACTGAGCCTTCATATCAGTTGATTGCTTTAGTGATAACATTCTGATATATTGTGCAAAATTGTTTAAAGTTGAGCCTCTATCAGTCATACAGGTGTACTGATCCTTCATATCAGTTGATAGCTTTAGTCATTACATTATGACATACAGGTGTACTACTAATATAGTACACCACCTGTAATAATAAAGTTAATAATTAAAGCTACAGGTGTACTACTAATGTAGTACACTACTCATACAGGTGTAATACTGAGCCTTCATATCAGTTGATAGCCTTAGTCATAACATTATGATATATTGTGCAAAATTGTTTAAATTTTTATGGTTCCTTGACAATTCTAATTAGTTTTGAGGGAGTAAATCAAATGCTGTAGGTAAGTCAAATGTTTGATGCCAATATTTTGCAGGATTAAAGTTAATGAATATAATTCTGTTCCAACTTGTAATAATATTAGAAGTACCGGTAAATAGTTTTAATATTAGAAGATTCATAACTTCGGGTATAAGACATATAGATTTAAGTTAATCTAGTGTAATTCATATACTGAGCAAGTTTAATTGAATACCAGAGAATTTGTTTTATTGACAATTTACTTATTAGTTTTTCAATATATTGAACAATATTTTTTGTTTGCACTGGTAAATCAATAATCAGGGAACCAATGGACATTATTCTTTTGAAAACAACATTTTGAATGTACGTATCCATCATTCATTATCAAGTTACAAGACGCATTGAGTGATGACATTTGTATCAACATAAGTAGGTACAAAATCATGTAAATAGGATACTACTCAGATCTTCATATTTTCATGATTTTGTGTTTATTTCTAACCAAATTGATAGTTAGGCAAATAAACAACTGTAGTCTAAGTGTCCAGCAATTATTACTTAATATTCAACTTATAACGACTTCATGTCAATCATCAGAACTTGAAAGAGCGATTGTGTGCCTGAAACAAATTTTTTAATAGTCCTCACCTAAATATAATTCACACTTCTACCTGCCTTCATGCTCACTATTTTCATCAAGTTAATTTCCTAAGGATACTATAATTCATATATCTACCTGCCTTCATGCTCACTATTTTCATCAAGTTAATTTCCTAAGGATACTATAATTCATATTTCTACCTGCTTTCATATTCAGTATTTACATCAATTTAATTTCCTAAGGCGCATTGACGACGACCATGGCAAAGCCTACGAACTGGGCGGATCGTGCGTGAAGTGCATGCGTGGCATCCTGAGCTGCTGGATGCGTCAGAGCGAGCGTGTTGAGCTCTTCAAACAAGGCCAGGCTGGCAAGTACGCTCTGCACAGCAAGTTCCATCTCATTACTGGTGAAGAAGTCTGCTCAACTGGCCAGTTTGAACATCTCCAGGTATTGCCAGAGTGATTCATAGGGGTTTCAAATTGAAATAAAATTGTCATTTCTTGCAAACATTGACTACACCCTATCACTTACTTGCCAGAGTGATGTCATCGTTGTTTCAATTTGAAATAATCTGCCTATGCAACTCTTGCAAACATTGAATTGTTTCAATTTAAAAATAATTTGCTCTTGCAAACATTGTCTATATGTACATATATACACCCTATCACTTACCTTTATATCTATTTGCATGCGCAGTGTAGGCCATGAATGACTCATTTAATCATATGCAACAGCTGGACGTGATAGCTGTGTACCTGATAGCGCTGGTGCATGCAAACATTGACTATACGTATATACACACTATCACTTACCTTTTTATCTGTATTTACATGCGCATTATTGGCCATAAAATAACTCATATAATCATGTGCAACAGCTGGACGTGATTGCTGTGTACCTGATAGCGCTGGTGCAGCTCACGGCGTCAGGTCTACACATCATCTACACGATGGACGAGGTCGCGTTCGTGCAGAACCTCGTCTACTACATCGAGCGCTCCTACCGCACCCCGGACTTTGGCATCTGGGAGCGCGGCAGCAAGAACAATGATGGCACCCCTGAGCTGCATGCCAGGTTAGAGGGGCGGCGATGGCACCCCTGAGCTGCACGCCAGGTAAGAGGGGCGGCGATGGCCTAGAGTGGCTGGCTTGTTTAGTGTTATTAATGTAATTTAAGATCTTGAGGAAGTCGAATAATTTAAGCTGAAATGAACGAATTGGATACGCTTTATGGTTAGCCCCTACAAGGAAAATTAAAAAATTATTAGGATTCAGTATGAGTAGCAAACCTTTAGTTGATCATTTAAACTGGCATCGTACAGTATCATTTAAAACACTTGTGACTCCATAACTTCGTCAGCCAATCGCCAACGATTTAACCTGCTAACCAAGACATCACGGATGGCATATCCGACCATACTTATCTTATCTCCCACAATTAACATATACATATTCATTAGCCTGTCTCACAGTATGTACATCGTACACTCTAAGACTGAAAAACCTTGTTCCAAGCGCGTGCACATTTTAGTCTCGCTCGTGTATTAAGTTCTCTACTCTGAATTGTCAACACCACCATAGCACTTGTATGTTTTCCTATTCAAAATACATATCATCAGAGCTCATAATTTTAGCCTAGCTGCATATTCTATGTCCAATTCTGTGAGCAGCTCCATAGGCATGGTGAAGGCTGCTCTTGAAGCCATCAACGGATGCAATCTGTTCGGTGACCGCGGCGCCTCGTGGTCCGTTATCTTCGTGGACATCGACGCGCACAACCGCAACCGCAGCATCTTTGAGACGCTGCTGCCCAAGGAGTCCAACTCAAAGGTGACGACACTAGCGGGCTCTTGGGGGACTTGTTTAAATGGTTCTCTTTAATGTTTGTGGACGCTGCTGCCCAAGGAGTCCAACTCGAAGGTGGTAGCGGGCTCTTGGGGGACTTGTTTTAAATGGTTCTCTTTTAAATGTTTAGAGACGCTGCTGCCCAAGGAGTCAAACTCGAAGGTGGCCACTGGCGGGCTCTTGGGGGACTTGTTTTAAATGGTTCTCTTTAATGTTTTGAGACGCTGCTGCCCAAGGAGTCAAACTCGAAGGTGGCGCGACTAGTGGGCTCTCGGGGGACTTGTTTTAAATGGTTTATTTTAAATGTTTTAATTTACGAGTATCTCACTGTCGGTTAATTATGTGTTTGAATTATATTGTTCATATGAATTTTTATATGATTTTATGTACTTATAATCTTCACGACTGGTAATAGTTTAGTGGGAAATCGATTCTATTATTCATGTTATTAAAACTTGATAAACTATTAGAAAAAATATCACCAATTTAATTAACTTCACACAGTGAAGTTAATGCCCTCAGTATGACCGAAAATATTGAAACACCTCTCAGCACCAGAACACTGCCGTACTAACGCGTTCCCTTTTATTCCAGAACGTGGATGCATCGCTGTTGTTTGCTCTCTCGTTCCCCTCGTTCGCGACGCACGACACCATGCTTTACTCCACCACCAAGGAGAGGGTTAGTCGGGCGCTGGGTCCTGACCAATATTGTTCGATTGCGACTGTTGTGATGTCAGTCGGGCGCTGGGTCCTGACCAATATAGTGTGTTGATTGTGGCTATTGTGATGTTAGTCAGGCGCTGGGTCCTGACCAATATAGTGTGTTGATTGTGACTATTGTGATGTCAGTCACACGCTGGGTCCTGACCAATATAGTGTGTTGATTGTGGCTATTGTGATGTTAGTCGGGCGCTGGGTCCTGACCAATATAGTTCGATTGTGGCTATTGTGATGTCAGTCTGGCGCTGGGTCCTGACCAATATAGTGTGTTGATTGTGACTATTGTGATGTCAGTCACACGCTGGGTCCTGACCAATATAGTGTGTTGATTGTGGCTATTGTGATGTTAGTCGGGCGCTGGGTCCTGACCAATATAGTTCGATTGTGGCTATTGTGATGTCAGTCTGGCGCTGGGTCCTGACCAATATAGTGTGTTGATTGTGACTATTGTGATGTCAGTCGGGCGCTGGGTCCTGATCAATATAGTGTGTTGATTGTGACCATTGTGATGCTAGTCGGGCGCTGGGTCCTGACCAATATAGTGCGCTGATTGTGTCTATTGTGATGTCAGCGAACCCTCTCATCCTCACGTCTATGTCAGCCTCCTGAACCAAGAGCAGGGGTCGGCTACTGTGCTACATGGCCAGCTTCGTTGCTGCATGAAATGCACTCGTCTTACTAGTGGCGCTATAGTATTAGCTTTAATTGTTGTGTAAGGAAAGATCGGAGTTAAGAACAGATAATTTGTACAATTGTTCAGTGCTGTTCATAAGAATCATAGGAGTCAGATTTGTGCTACAATACAACTATAGTTCTCAAATTTCCTGAGCCAGATTCACTGCGTTCGAAACAATGATCAATGCAAGGACCCAATCTTTTTGGAGGTTTTCCTTTATGGGTTTCTCATCAGGAATTTCCGAGCGTTAAACCTCCCTGATGTCACGTTGGTCTGGTACTTAGTTAAGTTTCCATTCTTAAGGACCCAATCTTTTAGGAGGTTTTCCTTTATGGGTTTCGCTACAGGAATTTACGAGCGTGAAACCTCCCTGATGTCACGTTGGTCTGGTACCTTGCTAAATTTCCATTCTTTCATCGAGACGAAAACCAACTTCTGCCTCACTACTTCTCAAGTTCGATGTTTGATCTTGCTAATTTATTCTGAACTACAGATCGTGAGGCTGCTAAAAGGCAGCTATGGCTTCAAGAGGTTCGAGAGAGATGGCTTTGGCTCGGTGCTGGAGGACAAAACCCGCCGCCACTACCACAAGGGAGAAACTAAGGTCTGTATTGCTCGAACAAAAATTACTATAACTAAGAACATCTGATGTACTTATCTCTTACAAGGTGATCGCAACGGCATCACTAACTTCTCTGAATTCCCAATTTCAATGTTGTGGCTAGCGAGTTTTGTGCAAAATCTATGAGTATCTGTGTATGAAAACTGCATTTGGCTAAAGTCTTCTAGATAACCTAATAAAAATTATAAGTAATCTTTACTCTAATGATGGTAACGACAGTAACTCGCGTTTCCAGACTACCAGACCTCTCGTTACCATCCTTGGCACCGGCCAACTCATTCGTAAACAAAATATTTTAGTCCTAAGAAATATTAAGCTTCTCTATTATTTGCCATGGTTTATTTTAGCCTTACTTACACTGCTCCCTCATCAGGAGTTCGAGGGCGTGGAGTGCGAGTGGCCGATGTTCCTGCTGCTCATGGTCATCGAGGGCGTCTTTAAGAACAACGAGAAGCAAATAGAGGAATACCGCAGCGCTCTCAAGCAGCTCTACAAGACCGACAAGAACGGAGGTGCGTCTATACTATATATACCGCAGCGCTCTCAAGCAGCTCTACAAGACTGACAAGAACGGAGGTGCATCAATGACTTCTATGCAAATCTTTATAAATAAACCTGTCGGGATAATTCAAGTTTTCATGAATAATTTCATTTAATGACGAAAATTTCAGTCTTAGCAATTGAACAGGACCAAAGAAAGCATTGACTCGTTAGAAGTGTACCGGCATGTTCCCTTGAAGTGATCACACACGTCACTGTGTGAGAGAAAGGTCTATTCTGACGCCAGTTAAGGTCCCTATTGTCAAGATTACCTTTATAAATTTTATTGCAATTAATGTTCTGGAGAACCATATCGCTATTCCTGTATGCATTGTCAGCACAACGTCTTCATTTATAGGCTTCATTTACACACTTCGGTAAAATACTTGAAGAAATATATCCTCCCATGAACAGTTATGCTGGCTTGTCATTTTGCTGTCCAATTAATTTTATTTGGGAGATGATTTCGGTGTAAAATTATTTTTAATTCGCATCTTTTATGTGGGATAATTGCCTTAGTTCTCCTATTATTATCTGCATTTGAAGGCTTTTAGTAATACTAGTTCTCTGTGCTGCAGCATCGATTTTTAGTTTTACGCTTAGTCCTGGGGAATAAAGTTCTAATATAGAATGATGTGTGGTCTGTATTGTGCAGACGTGGTGGTGCCCAAGTATTACTACGTGCCTAAAGACTATGATAAACATGTGTATTGTGTGTGGTCTGTATTGTGCAGACGTGGTGGTGCCCAAGTATTACTACGTGCCTAAAGACTATGATAAACATGTGTATTATGTGTGGTCTGTCTTGTGCAGACGTGGTGGTGCCCAAGTATTACTACGTACCTAAAGACTATGATAAACATGTGTATTGTGTGTGGTCTGTCTTGTGCAGACGTGGTGGTGCCCAAGTATTACTACGTACCTAAAGACTATGATAAACATGTGTATTATGTGTGGTCTGTCTTGTGCAGACGTGGTGGTGCCCAAGTATTACTACGTACCTAAAGACTATGATAAACATGTGTATTGTGTGTGGTCTGTCTTGTGCAGACGTGGTGGTGCCCAAGTATTACTACGTACCTAAAGACTATGATAAATATGTGTATTATGTGTGGTCTGTGTTGTGCAGACGTGGTGGTGCCCAAGTATTACTACGTACCTAAAGACTATGATAAACATGTGTGGTCTGTATTGTGCAGACGTGGTGGTGCCCAAGTATTACTACGTGCCTAAAGACTACATCGAGTTGGAGCGAGAACAGCCGGGCACTCAGGTGAGTATTACTTGTGCTCGAGGTCGTGGATGGCCTTATGGCCTTATGCAACACACCACACGGTATCATGTATACCCTTATGGCCTTATGCAACACACCACACGGTATCATGTATACCCTTATGGCCTTATGACTGCATGATGAGTTCGGGACTTCCTAGTCCCTGGTCACGCTGATGCGTCGCCTTGATAGCCATGATTGTCTACATCAAGTTGGAGCTGTATTTCCTAAAACAGGTCATAGGTCTAAACAAATTCTAAATTTCCTAAAAGAGGTCTAAAACAGGTTTTTCCCACGCGTTATCAAGTTAGTACTGCTTTCCTCAACGTTAATCCTGTTTTCCCGAAGTTAGGTGACTTCTCTTGTTACAACACCCAAAATCTTATGTTATAATTTCCATAAAACATACGGTAATGTTCTTAAAACAGAATATCTATCCCCTAGTATTCATAATACTTAACAACCTCCTTCAAGGTTATATCTTTACTACTTTTTTCTGCCTATTACAACTTATTACGATGTTGAGAGTACCTACCTTATTTAATGAGAACAATGTTACTGCCTATCACAACTTATTACGATGTTGAGAGTACCTTGTTTAATGAGAACAATGTTACTGCCTATTACAACTTATTACGATGTTGAGAGTACCTTATTTAATGAGAACAATGTTGCTGCCTATTACAACTTTTTACGATGTTGAGAGTACCTTATTTAATGAGAACAATGTTACAGTTACGCATGGCGAGCGTGCACGGCAGCGCCACGAACCTGTTCCTGATGGGACAGTCCCTGTTCCTGATCGCTGAGCTGCTCACGCACGACCTGCTGCACATCAACGAGCTCGACCCCATCAGGAGATACTTGCCCTCCTACAACCGCCCTAGGAAGGGAGGCCGCTACTCTGCCTTCCAGGTACTGCCGTGTTGTGGGGCGTGACCATAGTGTAGGGCAGGTGTTGTGGGTGCACAGGTGTTGTGGTGTAGGACAGGTGTTGTGGTGCAGCACAGGTGTTGTGGTGCAGGACAGGTGTTGTGGTGCATGACAGGTGTTGTGGTGCAGGACAGGTGTTGTGGTGCATGACAGGTGTTGTGGTGCAGGACAGGTGTTGTGGTGCAGGACAGGTGTTGTGGTGCACAGGTGTTGTGGTGCTGGACAGGTGTTGTGGTGCAGGACAGGTGTTGTTGTGGTGCAGCACAGGTGTTGTGGTGCAGGACAGGTGTTGTGGTGCAGGATTGTGGTGTACAGGTGTTGTGGTGTACAGGTGTTGTGGTGCAGGACAGGTGTTGTGGTGCAGGACAGGTGTTGTGGTGTACAGGTGTTGTGGTGCTGGTAGTTCAATCAACAAGTCTGTAGACATGGCTCTCTGCCACCTACCAGATGCCATTTAACACAACAATATCCAATATGCTTTGATCTTAAAATATTATTCCTGTACAGCGGACACTTGCTTGGTCCTTGACAGACAGATTTACCTGATCTTCCTCTTATTTATTCCTCAGTGCTAATGTTGTAAGTGGAGAAGTCGTCGGGTGCAAACGTCGCAGCAATTGTTCCTAAGGTTGTTCGTCCTAATTTTTTCCTCAGTCAGTCCATTCACAAAGAGGAGTGAAATAAATTACCTTCACTATTTCTAAAGACTTCTGTACTAACGTAGTGGGGAGACACGATGTTATAGGTTTTGTTATTCGGCGCTAACGTCAAGCTGCTATGCATTCTGTGATTTAGTACAGTAATGAAGATATTTAATTTCGTTGTTATTTTCTTTCTTAGCTGTGTACTGTTTGCGAAGCTGTTGTGTAAAGTTTTTGAAGATGATTCGGTCAAAAATTGAAACTGAACAGAAATTTTTTCGAGTTCCTTATACAAATTACGTTTCTACTGAATTCCAAGCTTTGCTATCGTCAATTGTCGGCAAGAGTTTTACCAATCCACCCGTGATTCTGCAGCAATTCTTGAGCTACGATTCAAATTCAGTAAAAAAGTAACTAATGAAATTAGAAGTAATTTGTCTAGTGGAAGCTGAAATTTTGTTATTAAGCTCGTTGAAGTCTTAAGAAGACCATAAAATGTTAAATAATCAAATGCCTTCATCACATTTGCTTGGTTTTGCTGAAATAAGTTCTGCACAGCTATTGTACAAACAAATTCATGCGAAAAATCTTATGAACTTTTATCTCCAGAAACATCAGCAATAAAAAATATTATTAAGTCTAAACATGTGGCCTAAGAACGAACTATGGCAGCTTCAGAGCGTTCACTTTTATACTCGATACTCGTTAATTTCAATTACGGCTAAATTGCTTCTACGTTCTGCTAATTTTAAGGAAATCTTGATATCACTACATTTTTTCCTAGAAAATTATTCCTCTAATTGCGCTTAAAAAAATTATATTGAAGATTGCCGTCAGCATTTGCAGCCTCGTTGCTATAAAGTTTCTACTGAGCCACGAAGTCTTAAAACGGCGTATTTAGCTCAATGCGTACCGTCAACTGGGGTGACTTCGGCCGCCGGGGTGACTTCGGCCGCCGGGATGACTTCGGCCGCGTTTTTTATTTTGTTGTGCAAACAAAAACGGGGTCGTAAACGCCGGGGTCATAAACGCCAGGGTCGTAAACGAGGTCATAAATGCCGGAGTGACTTTGGCCATCGTTTATGACCCCGCTTTTGTTTGCAAAACAAAATAAAAAACGCGGCCGAAGTCACTCCGGCGGCCGAATTCACCCCAGTTGACGGTATAGAACATTTTGCTGTTGTTCATTCTCCATGATCGAAGATTTCCAAAAAGTCTTTCTTTATAGTAATGACAAAAACGTCGTTGCTGACCTCAGTGAACTTTGTCGAATTTGTTAAGACTGGCGCTCGCTCGCTGCTCTAATTTTTGCTTCTGGTTTTATAATCTTCAGATGTTTAGTAGCGACGCTGCGTTCCGACCCAACGATGATAGGAAGGTAAAGTTTGTTAACACTAATAATATTGAACTTTCCTCGAATGAGTTCAGCTTCTTCACGCCATTTTGTGTAGCTCTTGTTAGGATATTTGCACTGCGATGCTTCTCATAATTAATAATAATAATTAATAATAATTATTATTATTAATAATTTGTTTAACTTGCCCATGGACATCGGAGCCGCTCACTGCGAGACATTTTGCGACGCGAGCGAGTGTGCCAGTACAAGTGTTTCAACAATGATCCCATGTTATGTTTAATGCCCTGTCTTGATAATTAATCGTTATAATGTCTTGATAATTAATCGTTATAATGTCTTGACAATTAATCGTTATAATGTCTTGACAATTAATATTTATAACACCGCTTCACTTGGACAACCCCAATCAACTCTCGCTTCTTCTGAGGTCGCAATTCATGTTCCTTGTTACAACTTACATATTACTTTCACTCGTGTGATGTATTAAAATAATTCTGCCTTTACTTTATGTTTTGCTACTATGGTGTAGCGGTCCAGGTATAGCGACCAGGTGAGCTTCAATATCAAATCTCACAATTGCAGCGTGTGGCACTCGATACCAGAGCTCCCTGTGTTCTTAATGACGCTCAATATCATTTATCATCACTCTTCACACCTGGGCCTATACTTTCAAAAAAAGTTAAGAGATCGTAAGTTCATCAGCCAATCATTGACGGCCTTTCAAGCAAAATCCACCAATCATAGACAAGAAAATATAGCGTTAGTACTTACGTTCACTATACACTATACTTTCAAAAAAAAGTAAAGAGATCGTAAGTTCATCAGCCAATCATTGACGGCCTTTCAAGCAAAATCCACCAATCATAGACAAGAAAATATAGCGTAAGTACTTACGTTCAATTAGCGAGTTTTGAAAGTATATGCCCTGCATTCTTAACTGCTCGCCATACTACGAGTTTTCGCGTTCTGATCACATTTTTTCCCTTTCGCTCCCCTGGACTTGTCCAATTCTTCCGCTGAAATGATTCTCGTCTTTGCTGCACTCGGTGTTGCTTTGTCGTTTACAGGTCACCGGTCTTTTGTTATTAATAATAATGGTCACTTTTATTTACGAACCACTTAATGTACCGAACATTTATTCAAGTTTCAGCATGTTGCTTGCTTTGTTGACGTCTTAACGTTCATTGCGTCCGTTCGTTATCTTCATGAATCCCTTGCAACGCTGATAGTTCGCTGATAGATTGCAACACTCGGTCGTCAACGATTACTAAGTCGTCAACGATTACTAAGTCATCAACGATTATTCAGTCGTCAACGATTACTAAGTCATCAACGATTATTCAGTCGTCAACGATTATTCAGTCGTCAACGATCAGTCTCAGTCAATGATCACTCGCTGCACACTGCGCTCTTAAACCACTCAGTTTCGCCCCCAATTTCGGTTGAACGAAATTTGCTCTGACTCTCCGAATCTGGAAAATGTGAAATGCTTTTAACTCTATTATGATCTTGTGGACAATTATCAACACGGCGATGTAGTCCTCAGTTCAGGGCAAGATTTTATTGGCGACAGTTTTACAAAGAAATTCGTTATTGATAGTCCTGTTCTGGCGACCCTCTTGGAAGTGATAAAAAATTACAAGTGTTGTTTGAACGGCGTGCTGAAAAAATGTTGATTTATCTCGTTGTTATGATACTAATGCTTCTTTATTCAAAACTAAAATTTTGAGAAGGAATTTTTACGCAACTGAGTTAATGATTTTAATTTTATTGATTCTTGTGTGGGGATATGTTCAGTTATTTGTCAGTATATATGTATATACGAGCTATTTGTCCTTTCTGTTAACTACTCTAGTATTTATAAAATATTGTTAGCTGGATTTCACTGAAATTTTTATATACATCTTTTAAATTTCCTACACGTGCGTTTAGTAAACGGGCGTATTTTTCGGGCATATTTTTGTTTATTTTGCTTACTTGTGGTTGAGGTTTTTATCAATTTTTACAATATTTTCGACTCTCCTTGCTTCCTGCCTCGCGCGGAGCAGTCCAAGTCAAACAAGAAGGTATGAAGTCTCCTGGAGTTTTGAGTCTCCCTCTTAGATGGTGACTTAAGAATGGTCGAACTCTTCTCTATTCTATCACTCGGTATTCCTTTCTCAGCAGTGCGTTGACATATCGTTCAGTGAACTATATAAATATATACACGATCTGCAGTTGTGCCTTGTAAAATTATTATCAAAAAGTCAAAATGTTTAGGATCATTGCTGTTTATCCTGCCAGATTGTAAAATAATTATAAAAAAGTTTAGGATCATTGCTGTTTATCCTGCCACATTGTAAAATTATTATCAAAAAGTTTAGAATCATTGGTTGTGCCTTGTAGAATTATTATCAAAAAGTCCAAAAAGTTTAGGATCATTGCTGTTTATCCCACCAGATTGTAAAATTATTTTCAAAAAGGTTTAGCAACATTGGTTGTGCCTTGTAAAATTATTATCAAAAAGTCAAAAAAGTTTAAGATCATTGGTTGTGCCTTGTAAAATTATTATCAAAAAGTTTAAGATCATTGATTGTGCCTTGTAAAATTATTATCAAAAAGTCAAAAAAGTTTAAGATCATTGGTTGTGCCTTGTAAAATTATTATCAAAAAGTTTAGAATCATTGGTTGTGCCTTGTAAAATTATATATAAAAAAGTCCAAAAAGTTTAGGATCATTGGTTGTGCCTTGTAAAATTATTATCAAAAAGTCAAAAAGGTTTAGCTTCATTGCTGTTTATCCCGCCATATTGTAAAATTATTATCAAAAAGTTTAAGATCATTGGTTGTGCCTTGCAAAATTATTATCAAAAAGTCAAAAAAGTTTAGAATCATTGCTGTTTATCCTGCCAGAGCTGGGATGCTGAGTGTAAGATTAGGGAAGGGTTGCCATTCATGTTAATTGCCCTGCTTGTTGCTGGCTCTCCGACTGCTTCCTTCCATCTATTTTATACTTGTGACAATCCAAACTACAATTTGTCCCTTTGACATTTGGTTAATCTATTTAAACCGTTCATTGTTTTGATTAAATTGTTGTTTTGGATCCGTTTGATAAATATTTTTTGTCCCTTTGACATTTGGTTAATCTATTCAAACCGTTCATTGTTTTGATTAAATTGTTGTTCTGGATCCGTTTGATAAACATTTTTTGTCCCTTTGACATTTGGTTAATCTATTCAAACCGTTCATTGTTTTTGATCTGTTTGATAAACATTTTTGGTCGTAGTAATGTTGAAGTGTATTGTTATACATTGTTTGGTGGGTGCAGTTTATCAGTGATCATCACTCCTAATATTGAATAGATCTTAGTAATATATAAAAAGCCTACATGCTTGGTGGTGTTTATGTTGCAAATAACGCTGCTACTTTGGTCATAACGTGTAATGTTGCAAAATAATATTAGTAGTTGAGTAGTTACACAAAATAACGCATAACTAGTATCGTACATTAGCTCAATATCTGCAAAATAATATTAGTAGTTGAGTAGTTACACAAAATAACGCATAACTAGTATCGTACATTAGCTCAATATCCTCGTGACTAGTCGTTTGGCGTCTAACTAACCTACTTACAAGTCCTGCTTGCATAACTCGCGCTCTGTTCATGGGCTGCATTCGGTGACTAATGGTATAGTTACTAATTATTATTAGCACTTATTTGATTTATTTAGTATATTATTAGCACTTATTTTTACCTGTCAGTTATCCCTCAATGAACATACGGTATTAAGTATGTCGCTTAAATGCTATTAAACGAAACCATCTCCACATGTTGTGAATCGTCTTGGCTGGCAAAGTTGAAAGCTTGTTTTTTAAGTTCGTTTATTAGCTAATTCACTTGTGATTTTTGTAATATATTGCCAATAATAATCTTTTTCAGAACTACCATTGCACATTAAATGCATCTTTGTTCATAATGCTTCTAACACTTCACTTGTCCTTGCGTCTGCCCACCGTTCTAACTCCCTTCACAACACCGCTCTATTTTTTATTACACGTTCAAGTATCGTATTCAATTCAAAGCTTGCCTAGGATCAGTGGGCCCATACTTTCAAAAAAAGTTAAGAGATCGTAAGTTCATCAGCCAATCATTGACGGCCTTTCAAGCAAAATCCTCCAATCATAGACAAGAAAATAGAGCGTAAGTACTTGCGTTCACTTAGCCACTTTTACAATTATTGATGGCCTATCAAGCAAAATCGACCAATCATAGACAAGAAAATTGAGCGTAAGTACTTACGTTCACTTAGCCACTTTTACAATTATTGATGGCCTATCAAGCAAAATCGACCAATCATAGACAAGAAAATAGAGCGTAAGTACTTACGTTCACTTAGCCAGTTTTGAAAGTATGACCCCTGCTCTCTGGTCCAAGATCTGCCTTCGCACTTTGGGGGAAAAAATTGCTTCTAATATAAGATTTTTTGTGTCCCTGTAGGCCTCTTTGTGTTCGTGTTCATTTTATTCGAGTGTGTTTTTTATTCGCTCGTAGTTCTAGGACGAAAAAATTGCGCAATTCAGTTATCCTTTAATTGAATGACACCGTATTTTCTTAGCCGTACTGATGTTGCAAAAAAAAATTAAATACACGGCTTCGTGGTTGTAGGTAATGTTTTATTTTGATTTATTTTGCACTGCAAGTTAGACCTACTGGATTTTGACGCTCATTCTTGGATACTGCTGATTGAATATTCTATGTTGTCTGAGTTATTGTTGTCTTAAACGATATTGTGAAACATCACCGGAGCGATGTCAAACTTTTAGCCGAAGAGTACTGAACGGATCATATCACTTAGATCATCCAGTGACAGTAGATCGCGTATCTTGAATTGAACAATTCACCGTCTTTACTGTGATATTGCCTTCAAAAATAATGGAGGACAAAGCACATCAAAATAAGAAATCCAGATTTATTACTAAGATTACGGTGGAAGCTGGTTTAACTCATCAATTTCATCTGCTACTATTTGGCTTGGCTTATTTCAAGTAACATTCCTCTTCAACATTTTCCATTTAATTCTCATTCACTGCGTTGTAATTTTTCATAGAAGAAAGTTAGTTGTCAATAGGAAGCTCCTTGTTCTATATCCTACCCAATTAATAATTGAAGCAGTGTTTGATCCGGACTAGCAGGCTATAAGCAGTGAAGGGTAGTATGTACGGTGTAGGCATGTCATTTTTGAGCTCTATATTAGGGCAGGCTGACGGGACAAAACTTAGTTCAAAGTAACCGAGTTGAATATTAGGGCTGGCTGAATGTACAAAACTTAGTTTAAAGTAACCGAGCTTAATATCAAGGCAGGCTGACTGAACAAACTTGGTGTATAGTAACCGAATTGAATATTAGGGCTGGCTGAATGTACAAAACTTAGTTTAAAGTAACCGAGCTTAATATCGGAGCAGTTTGACTGGGCCGAAGTTAGTTCAAAGTAACCGAGCTCAATATTATGGAAGGCTGACGGGACAAAACTTATGGTAAAGTAACCGAGCTCAATATCATAAAGCAGATTGAAAAGAACTTAGTACAAGGAAGCCATCTCTGGTTTGTGTTGATGCGTCTCCTAATTTGCGTGCAGGGCACAGCGAGCGACCTGGTGGTGCAGGTGGTGCTCATTGCGGAGTCCATGCGTCTCCAGGCCATGATGGCCACATATGGCATCCAGACACAGGTCAGTTGTTGCTTCTACTGCTGCTTTTGTTGTTGCTAGTGTTTTTATTGTTGCTGCCGCTGTTGTTGCCGCTACCTGTGTTGTTGCTGCCGCTGCTAGTGTTAGTGTTGCTGCGGCTCTGTTGAGGTGTCGTTGTTTCTAGGGCCGATAGTAATACGGGTGGGGAGAAAAGCAGTCCTTGTGATGGACGAAGTGGTGCCGCCGGAAGAAAGAAGAGTTTAGGAAAGGTGGAAAAAGAAAGGCCGCCGCCTACACGGGTCTGTGTCACAGTGAAGTTACTCTGAGGGTCGAGGGGAAGGAGGGCCTGACAAAAAGACTCTGAGTGGACTGGAGGGCAGGCAGCCCTTGTAGAGCGCCCCATATAACGTGTAGAATGCCTGGGCACTGTGGTAGTCTGAGCGGAGCTGATCTGAAGGGTGGAGGTAGAGAACGAGGTCTGTTCAGAGGCGGTCGGGGATTGGATTGCGTGGCATTCTTCAGGACTTTGCTGATCAGCTTTATCAGCAATGAAGGTGGAATTATCCCTGCAGTGAAACTGCCTTGCCTTCTTATAAGAGCTTGCGGGTGTAATGCCGGCCATTAGAGAAGGGCCAAACACAGACTTCAATGTAGCCTTCATTGGTCCGTGCGAAAGAAGGGGGCAACGATGGGAAAGGAAGTGTGGAGGGCGCTGACCGGGAAACACCATCATGCAAAGTCCAGGTGGGAGGACTGATGAAGGATTCCTTGTCTCAGTATGAATGTGGTCGATTAGAACCATTTTGATGCATTCTTTTGCTAACCTCAGAGTTGAGTTTTGAGTAGTTCTGTAGGCCTGAAAAGGCGATACGAGAAGCTATCTGGTACCAGGAAGGGACTGAGTATTGTTGAGGTCTGGGAGCGTGACACAAACGATGTCCTCTAAGAAGTCCCGCTTATTGCTTGCCGGGGCTTTAAGGATGCGTGGGGTGCCGAGGTGTTGAAGGCCTTAACATGAGGTGCAAACTAATATTGGCTGTCTAGCAAACTAGTCAAGTGACTCGTAGTATTTTTAGCATTCTGTCCGAGGCGATAGCAACTCAGGAGATCGTTACGGAAGGATACGGATGTGATTGAGCGTCGAGTTTTTCACCCCTGACACTTGTCAATCCTGCGGCTTTTGTTATTATTTTTTGTTACTGCTTGTGTTGCTGCCGACATGTATATATGTTAGCAGCAATTTATGTATATTTCGCTACGTCTGCTGTCGTCTACTGAATTTGACGACTGTGTTTAATCTGTTGCTGATTAGCATTCACATTTTACAAATTCGTTAGATTCGAAGTTGAAAATTTTCTGCATGATATTTTCTTTGGGGTGATGCATGGACATTTATGCTGATATGTTAAATAAAAGTCTTGTGTTATGATGTGGCTGCAAATGTGGCTATTCATCATTATTACAAATCACATGATCACGTAATTTCAGAGTAAATAAAACAAATTTCACGTTTTATATAACCATTTGCGTATCTACCTCCTAAAATATCTATACCGCACCTAACTAAAGGTGTTATGTGTCATATGATCACCTATTTTCAGAGTAAATAATAATAATTTAGAATCTTATTTAACCATTTGCGTGTCTTGCTCCTAACATGTCTATACGGCACCTAACTGAAGGTGTTGTGTGCAGACCCCACACGAGGTAGAGCCTGTACAGATCTGGCCCCCCAAGGAGCTCGTCAAAGTTTACTGTAACCTCGGCCTCAACAAGAAACTTGGCCTCAACGGCCGCCCCATGCGCCCCATCGGTGCACTCGGCACCAGCAAGGTGAACAGCTCAGAGATATATTTTTATTATCACCTATCACCTATACATTATATTTTTATCACCTAGCCACATAGAAACATATTGGCTTAATAATTCAATATATTTAGCACCTAGCCACATAGAAACATATTGGCTTAATAATTCAATATATTTACCACCTAGCCACATGGAAACATATTGGCTTAATAATTCAATATATTTCTTGCCCAGCCACATGGGAACATATTGGCTTAATAATTCAATATATTTCTTGCCCAGCCTCATAGAAACCTTCAATTCAATATCGTTCAAGAATTCGTTCCTGAACGAATTCCTGAATTCGTTCAATATAATTGAACCGTTAATAATTATAATATCATAATAATAATAATATAATAAACTGTTAATACTTTAATATTCTCATCCACTCAATTTAAAAGTGATATGCTTGATTAGGTAAATTACAAGGAAACTTATTTTATATATTTTTAGTATTTAATGTTGCTTATAATGTAGTGCATTTACCGTCTGTAGACAGAGAGATAAAGTTTCTAAAGCACTTGTAATACTGTAATAGATGAATACAAATATGGCAGGTATTCATGGCTTATCCTTATAATAAAGTGCATCTACCGTCAGTAGACAAAGAGATAAAATTTCTATTGTTATTAATGAAAACAAACATGGCAGTTGTACCGCTCTTCTTTATAATTTAGTGGATCTACCGTCTGTAGACAAAGAGATAAAGTTTCTAATATTGTTATTAATGAAGACAAACATGGCAGGTATTCAATTCATTCATGGCAGGTATTCATGGCTTTTTCTTATAATTTAATGCATCTACCGCCAGTAGACAAAGAGATAAAGTTTCTAAATTATTTCTAACATTGTAATTAATGAAGACAAACATGACAGCTGTACCGCTCTTATAATTTAATACATCTACCGCCAGAAAACAAAGAGATAAAGTTTCTAAAGTATTTCTAACATTGTAATTAATGAAGACAAACATGGCAGGTATACCGCATCTGTGGCCAGACGGTGCTGTGCTACCCGCTGGTGTTCGAGGTGAGCGACTTTTATCTGTCGCACGACATGGCGCTGCTCATTGACAACATTAAGACAGAACTGCACTTTGTCAGCAAATACTGGCGTCTGTCTGGCCGTCCTACTGTCTGTATACTCATCAGGGAGGAGCACATGAGGTTTGTCTTGTGTTAATAGACGTTATATCTTAATGGACGTTATAAGTAACTTATAACCTTCTAGTGATGAGCCCTACTGTCTGTATACTCATCAGGGAGGAACACATGAGGTTTGTCTTATCTTAATAGACGTTATAACCTTATGGTGATAAAGAAATTATCATTTTAAATAAAGATTATCCTTTGTAGTTGCAGACCAGTTTATACTCATTAGGGAGGAACACATGAGGTTTGTCTTATGTTAATAGACGTTATATCTTAATGGACGTTATAAGTAACTTATAACCTTCTAGTAATGAAAAAATTATGCTTTTAAAATAAAAATTGCCCTCTCTGGCCGTCCTACTGTCTGTATACTCATCAGGGAGGAACACATTAGGTTTGTCTAATCTTAATCCTGCAGTATAACCTTCTAGTGATGAAGAAATTATCCTGTTGAATAAAAATTATCCTTTTTAATTGCACACAAGCTTAAAGACTGTAAGAAATAATTAGAAATATAATAGCTTGATAAGAGACATTAAAAAATATGATTGGTTTTTAACTTTAGAAATTAGTCTAAGTTTTTCAAGTTAGCTAAAGAATTGAAATGCCATTGGCTCCGAACGTAATTTTGAGTCATGCTTGCAACTTAACATGAAAGAATAATAGTAAAACGTTGCGGGCGGCTCGACGGTGCGTTGCAGGGTCTTTTTCCCGGACAAATTCCGCGATTTAGTTTGTTTCAATTGCATCTGTCGAGGAAAATTTCTGATGACAGAACAAGCTCATTAAGTTTTAAAAAAGTAAGGAAAAATAAAAATTTAATTTTTGCACCAGACCTACTACTTTTGCCCTGAACATACTATTTTTATTCGAGGACTTGGCCGTTTTTAGGCCGTTAGGCAGCGCTGGTTGGTCGTGGCGCACTCGACGTGTTGACGCATCTCCAGGCAATAGCGGTTTCTGTGTATCATCGTCCAGCTTTTGACCCGCCTCGATCAAATGTAGACGTAAATATCAACTGAATTATTCGCGATCGGATGAGCGAGACGCTGTCATTAGGCTTTACGTTAATAACTTGAAATATTAATTGATATCTAGCAGTCTACGGTGCTGGGTTATCACTAATCACTTCAGTCTTAGCAGTTTTATTAATTAAAGAGCTTCTCTCATAGGGACATCCACTTCCGCGAGCTGCTGGACCTGCTGGCGTCCCTCAAGTCCGGCCACTGCGACGGCCTCAAGGTGCGCACCGGACGCCTGCAGAACCTCATCTCCTCCTCCTGTGTTGGTGAGCCTGTCTGTGTTGGTGAGACTGTCTGTGTTGGTGAGACTGTCTGTGTTGGTGAGACTACTGCCGTCCTGTTGGTGGTATGTCTGTGTTGGTGAGCCTGCCGTCCTGTTGGTGGTATGTCTGTGTTGGTGAGCCTGCCGTCCTGTTGGTGGTAAGTCCGTTACTATGTGTTGTGACGAGACTCGCACTAGACTACCATATATCATATTGATATCCATGTAGGTGGTATACTCTAAGGACCAGATGTTAAAAAGACTACAGCGTACTTTCGGCGCGCCAGTTCACTTTGAAACTTATGCTCATTTGCAAGCTTTGCACGGGCTCGCTCACGGCCACGCTCATGCGCTGCCTACAATCCATTTTTCCATGCCAGTAATCAGACCTGAGCTTCCTGTTTCGGGTTCGGTGATTATTTTTTTATCTCGTTGTTATCTAAGCTGGTGGCATCACCGCAGTGCTGTAATGTCAGATAGGCCGCGTCTTGCTCATTGGCTACCACTTTGTTACTCAGTAACATGTTATAAGGGGCCCAAGCTTTTTGTAATTTCGGTACTTACGGTTCAGGTGATAGCAGCATTCTAAAGAACCCACGTTGCTTACAAAGTTTTATCGTTTCATGTTCTTCAATTTTGTCATAACCTTTGTGATTGCGATGCAATAGACTCGGGAGTTACCTGTCTTTTTTTTGTCATATAAAGTGCATAAATTCTATTGAAACTGAGATCTTCATCAATTTGATGTAGGTATTCATTTTTGTGTAAACCATTAAACCGATCTCTAATTCTACGGACATGTAATTTAGAAATAATAATTAATAATAATTTTAATGAAGCATCTGTCCTAAGTATTGCAGATCGACTAGTTTTTTAATGTGCCTTGCCTAATGCGCCTTTGGTCCATCATATGCCGATCATTTGGGTCACTGAATTAGATCAACTTGGCGTGGTAAAGCGCATTATTAGCGTCACCAACTGTACGTTGCACATCACTTGCTATTAAGATTAGTAATTACCTTTTACAGTAGAGCAAGCGGGAATACCGAAAAGACTCGCGCTGTTGCAGAGCACCTCTAGGAACAATAACACCCATGCCGTTGCAGAGCACCTGCAGGAGCAATAACACCCATGCCGTTGCAGACAATAACACCCATGCCGTTGCAGACAATAACACCCATGCCGTTGCAGACAATAACACCCATGCCGTTGCAGAACACCTGCAGGAGCAATAACACCCATGCCGTTGCAGACAATAACACCCATGCCGTTGCAGAACACCTGCAGGAGCAATAACACCCATGCCGTTGCAGACAATAACACCTGTCTCTTATACACATCTAGATGTGTATAAGAGACAGNCAGGAACAATAACACTCATGCCGTTACAGAACACCTGCAGGAACAATAACACTCATGCCGTTGCAGAACACCTGCAGGAACAATAACACTCATGCCGTTACAGAACACCTGCAGGAACAATAACACTCATGCCGTTGCAGAACACCTGCAGGAACAATAACACTCATGCCGTTACAGAACACCTGCAGGAACAATAACACTCATGCCGTTGCAGAACACCTGCAGGAACAATAACACTCATGCCGTTACAGAACACCTGCAGGAACAATAACACTCATGCCGTTACAGACAATAACACCCATGCTGTTACGGACAATAACACCCATGCTGTTACGGACAATAACACCCATGCCGTTACAGACAATAACACCCATGCCGTTGCAGAGCACCTGGACTTCATGAGCAACAGCGACGTGGACTGGGACGTGCAGGCGTTCGAGCAGCTGCAGCACGCGTCTATAGGCTACCAGTCCCTCACTGACGTGCCTCAGGCCATCGCCTACGCTGAGAATAAGACCGACTTCAGGGTTAGTGCTGCCCTATCTAATTAGCAAATATCTTATTATCTTGCTTGCTATTTGATCTATAGGATCAAATTGATAATATAGCCTATAGATGCTGCAGCATACAAGAATTTCTTTATCTAAATATTATCACCTGAGAGACACACGTAATGTTTGTTTCTAATGCCAACTTTGCTGTTACGAGAATTCCTTTATCCAAATATTAGCACTTAAGAGATACACGTAATGTTTATTTTTAATGCCATCGTTGCTGTACAAGAATTCCTTTATTTAAATATTGTATTATCACTTAACTTCAACACGTAATATTTATGCCAGGACATGGAGCACAGCGACACTTGGACGCTGAAGGAGACGTTGCGCTCCGTGACATCGCTGCGTGGCCGCACGCAGCTCCTCGGCATGATCCTCGCCAGGGAGGGACCTGACCACCAGCTCGATGGACAGTCCGGTGCGTTGGTGGCAGAGGCCGGTGTCCTGTGGTGGCAGAGGCCGGTGTCCTGTGGTGGCAGAGGCCGGTGTCCTGTGGTGGCAGAGGCCGGTGTCCTGTGGTGGCAGAGGCCAGTGTCCTGTGGCTGTCTCTTATACACATCTAGATGTGTATAAGAGACAGGGCCAGTGTCCTGTGATGGCAGAGGCCGGTGTCCTGTGGTGGCAGAGGCCAGTGTCCTGTGGTGGCAGAGGCCGGTGTCCTGTGGTGATAGAGGCTGGTGTCCTGTGGTGGCAGAGGCCGGTGTCCTGTGGTGGCAGAGGCCGGTGTCCTGTGGTGGCAGAGGCCGGTGTCCTGTGGTGGCAGAGGCCGCTGTCCTGTGGTGGCAGAGGCCGGTGTCCTGTGGTGGCAGAGGCCGCTGTCCTGTGATGGCAGAGGCCGCTGTCCTGTGATGGCAGAGGCCGGTGTCCTGTGGTGGCAGAGGCCAGTGTCCTGTGGTGGCCGAGGCCGGTGTCCTGTGGTGGCAGAGGCCAGTGTCCTGTGGTGGCAGAGGCCAGTGTCCTGTGGTGGCAGAGGCCGGTGTCCTATGGTGGCAGAGGCCGCTGTCCTGTGGTGGCAGAGGCCGCTGTCCTGTGGTGGTCGCCGTGTGGTCGAGTGCCGTGTGCTGCTGTCTTTCGTGCGTTCGAATGTTGAGTCACTTAAGTGTTCTGTGCTCCAGATATGCCGTCATGAGGAGCTTGAATGTTTTGAGTTAGTCTGCGAAAGTGAGAATGCTTAATTGTACCGGATAATTGTTCAGAAGCGTTCCCATACTGACTCTTGAATAAACAATGCAGCCAATGGTACACTCCATGACTAATATGATCTCTCCCCGGCAGTGGCAGAGAAGTGGCAATAAACAATGCAGTCAATAATTGTACCGGATAATTGTTCAGAAGTGTTCCCACACCGACTATTGAACATAAACAATGCAGTCAATGGTACTGATATGATCTCTCCCCGACAGTGGCAGAGAAGATCACCGAGGTGCTGGGCAGCGCGTCGTCGCTGCGACTATGGAGCGTCGTACGCACCTGCACGGCGCTGCTCTCCAAGGAAGTCGAGTCCATCTCACCCTACATCACCACCGTGCTGGTCTACGGCAAGCAGGTGATGCTACATCACCACCGTGCTGGTCTACGGCAAGCAGGTGATACTTGATACCTTATGGTTGCTGCCTAACTTTATGGTTGTTCTTATAAATAATTTTATGGTTGCTCTTAGTTCGTTGACATCATCACTCTGCCTCGTACCTCAGATTGTCTTCACTTCACTCCTAATGGTGGCTTATTCCAATGTGTACTGCACCTATTCCTCCAATTTATTTTCAATGGTTTCTTTCTCTCAGATTATTTTTTCCTTAATTATCACTCATGTTTTGACTAAAAATTATTCCAATTGTCTGACTGTTTAATCGTTTTATTCAACACATTTGAGCCTTCGGGTGTAGAATTTTCTTTCATCAATGCCTTTATATTGTTCATTCTCACATATTTGCAAATCTGTCTTTTTTTTGTCGAAAAGCTTCTATAAATTTTTCTATGAATGCCTGGGTTTTCCCAAGGATTTAGTTTTGTTCCTTGATGAGTTATTGGAAGTGAAAGCTTCCCATGTTTTAGTTTTGTTCTTTGATGAGTTATTTGAAGTGAAAGATTAGTTTTATTCTATTGTTTCTATTTCTATCAGGTGACGCTTGGGTCTGGCAACAACGTCGTGGTGCTCGACAAGCCCGTGCAGCCTGGGGAAGTGCACGATCTGTTCTACACCAAGGATCTCAAGGTTTCTATTGTAACCAGCTCTCAAATTAGGGAACAAATTTTCATTGTGTAATGTTACATATTTTACACTTTCAGTTTCAAGTTTTTTTTTTTTTGGGCATTTATTATTTTGCTTTTCATGACGACTGAGCATTTATAAGGATCTCAAGGACTTGTTCTACACCAAGGATCTCAAGGTTTGCACAGCGTTACCAGCTCTATATTTAAGGGAACACATTTTCATTGTGTAATGTTAAATATTTTCCACTTTGATTTTCAAGTCCTTCTATGGCAATTATTATTTTGCTTTTCATGACGACTGAGCATTTGTAGCTCGACCATTTGCGCAATAATCTCTCGCTACCATATTTGCTCTCTTTGTTTCTTCTCCTTCGTCTACCACAATTTTACGAATTATGTACCACACAAGCATCCATTCGATTCAAATGCAGTGATAGTAGATTCATGTTGTTGTTCAATGGTCTGGCGGACATAAACTGTAATCAAGGCGTCAATAATAAAGTTTCTTTGTCTTGGCTTAACATCAACAACTAATTTGTAGCAAAGAAACATGATTTCGACAAGAATAAATTTCGTACACAAGCAATGGAAAGTTGTATTACTAAACGTTTGCTACGTAGTCTCCCTTCAGTAGAGCACAACACGGCACATTTGTGGAACAGACCTCATCACACGGAGCATGCAAAAGATCCAAACTCAAGAAATATGTTATGTTTTTAGCGCATTTGCTCATTTATGGAAAAAAATGCACTATTGTGCTCGCCATATCCGTCCGTCCGTCTGTCTGTCTGTCTGTCTGTCCGTCCGGGACTTCACGTTTTCGTCGACGGGAAAATACGCTCTCTGTCACTCACTGCAGTGAGTACTGAGTTATATTTTTTTAATAATATTTCTGTGTTGCAGCCGTCGATGATGGTGCACGCGGTGCTGCAGCAGGAGGTGATGCTGTACTGCGGTAAACTCATGGGCGCGCACCCTCATCTCTTCAAGGGCATCCTCAACATCCGTGTCGCGTGGGTAGCATTTTATGAGCAATCCGTCTATCAAAGTTTGACTTGATAACTTATAACCTCTTCCCCTTTATTGACATTTCTTACTTTAATTATTTGTGTTGTAGCTTATTTTATGAGCAATCCGTCTATCAAAGTTTGTCTTGATAGCTTATAACCTCTTCTCCTTTATTGACATTTCTTACTTTAACACGTTGACTACGATTGCTTCATCTTGTACTATTATTTCATTTTTTGTACTTTTTCTTAAGCAGGGTTGCCAGACGGTCATTTTTTCCGGACAAATTCCGTGATTTAGTTTTTCTCAATTGCGTTGGCCGGCTAAAATTTATGATAGGGGTACTTCCTAATTAAATTTTAAATACTGCAAAAAGAAAATAAATGGAATTTTTATAGCGGAACCTACAAATAAACTAGTATATATTGAGTTATCGGCCTTTTTTGTTCTCGGATTTGGCCGATTTTGGGCAATCTGAATTATATACCACTACCTCCTGGAGAAATACATTTCGTGGGACGCATATGTACCAATACGTAGTCAACGTGTTAAGTATATGTGTTGTATCTTCCTCTTTAATGAAATTTCTTACTTTAAGTATATGTGTTGTATCTTCCTCTTTAATGAAATTTCTTACTTTAAGGTATCTTCCTCTTTAATGAAATTTCTTACTTTAAGTATATGTGTTGTATCTTCCTCTTTAATGAAATTTCTTACTTTAAGGTATATGTGTTATATCTTCCTCTTTGAAAGTCCCTTTGTTGTTGATAGCTTATAACCATTTCCCCTTTACTCAAATTTCTTACTTGAATTATTTGTGTTGTATCTTTCCCTTCGAAAGTCGTGCTTGAAAATACTTTAGTAATGTTCTTTATTACAAATCTACATGGAATGTCTTCGGAATGTGCGAACCTACAAATGTGGCGTCAGTTATTTTATGCACTTGTCTTCAGATGGCTGGTGCAAGCGATGGAATATTATCACCAGTCGGTGCTGGGCAAGAACGAAGTTGCTCTTGAGGAACTCTCGCCCAACGAGGTCTTCAGGCTGCTGGTGGCTGTGCTGTCCATGGAGCAGGAAGACCTATCGCCTAGACAAATGCGCTTCATTAATGGATGTCTTGGCAGGACCCCAGCAAACTTCTATGACAAGGTATTGAGGTATTAAATGTAATCAGAAAACTCTGATATTACATGGAAATTATTTGTCTGTTAAGCAACGAGAGCATTCTTTTCTGTAGTGACCGGAAACTAGGATGACCTTCTGATCGTACGAACAACCCAGCAATGTTTTTCCATGTAGTTTCTTTTATGTGAGCCGTTGCGATAGCCAATTAGCATAGTGATGTTTAATTTGGTATAATTTATCAACCAGTTGTTACATTAATTAAAGTATTGAGTATCTGAATAAGTGTGGTGGTATATGTATATGAATTAATGTTTTACTCGTTGTGCAGGTTTGGCTGGTGCTGCAAAAGACCCCAGGAGGTCTGTCGCTGCTAGACCGCACGCTGCCGCAGCAACCGACCATTAGTGAGCTCTCCCCCACGGAGATGTCCTTCGCCAAGGCCGTACAGGAGCTCCTCGGCGCCGTCCAAGTGCCCGAGTACAACCAAGTTGTGGCCGAGGTACGCCGTCTAATTCAACTCCCCCTGCAGGCATATCTTCTTAAACTGCAGTGGCTTAGCATGAGTGAAGAACGTGTAATTTTGAACTGCAGTGGCGATTAGCAGGAGTGAAGTACGTGTAATTTTGAAAATACTGTAATAATAAGCCAACCGACAGTTTAAATCGCTCCGATCCCTGCCTCATCTACGTTGTAGGGATATTTTGACTTCACCACAATCCGGGTTTCTGGCGAGCGTCGATTTAACTATCGCAACACTCACGGAATACTTCCACAATAAAACAATATGTGACGGAAGTCATAAATTTACAAATGACCATATGATATCATTATTTTTATCTGTAGGTTGTCTACTGAGAAGCTTGTGTAGTTCACAGAGGTGTTCAATTATGAAGAGCAACTTTTCTATTGCATGAGGCAGGTAAAATGTGTTGACTGTTACAGGCGCTGAGGATCATCGCGACAATCTTACAGCGCAACCCCGAGCTGCAGTTCTCCCAGGCCGTCAAGCTCGAGAGCCTCGTCAGGGACGCAGCCCACATCATGAGAGTGGTGAGTGCAGTACATCATGAGTGGTGAGTGCAGTACATCATGAGAGTGGTGAGTGCAGTACACAGTACATAATGAGTGCAGTACATCATGAGTGCAGTACATAATGAGTGCAGTACATAATGAGTGCAGTACATAATGAGTGCAGTACATAATGAGTGCAGTACATCATGAGTACAGTACATCATGAGAGTGGTGAGTGCAGTAAATCATGAGAGTGAAGAGTGCAGTAAATCATAAGAGTGGTGAGTACAGTACATCATGAGAAAGGTGAGTACAGTACATAAGGAGTGCAGTACATCATGAGTGCAGTACATCATGAGTGCAGTACATCATGAGTGCAGTACATCATGAGTGCAGTACATAATGAGTGCAGTACATAATGAGTGCAGTACATAATGAGTACAGTACATCATGAGAAAGGTGAGTACAGTACATAACGAGTACAGTACATCATGAGAAAGGTGAGTACAGTAACCGTAACTTGGCACGTGTACCGAGCGTCAATGCTGTTAGTATTGAGTTAACTAAATTAACTGAAACTTTCTCCGCTCTCCAAACGACATAAGTAGTTCCTTATTATTATGGCGTCTTATCATGAATAGCTAGTTTACCCTGTGACAATTTAGTGTTCATAATTATAATGCACTAATGTGTGTTTCTTGTGGCAATTTAGCTTCACTCTTTCTTTCACTTACCTTTCTTGCTCGACGTTCTCAGGAACAACGCGACGAAGACTACACTACAGCGAGCTACTTCAACACCGGCGACGCCAAAGCCACGTGTCCGGAATGCAAGTGCGTCGAGTCGTCGTGTGTGTGCATCGTCTACCACGCCAGCAGCCCCGCCCTCAACAGCTGCCTCGCCAGGGCCATCGTCAACCTCCTCCTTGCCAAGGACACCAGGACCGGCGTCGAGCGTGCGGTCGCCGGCTGCAAAGTCTCATAAATTGATTCTTTATGAGGCTTGATGGTTTTAATGTGCTTTGAAACATGAAGTAAAATATGCTGGATTCATCGTGTTGAGAGCTACCGTACGATCGCGTGAAAAGCTACTCGGTACATTCAGCGTTGGAGCAAAATTATTGCCACTGTCTTCTTCTTTGACACCCTGCCTGTATGTCACAAGCTTGACTTTAATACTAAATCTTAGACGTTCTCAAATCCGGTGATTAATAATAACCGAGTTCACTTTAGAATTTATTGTTGCCGGCTGTGAAGTATTCTTATGGAATGCGGCTTTGATGTCACTTGAGGCAATTGTCGAGAATGCTGCACTTTTTCAATCGAGTAAATATTATCTTGAAACTCGTCTCGGAGTTAACCAAGTTCTCACTAATGTTCATACGTTTACTTTCATACCATCTGACTCTCAACGTATGAGAAAATATTTTCATAGAAAAAATGTTTCTATTTCATTAGATTTTAACATAGAAGTTATTTTCCCTCGAACTTGAATAGCCTAAAGCCATTGTACACTGAGACGTACGAGTTTCAGGAGAACAAAGTTTCCTTCAAGTCCCTTCGCTGCTCGTGTCACTAGAATATATAGAATATATATACATGAATACGAGGCTGCTCGGCCTCACAGTTTGTCCCTGGCTTGCATCCTGCCTAACTCCGCTTTAGACTATATCTTCTGTGTTCAACAGTGCGAGATGATTTTATTTCTTCTTATTTTAGTTGTTGATTCATGAACCGGTGTGTAGTTAGATTTAAAAATCTTATCTATGAAGTTGTGACATCTTACAAGAGCTTTATTGACAGCTGCTCATATCAAAACTAAATATTCGCTTTAATTTCTTTATCTGTTTGACATTGGAGCAAGTCGTTAAGCTACGTACGACGAACTTGTGAATGCAGAGCCTCGCAAAGCCCGCATTCATCTGCAGTGCGTCGTGTCTGTTGTGCTAGTCATTGTATAGGTGCTACTCTAAGTTGACCTTCACATAATTTATCCCTGGTACCTCTTGTTTTCGAGCCTGCCGCTAAGCTGTCAGAAGTTCTTCATAATGCCCGAGAATTTCACAGTAACGATCATTATCTGAGGTATCTATTTAATAGTTAGATCGCTCATCGGTCGAGAATGTATCTTACAATAGAAGCTCTGAGACCTGCTGTGCTGCCTCCTCCAATTGTTTGGCGCTGCCAGTGACTCGGAGCTTGGGCTGCTCGGCCATCTTTTAAGACTTGAGGTGTTCAATGTGCCATTTGTCGAGGATTGATACCGAGTTATTTAATAATCGTCTTTTATCAATTTAACTATCGAATTAGATTATTGAGTGCGTGCGTTGTTATTGTTGCCAATTTATGATTATGATGTTTATTACTTACTCTGCGACAATCCAGCTACTACAATTTTCACTGCAAATGCTCTCTCTCTCTCTCTCTGCTTAATTTCAATTAAGTGTGTGAATATAGTGAAAGACCGAGCTTTGTCACTGACAAAAATAGCCCGTGAAAGTCAGTTATGTATGAGGGAATTTTTCCTCTTAATCTTGAACCCTTTATTTAGATTTGAGTTTTCGACAATAGTGTTAAGAAGTAAGCTGATTATAGTGATGGTTATGTAGTATATATGAAATATTTCTTGCGCCTGAGAATTTGAACTTTCATTTTACCTCATGTAGTTACATTTAACCATTCATTTATTTTATACTCCATTTCGGAGCTACAAAGAGATCCCCAAGATCGGTTAATTTAAGTTTCAATCCGCCATCCTCTTGACTGCCGCATTTTTAGCGCATTTTCTCATTTATGGTAAAAATGCACTATTGTGCTCGCCATGTCCGTCTGTCTGTCTGTCCGTCCGTCTGTCCGTGACCTCAAGTTTTCGTCGACGAGAAAATGCGCTCTCTGTCACTCACTGCAGTGAGTACTGAGTTATCTTTTTTCTTTCTTTCAAATGCCGTATCTTCGAACGTTTCAATACTTTTCGCTTTGAGTGGATGGCGTTTATATTTATATTCATTTTCCTAGTGATTGCTTGAGTGAAATTTATTCTTCCGTGGGTTTTTTTATTGTTGCTTGGTTGCCGCCAAGCCTCACAAGAGTCATCGCCAGGAATCATTTGCGTAGTTCGACCGCTGAGGACATTCTTCATAGTCACCAAAACTGTTGTTCCGTGTTTCTGCAATGAATAAGAACTCACACCAGCAGTTAAATAAGAAAAAGTAGTTTGCCTTCTCTACTGAAATCTTTCGGAATGCATCTTCCTCAATCTGGTTTAAGCCTAATGAATTTTAATATAGCCGTTTGACCGTTTCCTCTTTGCCCTACTGCAATTTTTTCAGACACCAACTATTTTCTATGTTAATGACAGTTTCTGTTTATTGATTTTTTACAAGTGAAACAAACAGAACGCATTCTCGTCGAACACATTTTCTATCATCGCTGGTCATTTCTTGTCATCTATCATCTTTTTAAAGCAACAAATTTCTACGCGCATCTTCTAAACGAGGAGAACGTATCACCCCCAGATCATTTTAATCTTAGCCTATAGTTTCTTCAATCAATGGATCCCATGCAGTAGTTGAAAAAATGTGTCGGTGCCCTGAAGGGTGATGGTCCCTTCAGGGCTTTGAAAAACAGCGTTTGCTTTGAAAAACAGCGTTGATAGAAGGAAACGTTCCTAGTTACCTAAAATCTGTACTAGGAACCCTATCTACAGAAAACAGACTTCCAAATTATAGACAAGAGACAGACTACAAAATTACTGGCCGGGTGACATCAACGTCGCATATCATCAAGGATTTGAGAAGGTCTTTGCCAGGAGGTTGGTGCATTACGTGGAGGAAGCTGATCTATTCAACTGAAGACAATATGATACCTGGCAAAATCGCTTCAGTTTGTCCAAGTTACTGGGGGCATCACCACCGAATTGTGGCCAAGCTGGAAGAAAGGGTTGGTGTGAACATGGCGTATTTAGACAACGAAAGCGTTTAACAAAGTTTACAATGGAGTGTTACTCAGACGACTGAGGGTCGGAGGTGAATTGGCGTTGATCCACAACTTCTTACGTGATTGATTACAAACTGTCGTTGTCGGAGGCTCGAGATCAATCGGCGCGAGGGTGAAAAGCGGAGTACCCCAGGAAACGGTACTTGACCTATCCTCTTTCTTCATCATCCACATCGCCGACACAGCCACGCCCCGACATCGGCATTCGCCGAAGTCACCAGGGTACTCATGACTATTACGTACAGGACAGACTGCGAGAGGTTGCTAGAACATTTTTCTGCAATATACGACTGGACCATGGTGAAAAACATGCAATTCAATTGAACCAAGTTTGAGGTTCTGAGATACAGAGGCAGCGGAAGAATTGGTATGGAGCACTGCTACCTAACCAAGTACCCGACGGAATGAAACTCGAAGAGTAGCAACTCGTGCGCGATCTCGGAATTTGAGATGAGTGAGTACCCGGACCAAGTTTTACCCGGACCAAGTTGCTACTCATTAATTCTGACACACTGTCGCGTCCTCATGCCAGAGGCCGCAGATGGTTTGCGGAGAATGAAATACAGATTTTTTGGTATCTTACTGTACATTTCTTCTCGCTTCGAGTCACCGACATGTGGAACAGCCTCCCTGATAGCATCGTTGACGCTCCGAGTATGAACATCTTCAAAAACAGACTAGACGAAGCTATGCAGGAGCATATGTTCAGTCTTAAAATGCCTAGCAAATTACGGACCAGGCAATAAGTCCAGACGAAGCTATGCAGGAGCATATGTTCAGTCTTAAAATGCCTAGCAAATTACGGACCAGGCAATAACTCCAGCAGCTATCTCAATCAATCGTCAGCTATGGAAAGATCGGGTTCCAAAGGCCGGATCCCTTGTGAATCAAGTCACGAAAAGTTCAAGAATCGGCAACAGGCCATGGCCTATTTCTTCAACGCCGACACTTCTATTCTATTCTTGTGATCTCATATCGGCGAAAACCGCAAGAAGCAGGTGACAGATTTGGAGGATCTGGCGAACGTTAAGAACCTGAGAAGTGGAACCGATAATCACACTCTTCAGAGCCCTTGTGATCCTTATCCTTGAATACTGCTGCCAGCTCTAAACGCAATTCACACTCGGCGCAATGCGGGAATTTGAAGCGGTCCAGCGAACCTTCACGTCCAGAATCAGTGGGATGTAGGAGCGAGACTACTGGGGCAGGCTGCAGCGCCTGGGTGCAGGATACCCCATTACGATACTCATCTGCGGTCAGATTTTAATCTCTGCGAGCAGGTTCCTATCGGTGGCGGGACCGAGGCTGTTTATCGTCTTGACAAAGGATTTTAAGAGAGGGGGAGTTCACACTGGAGACCTTCAACAGGAGCTCTTGGGCTCACTTCCTAATCGTCCGCCCCTGCACCACTTCCGGCAGTCAGAAGCAAACAAAAGTATCGTGCATCAGCAGAGCCAATAAATCGCATCAGCTGGCCCAACAAAGGGCATCAGCTGTCCCAACAAAGGGCATCAGCAGGCCAAACTGAGGAAAAATGCTCGGTAGTCCTATACTGGCGCCCGAGATCTCGACGGCGAGGACGACTTGCCAATCAGGCTGAAGGGGGCGGAATATTGAGGCGGCGTTCCAACGAAGCCTGTGACTGCCACGTCCGAAACACATATCAAGTACTGTATAGTGACAAATATGGCAACGTCTGCCAGGAGCAACGAATGACTTATTCAACATATGCACAGCAGTGCGTGAGGGTCAAGATTTTTTATACGGGTTAAGATAATTTTTACCCATTTTCCAGTCTCAGTAGTCGACAGAATCTATCCTAACGCTTTCGTTAAATTAGTTTTGAGCACATACCTTGTGTCGATCTGCGTCGTTTAGCAACAGATGGCTGCTAGGGCATGGACAGCCAGACAGAAACATATTTAGGACTGTGACAGAAAAAATTTGTAAAGAAAATTGCATCTAATGCCAGCAAAAATAAGTGGAGAAAATCTTTGCAGACCCAGATATATTATGGCAGATATTGAAGTAATTGAAATAAATACACTTTAACTAATTAGCCTACTAATTCTATAACTTTACAGCGAAACCATTTTGGTTTAAAAAAGAAACGACATGATTCCATGTACATCTGGTAATTAGTATGAAGCTCAAATTGCAGATTAGTATAAAACATGAATCTATACATATAGCAAGTTGCGATCAGGTATTTTCTCAAGATTTATTCAATTTAGAAGAAATTAATCTTCATTTGTGACTCGTCACTTGTTCATTGTGGCTCATAAGACGTATTTGTACACTATCGAGCACACAAAACAATATTTCTTACTGCAACCTTTAACGCTAATTTGTGTACCACTATGCAAAAAATATTACTTAATCCGAATTTCAAATAGTCTTGGAATTGCGAACTACATCTTGAATTTGTAGTATTATCTCGAACCAATCTGAAACATATGATGAATAAAAGAATGGACATGTTTTGAAGCTCATGATTAAATATTTGCACGATGTCGTCATAAAATTTAAATCTGAATAGCATTCTAAACTGGCATTCTCTTGAAAAACAAATCAAAATGTGCAGTTGTCCGCATTATTATGAGTCCGCGTGATTACGTCCTTTGCACTCGTTTCAACAAGTCTCAGCGGTGAAACAATGGTCGAAAGGTGAGCTACAATTGGTATTTAAGAATAACACCAAATTTTCGTTCTCATCATTCGTTTAATGCTAGTTATTAAAACAACTGAAGTCCCTATAATGGGATGAACTTCCGGTAAGCGATGGAAGGAATACCTTAAAACTATCAACTGGGTTATCGGCGTTGTTGTCCGAGACTTTCATTTGTTTCTTGACTTTCATCCTTATCTTCCCGGACCCGACGAAGAATTTCAATCTGAACATTCATCACCACATCAACTGTTTATAACGATTTTGTCTCTAACTCCTGACTGAGTGGCAATAGTTAAAAATGAAATGTATTATTTATACCCATAGTAGGCAGCGTAGGCTAATAAGGCTATGATAGTGGCAAATGACCAATCGCCAATGCCAATCAAAGTTTTTGTTTTCTTGGGTCACCATAAAATTTCTGTATGCAAATTAAGCCATAAGCCCATAGTGGCAAACCAGAGCTTTTTTGGAATCGGTTCATTTTTAATTTCCTCAATAACTCTAGATTTATACCAATTTCTTATGTATGATAATGCAGGTTTCGAGGATACTTTACTGGTCTGGTCTACATATAAAACTCAAAAATGAACTTGAAAGAGAGCAGGATGGAATTCTAATATTGACTGTTCATATATTATTCCCGATACACCTACACTAGTTTAATCGAACTACTGAAGAAACCTATCGACTATCGACTGCATAAATCCTATCGACTATCGACTGGCATGCGGTTGTTCAACGACCAGATGACCTTGAGATAAATTTTACAACGACTCTTGTGCCACACTATGAGACCTGGACCAAAACAAGGTGTCTGACACCGTCTTGTCTAATGTCAACAGTCAACACAATGTTGCCATACGCCGTGAAAGATTATCAGTTTATCCCATCATTCCGTGTGGATTCGAGATCTTTGTTGGTATTGGTGAAATCGTGAGAATTTTCTGCGAAAGTTTACGTAATTTTTATTCTTTATTTTGGAACATATTCATTACAAATTTGTCGATACGGATACACGACTAGTGATGTATTGGAGGGAAGAGTCACCTACTTTTTATCGGTTTTCGAACCACACGCAAGCGAGTTAGAGGAAGTGCAGCTGTCCGGGTGTCCGCACCCGCAGTTTCTGATGAGCTCAGTGTAAGAGTATGAGTAATTGAGTATCAATTGTCACTTTGGTGGAAGGTGTAAGGTGGTAAATTTTTCTATACATTTTCTTTTGTTAACATGATAATATATTACCTATACAGAATTCCATACTGAAAGAGAGTCTAAAAAACTTTCTGCTTTGCCACTATGCATAAGCCTACCCAATACCCATTTGCCATTGCAGATTTGCAACACAATATCATGAATGCCAATGGTAAACTTTCAAAATACAACTCAATTCACAAGTAAATTTACATTGAATAAGCTAGTTTTTACGCACCTCTGGCAGTCTGGCTGCAATGTTATTAGGCTAGGTCCTAGGCAGCATACTGTCAAATGGGGTCAATGGGCTAATATTAATAAGGGACAAGTGGGGTAAATTGGAACAGTCCTCTGGCTCTGCCATGGCCTAAAAATGTTATAGCAGCAAAAATAATTGAAATATTGCATACTCTGGACATGGACAATAATATTGCAAAAAAGCTTTTAAAATTTGGTAAAATCAGTGATTTTTTTACCATAATGAGTGATTTATCTCATTCTTGATTGTTTATACCTAATCACACTGACCGTACACACAAACGTGTATCTGTATTGTGTTGTGGTTGGATATGAGTTGCCTAGATTGCTAACGCGTCAACTCAGGACTCGGGTTCTAAGAGTCAGCACAGTAATGAATATTCATTCATATATCACAATTCAATCGGACATGAATTACAGAACTAAAGAAGGCAACATGGCTTTAGATGTGCCATCGGTGCCTTCTAATGAATGACTGGACTGGTGGATGCAAGTAGGGTATGAACCTGTACGTCAACAGTACGATCCTGCATGCCAATGTTGGGACTACATTACCGACATCCTCCCGGCCGGCAAAATCGACACAATCAATACCTAATAACAATGCGCGTAAATGGACTATACAAATTAGGTCAATATGGCATAATTACTGAGCTTAATTATGCTACGTGATACAAAATATGAATATATATATTTGCAAGATAAGTCAATGGTCTGTTGTTTATTTTTGCTTCATTTGAGCAATTATGGTTTCCAAATCTGGGTGTGTTATGTTATGTCATGCATACTTTGAATGTGCAAAAATTATAAATATCATGTGAAAATTGTTACGTAGGTTATCATAGCACGAATCGCAATTGAGTATCACAATTGCAGTTCTGCCACCACCCTTCATTGAATTATCCCGCCTTTTTTCTAAAATTCAATAATCTCTCTTCCAGCAAAGTTTGCAAGATTCATTAGCTGCATAAAATACTCTCTGCTGTGGTGTTCGAGTTCTGGTTGACATGACATCCGTTTGCTTGTTTGACACTAATTTTGTAAAGGTTGCTTCAGATAAATTAATCATTGCCATTCCCATGTTCCACCCTCAATTTAATGTAGCTAACAATATTGAATGGACTTATTAATACAAATCTGTATCTATTAAACTTTTACATTTTAAGATCTGATGGAAGCGGCGAGCGTCCCTAACAATATGAGGATGTAAATAAAAACATTAATTATCTAGGAGCGGGCTTCACAAAAAAAAATTTCAACATGGCTATAATTAAATAAAGATCATTACTTGTAGTATAATAAACATGAAGTTTCCCTTTTAAAAAGTTATATTTCGTTGGTCATCAAAGTTTATATCAACTAGACAACTACGCAAGTCGAACTAACAATAATAAAATGTAAGAAATGTCCGGGACTCCGGGTTACTTCTGACTCTTCGGCTGGCTTGTCGGATACGGAACATACGGTAATCGTAAACTGCGGCTATTAAACATACGAAATGTAAAAATACAGTGTTCAGTGTTGCCATATGACTTTGGAGATAATTTCTTCCACAATAAAGCTCGAGATTTCTCGTTCACCAAATTTCCGTATCAAGGAAAATCATATATTATTGAAGGATAATTAAAGGCATACTGTACTGAGTATTGCGTCTGTTCCTCCACAAACTGCTCTTGTGCGGCGTAGAATTGATGACCGGGATTGCACAAACTGCAGAAGTCAAGATTAAAGAACCACACCGCAAATCATTCATTCACTAATAAGTGCTAATTGCATAAAAAAACACAGGCACCGGAAGAAATCTATCTTATAAATTTTCATTTTTATTACAACGATGAAGGTAAATTCTAGAGGCGAACAACGAACATTAATAAAAATGAGAATAGCTTCAGAGGGACGCATCACACTTGAAGTCGAAGATCGTTCAGCGTTACTTGAAATCTACAGACTATGTTGCCATTCCATTCAGATGAAAACTGTGTCTAAATCAGAACTGTGTCGGACGGCTCCGCGGCCCGCGCCAAGTGCTGCACGCTGTGGAATTGATGACCGTGATTTGCGCAAACGCATGCGCGAAGAAAATATAAAAAACTAAAAGTGCGTGGGAAATTTCCCCGTTTATATACATCTTCCTGAGTGTGGAGATAGTGCACCTTTCTTAACAATTGATAGAAGATAATTCATCTGGCGGGAATCTCGTGGTTCTAGAAATGTGTAGAAGATAATTCATCTGGCGGGAAACTCGCGGTTCCAGAAATGGCGGAAAAGCTCTAGTTGTGGCCCTAAAGGGAGATGTTTTCCAAGCTTGCATACAATTACAATTAATGATCAGAAAATGCATTACTATTTTTGAGAATTTGACATTAGTAGATCAAAAGGCAGGTTAAGAATAATATATCAAAAACATTTCAAATGTAATGACATTCATTTCCAAGTTGAAAGAAGCATTGAATAATAAAACTTTGTTGGACTGCAAATAGAATACATCATGAAAAATTTTGAGCCAGAAAGTCCCTCCACAAACAACTTAAAAATTTAGATAAATCCTGTATGGTATAGTTTAGAAATAGATAGATGGGATTTAATCCAAAATGACAAGGGTTCCAGCCAGAATGCAGAGGCCAAGAGGGTGCAAGCAGCATTGCCAAGATATGGATTTTTAGCCCAAAGCATTGCCAGCCATCTTCAAGATGCATTACTGGGTAATTTTCAATAAGGAAAGGCTGCTAACAATGTTGGTAGAATATCCCTTACTCTTCATGCATTGAAACCCTCGCACTCATTGCAACTAATTTCTGGACAAGCTTCATCCTGATCCATCCAACGGACCAGAAACCTTACTGTGTGCGCTTGCGGTCTTACATATTTGCAATAATTTCAAAGTAATTTCTAAAATTCAATAATTTCAATCCAAATGTGTCGGCAAGATCTTCTGAAGCTCTAAATTTTGCTACTGATGTGTCACCAAAGATCTTTTGATTTTCGCCCACTTTCTGGACTCCAGCAATCATTGGGTTAATGTTGTGCACCTCTGCATGATGACAAAGCTGGTAGGTTTCTCCAGCTCTAGCATGGTGCCAGAAACAGTCTTGTGAGTTTGTCTCTGGGTGTTACTCTGCTCTCCAGACCAAAGATAGCAGGTGAGACGGTCTTGCTGTCATGGTTGTTAGTCCCATTACTCCAATGTACCGTAAACTGGGGTAACTTAGACTCCCGGGGTAACTTAGACCACTTTTCGTTTTTTTAACAAAAACCCCCAAAACTCAAAAACTATTTGACATAGAAAAATTCTGTCAGTGGGCATTAAAGGCCTAATACTGAGGCTACGTAACACAATAGAAAGATTTAAAAAGCTTGCATATCTAATAGGTTAAAAAATTAAAAATGTGACCCATGAAAAAAAGCTATTATTTAAAGCCTGTCAGAGTACCCCCTCCAATTTTTTTTTTTTTTTTTGGCAAAATAACTCCAGTTTTTGATGCATTGTAGTTTAACTCTTCTAGTTACATATGCAACAAACAAATTTTAGGAAAGTCTCATAGTTTGCAAATGGGGGGTGCCGTCCCTCAATGGGGGAACTTAGACCACCTAATGTCAGCCCTGACGGGGTAACATAGACCGGCTTGGAAATTAATTTAAAATTACCATATATAACATTTCATGTTTGATACACTTATTAATGTTTTTTCTTTAGGTTTCAGACTCTACAGAGTCTTATATTTGGTAATTTAACTTAATTTCCAAGCCGGTCTATGTTAACCCTGTCAGGGCTGCCATTAGGTGGTCAGAGTTCTCCCGTTTGGGGGAACTTAGACCACCTGGGGGGCGGGACCCCCATTTGCAAACTATGACACTTTCCTCAAATTTGTCATTTGCATATGTAACTAGAAGAGTTCTACTACAATGCACCAAAACCTGGAGTTATTTTACCAAAAAATATAATTGATTTTACCAGACAGTCTAAGATACCCCCAGAGCTGGGGTAAAAAAGACCATCAATTTTTTTTAAATTACATCAAAACTATGAGAGGCAGGAGCCAGCAATTTATGGTGAGTGAAGCTAGAGTATAGACCTGTATTTTGCATGTTTCATTTCAAGTTTAACTTATCTAGTAAAAAAATGGCATCATTTAAAAAAAAAGTGGTCTAAGTTACCCCAGTTTATGGTAGTCAAAATGATGATGGCTAGAACCTTCTTTGAAGCAAAATTTATCAACTATGTTGGCCTTTTGGAGAATTCTTACTCATTGGCAGAGGCCATTGTTATCTATAGTCCAGAGTTTGAGGTTGTTGTCAAGAGTGTTACCAAGCTTAATTATAAAGAGCAAATCATAGACTGAAATATAACTTATAAATTGAATGAAACATTGAATAACAGATTTGGTTTCCAATGGAAAAATACTGGAAATAACCAATCTGGCTGCAGCATAGGATTCAAAGGCTAAACCAAAAAATTCCATCTTCAAGCATCAACAAAACACTGGCAAAACAAGAGCTGATGTTACAAAAGCCCATGGGTTATTCCAGGTTCTGGTGGCGGTAACTGGGAACTGGCCGTTGCCAATGGTTGAGCACCTCCAGAAGGACCCCATGAGACACCACCTGATGCTACAAATTTGTTGCAGTGCACCAAAAAAGTGGCAGTAACTTTGGCAATATGATTGTTCATGGAAAGTTCCAAGCCTAGATGAATGCCGAGGTTGTAAATTGAAGATGCAGGCAAGACAAACTCATTGCCCAGGCAAACTGGGTTGATGGAAAATGATGCTGGTGCCAAGTAGTTGCAAATAAAATCTGTTTTAATGCATTGAGCAGGAGCCAATTATAATGCATCCAGTCTGAGACAGCATCCATGCAGAGAGACATCTGGTCCTGCAACACTGCAGCCTTAGCTGGCGCACAGTAGCCATAAATTTAGGTTTTGTCAGAGAACATAAGGCAATTCAAACTATGTGGAATTATCTGCAACATGTTAACAGTTTATAACGAATAGGATCAAGCCAATAAGTATTAAAATCATTTGTTTGCTTGAATCGCAAGTTAACCAGGAATTTAAAAGCGAAGAAAATACCACAAAAATTCACCATATCCTTATAAGAGAAAACGTTTTGGAGTCCAGCTGCATCGTCAGTTCAAACCACAAAATTCTGTTCAGAAAAAGTTCAGTCCTAGAAACACAAATAAATCAATTAGTAAAGTAAATGCACTAAAAATAAATAGATAAGACATGAAAATAATGCTAGTAAACGTAAACGGCCTATCTATTTACTATTTCAAGAGGAAAGGAGCTAAAAGCGGCATTCAGACTAGGCTTCTGTTTGAATATATACAGGGATTCTAAAATTCGTAGATCACTAACACCGGATGTGGAAGCTAGAATTTTGAAATCACTATCAGATACAGAGGTGTTGCACTGCTCGGCATGAACACGTACAGCAGAATGAGGTGGATGTGCAAGTAGGTTCCCTGTTCTATAACTCCTGCCCTTATGCTCAGCCAGCCTAGTATAGAAATTGCGTGCCGTCATACCGACGTACGCTGATGCGCACTGCGCACAACTATATCTGTAAACTAGTGACGATCGCATAAGAACAGGTAGGGTATCCTTATACCTGAAAAAAGAGCCGATTCTAAAATTGTTAACCAGCAACACATGAAGATTTACATCCGGAAGATATTTGGCAAATAAAACTTTTAATTCCTTTGACATAGTCTCAGATGCGGGTCCAAAGTAGGGAAAAGAACAGTAAACAACTTTCCTATTGTCACACTTAGGAACGACTGCAGTATATTGCTTGGACATAAACTTTTTAATTTGGGTGAGCACCAGGTGTGATGGAAAGCCATTTTGTGAAAAGATATTGCGCAACAATTCAAATTCAGAGTGCATGGCTAGGAAAGTAGAACAAATGCGATAGCCGCGGTTTATCAATGTTTGGACCCCATTTAACTTGAAACGAAAGGAGCAAAAGCTAAAAAAGCTGGTGCTTAAGCCGGTAAATGTCGATTTTCTAAAAACAGAAGTTTGGAAACGGCCATTAGATTTGGTAACTTTGCAATCAAGGAAAGACAAGCTATTGTCTGATTCCAGCTCCATGGTGAATTTGATAGACTTATGTTGGAGATTAAGATAGTCAAAGAAAAGGCCCACATGAGAGGGGTGCTTAAAAATCAAAAAGGTATCGTCAACATATCGGTTATAGAAAATTGGCTTAAAATCAAGAGGGCAATTGGCCAACCATGTAGCCTCGTGAAAACACATGAATATATTGGCAAAGGTAGGGCCGAGTGGAAGTCCCATGCCCAAACCGTCAATTTGTCTGTAAAACTTGCCAGCAAATACGAAAATTGAGTTTAGCACAGATAATTCAAGAAGAGATTTGAAAAGCTTGCGGTTAAAACCCATGACAAGGTCATTGACATCTTTAAACAATGAATTGAGACAAATATCGATGGTTTCAGAAAGAGGTATATTAGTAAATAAATTTTCTACATCAAAAGAGGCCATAGTCAATTCGTGAACATTGGTAAAACTCTTCAGGCGATCTACGAACATATAAGTGTTATCCACAGTATATTGGTTTGTCGTAAGACAGTTCAGAAGCGGAACCAAAAATTTTGCAAGTTTGACTTGCAAAGGACTAGGACTGAACTTTTTCTGAACAGAATTTTGTGATTTGAACTGACAATGGAGCTGGACTTTTTTCTTATAAGGATATGGTGAATTTTTGTGGTATTTTCTTTGCTTTTAAATTCCTGGATCAAGCCAAGGACTGACCCCTGTGGTACACCACAATGGGCCAGTCCTCATCAAAATTTTAGTTGCCTTTGCTTTGTTCTGATTTATTTTCATTTTCTTACAGATATCAAATTTTGAACTGTTACCTTGACCAAGTTTTAGCAAACTTTGAAATCCCAAAAAAATGAACTGATTTATTCACCCTGAACTGATACTCCTGTAGCTCACGAGCTCCTTCTTTTTGCTGCCATCTTCTGCCCAGACTTCTCATTATGGATGTCACTGCAACTAGTAAGTTGGAAATTATTTCATTATTGAGAATAAGCAATTTGACACCTGAAGAATAAATGTGTATTTCTCAATATATTCAATTCTAACCAAATTTCCTTAACTTTGTAGTCAATACCATTTCATATTTGAAAATTACTTTGTTTTCAGATTTCAGGGAAGTTCTTCCAAAGGTGTTTGATGCCATCAACAAGGCAGACTTTGTTGCAGTGGATGCAGAATTCTCAGGGTTGCGTCGAAGCACAGCCGATCAAGAATTTTCAATCATGGACACATTAGAAGAAAGGTATTTTTTCAAAGTTTTATTTTAGGTTCAAATCTAGCTAGGTACTGATTTGCCTGAAAGTTACATGCTTTGAGCTCTGTTCTTCTATGCACAATTTAATTAAGGAAATGTTCCAGTTTTACTTTATGCTAGATTAGAAATTTTTATTGTAGGTATGTCTGTTTGCAGATACACCAAAGTTGCATCAAGTGTCAAGGAATTTGGGATGATCCAGTTTGGCATGAGCTGCTTCCACTCTGATGCTAACAAAAAATCGTGAGTAATTTATTTTACATTTTATTAATTTTTCACATTGTTCATTGCATTATTTTACTCTCACTAACCTGATGCTGGGTGCTATAAAAAGAAAAAACAACTTTTGATTGAAGTTGAAATTGTGGAGACAAGTTTCATTCAATTGTATTTATTATCCCGTTTTCTGATTCCTTTGTGTCTTACAGTTCATCTGCAAGCTCAAATCACTCTATGCCGCCTCATTGTTTATACAATGTGTTAACAATGGCATTTTTATGTACCTATAGTTATGTATAGGTACATAGTTGTATATACATGACCAAAGACCCCTTTTCTGAAACCTTTATGCAAATTACTAAATTGTATTTTACTACGGTATTTATGTTAATAAACTTCAAATATTCAGGTTGGCTGCCTTAAATATATTTCTAGATTATGAATATCCTTGGTAGCATGATCAATATAAATTTCAACCTTATTTTTAGACTTCCTAGCAATGTTGATTCTGAAGTAAACACTCATATCTGTAATAATTAAGAAAGATATTGTAAAAGCTTTCAAAACTAAATGCTTTATGGTATAGTAGATGGTATCGTACTTCAACTTGGATGAGGTTTTTATATCAGAGTCATATAGTATATAGCTGACATTTTTTATATAATTCTGATTAGAATGACTGCATTTACATGAAATACCATACCCATGGAAGCCATAACGCCTGCTTTGAATTCATGCTTGTCCAATAATTTTGCAGGTATGAAACTGCCACCTTCAGCTTCTACTTGCTGAAAAAGATGACATCACTATTCTCCCCAAACACATTCACAGTTTGCAGTAACAGCCTGAGATTTTTAGCTGCAAATAAGTTTGATTTCAACAAATTATTTAGTGGTAAGTGCAAAAGTAAAGATTAATCTAATGCTCAAATGACAGAAAAAAAACAATAACTGCTATAATGCTCATCCACTCTAGGTGTTTTTGTATAATGTCCATCTCCGCCTGTATTATTTCAACATAAGAGACAAAATATTTATCAGATATCACAAGTGACTTCATCCAAGCCATTTATCATACCTGATGAATATTTGATAGCCTATAAATTTTTACAACTTGAAAACAACGTTCAATGACGACCGTCATATTTACAAATCATTTCTCATAATACAGAACCCCTGAACAGGGTCAAAATTCCTATAAATATTGTTAGTATATTTAATAATGTGCAATATGACTGATAAATGATGTAAATAACTTAGTTATTGTGAATATGCACTCAAACAAAGAATAATTTCTACATAACTTTCAAAGAGTCAATAGTTGAGCTTGGCAGCTCATGCATTTGATAACTTGGAGCAGCCACCGTGCAGCTTTACTTGTGTGGTGTTTCCTGAATGTCAAATTTTTATACACCTTGAGTGCTGCTGATACAAACTTGAGTTAAAATTTGAGTGGTAACTTCATTTCAGAAGTCATCCATTGTTAGATAATACAATATAATTCACTATCCAATGGAATAAAATTGACATGCAGGTTTTATAGCAACTTTGGTTGCATTTGCACTTATGATTTATTTATAATGGCAATATCAATATCAAGTCGGCACGTAACTACAGGTGACTTGATTCCTGACCACTTTTATCTACCCATACGCATGCATTCCTTGCTACTGCGCTAGAGCCATGACGTGTGTGACTGGTCAGCGTAGGTAGACCCATTCTAACTCAACACTTACACTCAACTTATGAATGCCATTGATCCTACCAATGAATAATTGGAAGACTGAGGTCCTTTTGTTAATTTGGGAGAAAATTTTATTCATTTCTAGAAACCGTAATTATGGTTTAACGTGAGCTAGTAAAAAAATCGCCAATTTCAGGCAATAATCTTTTGATAAAAACTGTTTAATGTCTTCTCTTTGAATAACTCTATAAACCTTCCATCTTGTGTTTGAGTCAATAATATCATTATAATTTCTTTGCAATATGCAGATGGCCTACCGTACCTGAACCAGGTAGAAGCTCATCATAATAGAAGTCGTCTTCCTGACCAGATAACCAAACGACTTGGGATTACATCTGAAAAGGTCAGCCCTTTGTTAGAGAACCGCGTTAATGAAACCATGAGATCCTGAATAACATTCAATGACCATGCATTTCTTTAGCTTAAATTTCTAGAGCAGTATATGCTTCAAGAATATCATTGTTGTAACTATATTTATCGGAGACAATAACACCGTTATCTTTAAATAATCTTGAAGTTCTGCACTTTGCGTTCCACTAGCAAGATATTTTTTAATAATCATTAGAGGGCTTCTTGGTGAAGAGTAATTTTTTGTTGTGCTGATCTCTAATTTTACTTCACCTTCTCAATCAATTTTTTTCATTCAATTGCTACGTTTTTTTAAACTGACATACGAGCCTATAAATATGGTTAAATTATGCATCAAATTTTCCTTTACTACATAAAATATCATTTTATTTGGCACTTGATACTGTTCAGACTCACTTAGCTTTATTTCCTTCTCTACTTCAGCCTTCAGTTCAAGACCCTATCAGCAGCCTGTTTAAAGTAATCAAAGATTACGTTGCCACGGAGAGCGCCAAGTTACTAAGGCAAGCAAATAACGCCTCGCCATCAACAACCAGCAAAACAGAAGGACCATCCAGCCCTAAAGACGAGCGTAACGGTATCAGCAACGGCCTCATCTTAGATTCTAAGTTCAAAGCAGAAGATATTTTAGAGGTTCCCGTGGATCAGCTTCATAGTCCTGCTAACTACACGCCTCCTTTTCACTCCTTACGAAAGTTCTGCTTGAAGGAAGTCAAGCGCAGCTTCTGGAAACTTCTGCGTTTACTGGTCGCCTGCGAGTGCAGTAATGTGGACGCAACACTGGATTATGACGAACAGGCTCTCTTTGTTAGGGTGTTTCTTAACACTGAAGATCGTGATAAGTTCGTCTATTACGATGAGGTTGACAAATTCTACAACACGGTGAGTTGTGGTTAGCAAATAAAATGTATTTCTTACTATTTAAACTGTTGATATTGTAGTCAATATCCAACAATTGTCAATCATGTCTTTTGTAGACATGAGTTGAATATTTTTGTTTATTTTCCCTAAAAATGATCGCTACCATTAATGTTTGTCATTTTCTCTTTGCCTCATTCCCACGTTCGTCAACTTATATATAAGTTGGAGAAGCATTTATTTTTAATTCTAGTGTACAGATGTTTATTCATAATTACTGATGGGAATGCACGCTTAATATATTCACATGCATTTAACTTTATCTCACTAATTATAACTGGAAATTTTTCCCAGATTGGTTTCAGTCACATCGTCTTCCACCTTCTGAAGACTGGGAAGCCAATAGTTGGACACAACTGCATCTTAGATGTGATGCACCTTGTCGACAAGTGTTTGCAGCCCGTGCCTCTAGATTTAAATTCCTTCAAAGAATTGTACAAGGCAAACTTCACTCTTCTCTATGACACCAAACTTCTCACCGTTGGAGCCCCTTTTGCGTGAGTTTTTGCTTACGTGATGAAACTTCAGGCATAATAATGAATCTTCAATCTTTGCCTTCCGCATCAACACTTGATTAGTATAGTATAGAATCTTCGGCATTGAAGAATATGCCTGGATAGGCCTGTCGCCGATTCTTGTATTTTTCTTGACTAGACTGGCCTTGTTATCAAATCTTTTCAACGGACCGTAGGTTTAAAATCGTTTCTAGATTACTGCCATCAAATGCGTTATTATGATTTCAGACACCAGATGGAGAACACCTCTCTGGAGCGGGTTTACAAGTTTGCTTCCTCTTCATGTCCGAAGTTGACAACCTTGAAGGGGTGCCGCTCATACAACCTCAAGTCCCAAGAGGGCACCAAGGAGCACGATGCTGGCTTTGATGCCTTTATGACGGCTGTTGCATTCGTTGGAGTTGTTCGAAAACTCGGTGTGTTCAAGACTTCTGTTATCTGACTGTCCTGACTGTTGATTGAGTTTTCGTTTTAAAATAGATGACAACCTCCTACTTGTCTTCTGTAACTGCCGATTTTGTTGACCTTAATACAAAAATGCCTTTCAGACTTTCAATAAAGATAATATGCTAATAAGGTAGTATATTAGAGTAAGGGTATTAATGTAATCATGAATTGTTTCACCAGGTGGCCCTCGGAAACGAGAGAAAAGCCTCCTTGACTCGCCTCACCTGAAGAACGTCGCTAATAGGTGAGAGTCTTGACGAAACTTGAGTGGTCTTTGTGTTTCGCAATCCCAGGCCGAGCCTAGGAGGTCAACCTAGGTCTTTCGAAGACCAAGTTAATAGCCTAACCTATTGCCTTTCTTGCATTAAAATTTGTTAAAAGACCTCTATGCAATTCTGATTGAAACTACAAAAGAGACGGATGCACCAGCTTAGTAAACTTGACTTTTATAAACTAAATGACCATTTCGGCATTCGTTTACTCTTTCCATGCTGTATTTGGACCAAAAATCGATAAATCCCACCGAAGTTTGAGTCTGCCTTAGAAAACTTGTGTTGACGGATCTACCTGTTGAAAACCTGACAATTGTGAAGCTTAGGTATTGGAAGGAATACTGATGGAACCTTTCCAGGTAACTCGCACTGGTCCGCACATGTGTCTGGAAAAGCGTTTTAACGCCGCCTCTTGTTCCCTGTCATAAAATTGTCTGAAAACATTTCTTCTCCTCAATAACTCGTTTCTTTTGATCGAAATAAATGGCGTGTGCACTATGGTAGCGCGTGCAATCGTGTATTTTTGAGGTGTTAGTACAAGAACTTCGTTAATGGTCCTAGGACGCGTTTTAGGCTGGAGCCTCAAGATTGGCCGTTTTTTATGTCGATTATCTCTTTTCTATGAAGAAGGCTTATCTCGGCTTTCTTTTTTGTGACAATTCATATTATGGATCTGCCTTTTAGTTTGGTTTTGCACTGTTTGCTTCCGTGTTTTTTTTTTAGAAATCTATGCGAATTTGAACTAAAACTTTTTCCTGTTTTTTCATTATCAATAGACTTTTCACATATTCATCTCAGAAGTAATTCGGTTATTTATCCCATTGCATTTCCTTTCTTGCAGAACTTACCTCATGCAAATCTGTGACATGAATGCACTTCATCTAGCAGGAGATGATGGTAATGTAACGAGTTACAATGTTATAGTAATGAATGAACATATCTAGCCGAGGAGATTAATGTTAATATAATGAGTTACTATGGTATTGTAATGAATGAACATTTCTAGCCGCGGGGATTAATGTTAATTTGTTGAGTTACAATTGTATTGTTATGAATGAACATATCTAGCCGAGGAGATTAATGCTAATTTAACTAGCTACAATAGTATTGTAATGAATGAAAATATCTAAACGTAATTAAGATTTTGTGTTCATTCTTCTTATTCGGCAGTCAATTTCATTTTAAAAAATGTGTGATTAAAGAGTGGTTATTTATGTTATCGGTGCAGTAATATATTGTTTGTTCTTGAAATTTTGTTACTAAAGAAACCCTCTCTCTTTCCAACCAAGTTTAATGACGGTTTTGTAAATTTTAAATTTTGTTAACAGGCGTTGTTGACCGGACTGGTGTGTTCGTTGTAACGTCTTCGTTTGAGCTGCGATTTAGCCAGGTCAAGACTTTCTTTCCTGATCTTGGTGAGTCTCTCCGCGTCTGATCTCACACCGTGCTTTACCTCGCTGTCATCAAGTATTGAGCTTTCTCTTATTGAAATAAAAGTCGACGATAAAATTATTAGTTTCGTTTTTAGTTTACTTAACAGTTTTGCTGTGTTCACTCCTGCAATGTATTGTCTTCGAGCTTCTGGTAGGTTAGTTTAATCTCTTGTGTAATGCTCTCTCAACTAATACCGATGTTAATACCGATTGTGTGTTACAGCTTCCCCGACAATTGTCTCGGACCACACACCGGACCACAGGCACTTTGTACTGCCATCCACAGACGCCGAACGCAAAAAGGCTCCAGTGCTTCTACGGAAAGCTTTAACCCTGTGCCCTTCCAGCGTTCACATCATCCTCTACTCTTCTAATTTGAACTCGCCTGAAAGCATGGATACATCAGACTCGACTAGCGGTGAGGCTTGCTGCTATTCGGTTCAAAATAAGGCCATTCCTCCTCCACTGCCCTCTCACAGCTCCCCTGACGTGAACAACTCTGACGTTGGTGATGTTCATTTGAGTGTGCCTCTAACTCCTCGCACTGCTCACCTCGCTAGAAACTCCAAACTTAACGCCAAGTCGCCCGAATTTACTCCTGCTTCTACCTCTGGAAAATCTCGCAGAAGCAGTGGCAATCCAAAATCTAATCAACAAACTCGGCCTACCTTGACTGGTTATAGAACCCTTGAAGAGTTTAATGCTACTAATCAAACTGTAATGGAAGACCTAGGCGTTGAACTTCGTCGTGAAGATAAAACATCAATTATTGACTCAGGCGCTGGTACAATTCATTTAAAAAGAGGAGAAAAACGGAAATCCGGCCAACAATTTGAAGAAGTTGAAATGACAGAAGTTGAAGAACAAGCTCCTCTGATATCTAATAACAGCAAGAACGATTCCGAAGAATGGAAAACTGTTCGTAACCGCAACAGAAACCACAAATGGGGCGGCAGTGCTGCTTCTTGCAATGTTGCTAACCGATTCCAGCCGGACGACCAAGAACCTGAGAAGATTGAAGTGAAAGAGGAAGCACCTATTAGAAGACTTCGCAAGAGAAGTTGTACTGGCGACGTGAGGGCGCACAACAGAGGCGGCGCAGGCCATAGTCTCACTGCGCGAGACGATGTCGCTCACAGCGTCAACGTAAATGACGACATGAGCAACGTTGTTGCTGAAGGCGAGAATGACGGAGCAGAAGCTACGGCCGAAGGGAAGGAACTCAAGAGACTCAAGAGTGTCGGGTCAGTTATGGCGCTTATACTTCAGCTTACCGACTGTGTTATTCTTTGTGAGTTTTTAGCTATAATGCCTGCCTCGTAGCTTGTGCCCAAGATGGCTTCATACTATCTTGGATGTAGCGGATTGCTTTTACACGTTGAGCTTGATCAAGCTATGGTATGGTGTATAAATAGTCTTCGTCATTAAGATTGTGAATAATGTAGTAAATTTATATAATTTAGTAAATTAGCATAATTTAATAAATTAATAAAATTTGGTAAATTAATGACACTTGCCCTGCTTGATTCTTATTTATGCAAATTTGTTGTTTCTTTATCGCGGTAAGAAAAATGTCATTTTGTAGAATAAAGAAAATAATGAGGTAAGTACCTTATAGTTCAGTTTTAATTGCTTTTTTATTGTACTCGTATGATTGTCAATCTACTGTGACATAATTCGTTCTCGTTTCATTTGCTTTAATCATAGTAACTCATTTGCATTGCTAAAAATCCTTTGAATCGTTACAAACTAACAATAACCTTAGTTTAAGTATATGTGGTACATTTGCTTGTGATATTAATTGATACTGTGTTAAAAAAAATGTTTCTCGATCTCCTGCTCATAACTGATTAGATCGAACAATAATGAACTCATTTCTCAATCTTCTTGTTGATAATAATCGTTGTGTTAAATGATAATCTTTATAAAACTTCTTATTGTGGTGAGAAAACTAATATACGGAAATAACGTCTGCGTTCACTTGTCTTGTTCTTCTTAACTAACTATATACGTGATGCTTGCACGTTTTCTCGTTTCTTTGTGCTTTGCTATATGCTATATCTCGCGTTTCTTTTGTTATTCGTTGGGCTTGATACGATGGGTGTTTCTTAGCTCATTTATTTAAATTCAAAGATACTGACATTTGAGCAGACCTTTCTCTTACAGAGCGGAACAATTCTCCTCACTGTCCCTGGAGTCGCCAACATGCGACCGAGCTTTCTCTGCTGCAGTGGAAGTCGGTCCTGGTGGGCCTTCTAGCCGCGGTGTTGCTGGTGGTGGTGGTGTCGTGGAGCAGGATGCTTCTACCTGCTGGGGAGCTGTAACAGGTGCTGCAGGCGCCGCACTTGAGCACGAGGACCGCGGCAGCAGACCACAAGCGCAGCCAGAGGATCTAGAGACCCTTCTGCAGCAGAGACTCGTTGCAGACCAGACGACGGATGATGCGAACAAGAAATTTTCAAGAACAAAACGTGGTGCTGAAAATTCTGAAGGCGATGAGTGTTTTGCTGATGAAGAGTGTTTTACTGTGCCTAATGACTGGTAATTACCTTTGAATGATTCAATCTATCAAAATCTATCACAAAGGCGCGATCAACTTAACATAGTAAACGACTTGGGCTTGTGAGAGTCACATTTACTGGTGAACAAGTATATTATAGTTCTCCGTAAGCTCAATTTGATACGATCTTAGATCATTTGGCTCCGAAATGATTAGAATATTAATCATGTTTGAACCCGTGAGTTAACAAACACTAGACATGCAAACATCAAGCGATAATTTTATTCAGGAGCGTCAAAATCATCTTCATGTTTTAGAGTATTTAAGTTTTTGAATTTAAACCCCATTTCATTTTATTTAGAGATCCCAGTGCTTAAGAGTTAGCGTGAGGAAGCGTCTACAATTCGCAGACCTGATCTATTTGTCAGGACTTTGGTGCTGCTGCGCTCGTTGCTTGTCTTTGCATTTCTGCCCGAATTTACTAGGCGGAAATTTTAATGAAATCTTTTTATTAGAATGGGTTGTGTGGGATTAATTCAGGAGCTGTTAAACATAGTTGTGTTAGCGTAAGATTGCCCCAGTGCCTGGCAAATCGATGTCAGTATAAACTTGCTCACCAAGATCTTGAAAGTTTGCTTTATTTTCCATTCTTTAAAAATTGGACGATTTTTTCGCATTGAAAATTCTTTTTTGATTTGATCTTGAATTTTATTTATTACTTTGATATCCCATTGCTTTCTTCAGTATTTCCTTATCTGTAAATTCTAATTACATTCTCTGCTTGCTTACAGCTTTGCATTGTCTCATTTAGCTTTGCAGTTGCAACTGTTCGGCTTTTCTACATTATTAGGGACTAAGAATGTTCTACGTAGAATTCAAGAGGATGTTGATCAATACAAGGTGTGATCGTTATGACCGTCGTACCTGATTTTGTACCACAAAGTTTCGAGTTGTGTGATGGCTGTGCTTGTGATGTACCGTCGTGACCAAATTATCGAGGTCTTAGCCTGGCGTTGATACAAGAAGCTTTTCTTGGCTTGGGAAGGTTCTCAGAGCAGGATTTATTCGTGTTCTTAGTTTGTGTGTGTAATATTGCCTCGAGTCGCGTATTTGATGTGATTCACACTTTTCGCCGTGCCATTTTCGCTGTGTGCATTTCGAGTGATGAGAAGATATTTTTTTACTTCCGTCGCAACAATGTAAATCTATGGACCAGTGATGAGACATATCTAATTTTACAAGATTTCGAATGAATCTCATCATGTGCACTCTGAACTCTCACTTCAAGTGGACATTGCTCAAGTCTGTTTATTTTGATAATTGTTGTTCTGGCTAGGCTATTCATGCTCACTTTTGAAGAAATGGAAAATGAATCGACCCGAAGTTGTGGGCAACATAATGAATCATCGATAGAAATATTGGTTCAATAGTGCAGTTCTACTCGGGTCTCGGGAAAAATTATCCATCTATGTAAATGAGTTGTTGCGATATTTTTTTAGAGCGTCAAACTTTTAAAGAGTTCATCATTCTTCAGGTATTGATTAGTAGTATCCACATTCAAACGGTTCCTCCAATTATGAGGGAAGTTGTTAATTACTTAAGATTTATGTTTTTCCTAATACCCTCTGCAGATTAGCCTGCAGGCTTAATCGTTATTATTTTTTTTTTGTAAGCAATGGTCGTAAGTTGTTTCTCTTCCAGATTATTCTTCGTTAAGACCACCGAGACTTTCCTCCAGGCACCTTTTGCGTGCCTCTAAAAACACTTGAAAACCATCCGCTTTTTTAAACAATAATTTTAATATTTTATTCAGTGAGGAATTTCGGGGTAATACCAATTTAATTTACTGGGTGTTTGTTAATTGTCTGTGATTTTTTCATCCAAGCGTTTACAATGAACGAACAACAAAGTAAGTACATGCACTTGAGCTTGTTTCGGTTGTAGTATCTTTATTTTGGTATAATTGCTACGATTAACATTTTTCAGGATAGTGATTTTAAGTTCAACGAACATAGATATCATGCGCATTAGAGTGATCGGAGCTTCTGTTAAGAGTCTTGTTATTCACAGCCAGATATTTGTTGACACGTGTTGCCTCATTTCTACTGTGATGAAATAAGAGGTCTCATCTGCATAATTAATTTCGGTTTATTCAGTTGTAATTAATTTAGCATTTAATGCATGTTTAAGGGCAGTACGTCTATTTTCGGTATTAACTAATCTTGACAATATAAGGCATTAGTGCCATATCGCATTACATTCCAAATTCATATCTTGAATGCGTCATAAATTCGACTAACATTAAAACGCCAGTGTTCGTTGGTGTATTGCTCTTTATTCCGCAGGGGTATTCCGTGCTACTTCAAGGTATTGATTTAAAAAGCCTACGGAATTAAATTTACCAACTGGCTCACGTTTTTTCTTCCATTATAATTCTTATCAATAAGCTTTCATTTTGGACCTCCGCCATTTTTTTGTCGAACATTGATGAAGCCACTGACGTCGAATTGAACTATTAATGGTTGTTTGTGGGGAAAGAATTGAACAGAGTTTATGCTTGCAACATTGCTGATGATTTTCAGAGACCGAAATACGGCAGAGTCTTCAAATTGGTTCTCAGTTTTACCATGCAGTCTTATGCGATATGCTTGTGTGACGAACGATAAAAATAAGCCCAAGTGTATTCTTAAATCAATTCACAATAAAAAAAACTTGACTCCTCGGTGCAAGGCCGAAGAATTGCAGAAGTGTTGCCAGAATATATGTATATTTTTACACTAGGACAGGATGTGTCTTAACCCTCTACCGCCGTATGTTACTCTCCGGGAACACAACTTCCAACTTAAATTATACGTAAACTATTGAGTGTAGCAACCTGAGGACGTTTGTACGCAACAGAGAACATTTTAAAGTTAAACTTCCAACTTAAATTATACGTAAACTATTGAGTGTAGCAACCTGAGGACGTTTGTACGCAACCGAGAACATTTTAAAGTTATACGTGGCGGCAACCATCAATGCAAGTCATTTTGCGCTCACTAGAAGGTATCCTTTTTGGGAAGTAGGCATGTGACAATATAGCTCCGGTTACTCGTGTCAGGTGGTAGAGGGTTAAAGTTGTCATTAACTGATTATTAGTTATATTTGTAGCTCAGTTTTTGAATTACAAAAAAGTAAGTTGACTACAAAATTATGGTATTGATTCTAGCCATACCAACGTCCCCCAATGCGGGAGCATCGACCATCATTTTACTGTGAAGTTCCGGAGCTTCACGCGCACAATTCAGCGTTTCACAGCACAAGATCAACTCTGAAAACTACTAAAGCACACGAGTGAGAACAAGTATTTAGTACGTCTAAGAAAAGTAGAACTGAGCTTACAAACCTTCCACTTTTACATAGAAACTTGTCAATATAAATAACCAGTTTTCATCACGTTCCAGTAATGAAATTTCAAACATTCTGATCAATAAAAGAACAAATCTTTGCCACAGTCATCACGCGTCAAATATGCTAGTCAATTCAGCATATCAATACCAACTCTTATAAACTCTTCTAATTTAGTACTTTTCTTACTTCAACACAGAAAATAAATCTTAGTCATCACGAACACTAAAACGTAAGAAATGTTACGTCACGCTAAACTGTCATGCGGTCACTAAGCACTCCTTGAGTATTACTTACAGTAATTGCGAACTTAGAATTGCACGTTGCACGCCATATAAATTCGTACTATGTCGCTGGAAAATTTTTCGTGCATTTAGATCTTCTGATGCCATTTCAAATGAGCCAGAAAGATAACTTAAGAGCTGCTCTTTGAAATCATTCACGAAATTCAATAAATTATCTCTTCTATTGATAACAGACAAATTACACTAAATCCGGATTTTTCCAGAAAGGAATGTAACCATAAATCTAATACCAACTATTGAATTCCTATTTATAACAAACCCAGTACAATAACATTATTATTCTAAAACCACCTAACTGTGCTAAATTACATAGCGTTGTCATAAACATTAAATATTACTATTTTTTTCATTATGGAAATATTTTTCAATGGCACAATCTGGTTAAATGACAGGGCATTAATTATAGTCCTTTTTGCCGTTGTCGAACGTTGCTCCACCAAACAGCAAGAGGCCAACCGTAGCACTGATGCAGGCTGTTACGTTATTTTCTCGCATCTGTCTCGTGTTGACATCAGTGTTGCGGGTACCGCTGCACGAGGAAGTTGTAGACGCTCTCGTACACGATCATCATGATCCCAGCACCGGGGCCAAGGCGCAGAACTTTCGGGACGAGGCCTTTGTACAGCGCCATGAACCTGTCGTGAAAATAGCGTGATGAGAGTTGCAAATCTGATGTTGGGAACAGCTGATCACATATAATAAAAGAAGAAAGTATGAGGTCGAATATGATGAGAATAAGTTGATAAAATCTCTAAAGGTGTAAGATAACGGTTATAGATGAAAAAATACATGAAACAAGTATGTACGGAAAATAATTTATCAGCATAATACTAAAAGAATATGACATCTGGAAATGAAACTAAAAACAATCAATTTTGATACAATAGAAAATCTCGAGTTGAAAAAAAAAATTGAAGTGAATAGTGAAACGCAGTAAACTTTAGATAAAAGTTCAATTTCGATATTTCAAAGAAGCAAATGTTGGGACAAGTGTTGGATTTCAAAAAGTTCAAGTCGCTTATGCTAAATGCTCATTTCTACCAAATTAATTTCTGTACTTTGGAAATATGCTTCTAGACAACCCAGACTTGTTGATCTCCCGAATAAGAAACGCTGACTTTCACCAGAAAACTCAAACAAAATCTCGCTGGAGCATGTGACATAGTCCAGACGGAAATTTCAAAATTTTATAAACGTTATAATCGTACAATCGTAATTGTTATGATTGATGATACTCATGAAAACTACAAACCCAAATAAAGCGTTTCGCCACGACGTTTAAAAATAGTATCACTCGAAAGCTTCAGTGTTGACCAGATCAATTGACAAATTTTTCCAGACTTCGGTAAACTTAAAATATAACTACACCAAAAATATACGTTTCATACCGTAAGCCAGCAATAATTTAGAAACAGAGCTCTCCTCACCCCTCCTCCCTGTAGACAATGGCGATGGAAATTTTTGCTAGACTTCGGTAAACTTAAAATATAACTACACCAAAAATACATGTTTCATACCGTAAGCTTTCAATAATTTAGAAACAGCTCTCCTCACCCCTCCTCCTTGTAGACAATGGCGATGGATGAGAGCGTGCCTCTGTACTTGGGATTGCGCGGGTCAGCCTGCGGTCCTTGTATTCTGCTCTTGGCGACGTCGAAGGGGATGTTCAAGATGCACGCCAGCACGCCTGTGCCGAAACCCACGAAGAACTTTTGCAGGTTGTTCTGCCAGTTTTCCTGCATCATTCATGGATAGGATTCAATGAAGAAGCAAACGCAAATGTGATGCATCCTGTATCATTCATGGATAGGAGAATTCAATAAAGAAGCAAACGCAAATGTGATGCAATTTTTGTCCCAGACGCGTGAGAAGAATCTATCAGTAAACATACAGCGAGCACGTTAAGAATAAAATATGGCGATTATCGTTCCGTCGCTTCAATTCAGCAGATGCAGTCATCGCCATACACAGCCAAAATCCAATTTTAAAGACAAAAATCCTCCTGAACTCAGGTACTTGTAAATACAAGGCAAACATGGATGGTTTTCTATCCTTATTTTTCTTGGAATTATATACTTGAAATATGCCATGCTTCGCTCCACGAATCTTTCTGACATGATATTTGTATGCATTTCCCCCCTCACCAAGAGAAGGAGGTACAACGAAAAAGATAATTTATTGTACTTGAGACCAATTATTAACCGCCGTAGCTTCTAAAAAGTGAATTTTTTATTAAAACTGCCAGCTTCTGTTCAATGCGTAAATGAGCTTATCAAGAACGTGTAGCTATGAAAAGGGACTCAATTGTACATTTGTAACAGCCATCTTGGTAACAGACTTTTTACCTCAAGCCCCCTCTAATGGTATCCAAATATAAATTAACAAATCATAAGTTCGTAAGGAATTAACAATCATAAGTTCGTAAGGAAAAAATCACATGCAGCTGAGTTTATTTTAATTTTGCTCTCATTAAAAGAGGATGAAAAACCAATTGGACAGGATGCGACATTTTAGATGACTTGAATCTGAGTAACGATCGCATGCAACTAAGCAAGACGTCCGAGAAAAATCAAATGTAGAACATTTTCCTGCTCATCAGCCTGCACTTCACGAGTTCGTTACAATTAGGTAGGTTGGACATGAACAAACCTATTCTGTACGTATACATGTTTTAAGTTGTACATTTCATTCTTCTTGTATTGTAAACACCACAACCTTCAGCATAAGTAAATTATCATGCGTGCACAACACGGTGGGAACCACACCTGGCGAGGAGAGAGCACTTCAGTGTTGATGGTGTGAAAGAGGCCGAAGTAGACCATGTTGAAGGTACCATTACGGCCGATGGTGGCAGTCATGCCCTTGTTCAGGCCTAGGATGCCTTCACGTGCGATGATCTCCCGCGCTACAACGAAGGGCCCTGGCGTCGCCGAGTGCTTTGCTCTGCACAAATATCAGCATCACTGTCAGGGTAGGCAGGCAACTGTAACGAGTTACCGCAATAGGTATGTGGCGGCCAGTCATAGTATAGTATAGTAACTTCGGCATTGAAGAATAGGCCTGGATAGGCCTGTCGCCGATTCTTGTACTTTTCTTGATTAGACTGGCCTTTTGATCAAATTTTTTCACGGACGGTAGTCATGCACGAATGCAGTCATACATGAATGTACAGGACCGTGATGACAGCATGCAAAGCTCTCAGTCAGCTGTGGGGATATGGCAAGTTTTGTAACTAAGCTGTAAGAAGATGCTGATCACCTGTCAATTTATATTTTTCAATAATTGGGCGTGGTGACAACTTGACAGGTTTCATTCTGTATTGGTAGGAACATGTTGACAATTTGGCAAATTTCACTATTCAGCTGTGGAAACTTTGTGAATAATTTCAATGCAGCCTATGAAGCGTTTTGTCAACTTCCTGTTAGTTCAATCCAAGAAGACAAATGAAAGTAATAGCATCTTCAGTTGAATTCTGTATCATTGCTACAGAACTAGCAGCCTTTTGGTTAGTATTTTACTTATTTTGTTATATTTAAAAACTTTTAAAACATATGCTATTTAAGAATTCAAAACGGTCAAGTTACTTGATGTACGTACATAATAAGGCGAGAAAAATTGTAAAAAAAATAAAATAATAATTATTAGGAGACTATCAAGAGAATTACCATGCAGATTGACATACTCCACACCTTGGCATAATATGCTGTTAAGAGTACCTCGTATATTAGAGGGCAAATCTCTCACAACATTCATGCACTCTTATGAGAAGAAGTGAACTCATTCATGCACTCTTATGAGAAGAAGTGAACTCATTCACGCACTCTTATGAGAAGAAGTGAACTCATTCATGCACTCTTATGAGAAGTAAGACATGCAAGAACTGAACTCACTTGTTTGCCTGCTGAGCCACTTTGACAACCTCAAAAGGGTTGACAAGGATTGCCTCAGTGACTCCTGACCCAAGGCCAGCCACAAAATAAGTCTGACACACCATGCAATAAAAAATTATCATCCTTAGTCAAAACGAAGACAAATTTATTATTTACTACAAAATTATTGGGTTCACAACAATAAACAAACAAAATAACCGGGCAAATAATACTCAAACAAAATATAAATGAAAAATTTTAATGGGTAGGATAAAGAAGAGGATGTATATTAATAGAAAAATTTTATTCTAAATTGCTGTCAAACAAAAAATACAGTTTCTTCTAGCTTCTGAAAATCTAAAAATATCTCAATCCAGAAAAAAAAAAACAATAGACATCCACTCTCAAGAACTACTAAGAAAAAATCTTTTCTGCGATAAGCAAGGATACCCCTGAATGTCAACTTTTACTAAGGAAAATTCAAAATGCATGAATCGGGTCAAGTCCAGGGCTTTGGCATGACCTGGACTTTTTTGGTGGAAATCCCACAATACTGTTGGAAGAATGCTTGTTCCTCAGAAACTTACCAAAACAGACCTTTTTTTTACTAAAATCCAGAACTAGTTCAATTCTAAAATCCAAGAAATAACAATCACACAGTAAAATTTCCAAAAATCAAATGAAACGTGGGAGAAAATGCAGTTAAAAAATTTTTTTCACTCGCTATAAATGTTTTTGATGTTGTAATTTCTATGGCATAAGCAAATGCTACAAGCAAAACAATGAAACTATTCTCATAAACTTACCACAGGGTTCGAAGCTCCCATAAGCTCCTTATACATTTGGAATGTCAGGAACTGGAAACGTATGGAATCATAATTAAAGATCCAACGTGAAAATTTTTCTTGTTCATCATCAAAAGGCTAACCAAATGATAATTCTTTACAGAGACAACATTGGGAATATGTACTTTGCTGGGTAAATATTCGTTTAATTGAACAAATTTAAATTGTATGATCAAGTTTCTCTGAGAACATATTTCAGTGTAACATGTAACAGTTGGAAAACTTATAGAATCCAGATTGTGCTTAAATAGTTTGATCTCTCAAAACTTAGGCCAACATTGAACAGATTCATTGAACCAAATGACTACAGTTAAGGAATCAAGAGCGAGACCCACTCTTAACCAAAGTGAAATAGAGTAAAAACTAAAAAGTATGTTAATTAACTAACAATATACAAAGTATACAAAACAATCCTGCAGTGAAGGTTGAAGCTGCAGAAGTAAATTCTCAGGCAATTGTGGGTAATCATTGAATGTTTGTAATGTGATAATTATCAATGAAGCCAATGAAGTGAAGTCTCCATTATATGGGAACAATAAAATTTGAATTGGTAAAGAAAAATTAACTTAATTTTTTAAGTATGATATTACGTTCATAATATATATTTAATGGTGAATGATCAAAATGGTGGTTAATGACCAAAATTCTTAAATTCCTTAAAAAAAATGTGCATAACAATGAGAAAAATTGTGCGTACAGAAATACATTTTTAACAAATTTCAATACAACATTTTAAACAATGAAAATCAGTCAGGATGTCAGAAAAATAACCTAATTAGTAAGAGAAGGGGCTATCAAGCACAGCCAGTGATGAAGAATGTAATACAATACCAGAAGTTACTCACCTTAACAGCTCGCTTAGGAGTTTCCACCAGCACTGGAGGGATGACTCCTTTATACAAGGCAGTGAGGCCCTCATGTCGAGCTGTCTTCCTCAAACAATCAAAAACTGATGTGTAAAAGTGAGGGTCAGCAGGATTACCCCCAGATTTCTGCAGTTGAAGACGGGTTTTGACAACATCAAGTGGATGCATGATGCAGATCTCGCAGAATCCTGAAAAGAATCAGAATAGATTTAGCTGAAAATTAGCATGAGATGTGTGACTATGAACTAGGTACATGGCTGGAATAGATTTGAATTATGGGAACATTAAGTTTCAGGCATACATATGCAATTGCTGAGAGACAGAGAGAGAGAGGATATACTACAATAAAAACTTTATAAGGACATTTTATTTATGTATAATTCAAAGCAGAATCTGTATTTAACTTAACTAAGACTAAATACTTTGGCTGATGAGTCTTCGAAAGTAACCAAATCATAACGAATGGCTGTAATATTATACACTTCCATAAAATGGCCAACATAATGATCTCGTGGCTGTAAAATGCAAGCAAGCGAGTAAGAAAATAATTTTATCTCAAGCTTCATTGCATGCAAGTCAGGCTCTATTTGCTTTACTTAATGGATGGACAATACTCACCAGCGGAGCCTCCGGCAGCCAGGTTGATAGCCACATTTCGTAGCGCAAAGGGGCTATTTTTAGTTTGAGACGTCATTGAATGCTATTAATTAGAACTGACATTACCAGGAAACCTTATGACTGCTAGAAGAACTTTTAAAAATAAATATTTATTATTAGTAATAGTTGGCATACTTGGCAATGCTAGACTGCTAATAGTAGTAGATATTAATTGTATGATTTCTTAATTCTTAGTAACATCACTAGGGTAAACGCAGTATATTCCGACATCGTAGGTAATTCCGTCACCTCTCCAGCTTTTCCTTTATATTAAGCTTTGTTTTAGTTCCATGCGTTCATTGATGGTTGAAATGGTGACGTCATACATTTGCGTGTCGAAATACTGCAAAAACACTAGGTCTTGGCCATATAGTGGGAAAATATTGAGATCCAAAGAGAGACAATGCATGCCACGTGGTGAGATCATCGAAAAATGTGTCAAATTTGACAGTTGAAGACTTTCGTTATTCCCTTCCTACCCCCCCCCCCCGCTGAGCCGGACCGGTCGATGCTCTTGCAAACGCATAAGTACTCACAATAATTCCCTGCCACCATGCATGATAACATCAATACCTATTAAATACTATATTATGTAATATATTATTAATGAAATTAGAAAACATTGTCATTTGTCAGTGCAGACAGTGCAGCAAACTTCATGTTTTGATAAATTTTCAAGTTAAGAACAATTCAGATATGAAAAATAGTACTACTACATTATTAGTCTACATAGCCTATAGGTATATGACTATATGTATATAGGTATCATATCCTATATGACATATGTGCAGATGATAAAAATTAGGATCCATTATATATAAAAAAATATATAATGGATTAAATGCCAGTTCAGTTCAAAGACAAAGAGGAGTTTTTCACTTTCATGTCAAGTATGACATTATTAGATTGTGAGCACAAATAATAAAACAAAATCTTTGTAGCCTACCTAGTTAAAGCTAGTTTGCGTTTGTGAAAAAGGCATGGCACCGTGGCACGTTGAATTCTCTTTTCTCTGGCAGAGTGGCAGTGACATTGCCTTGTGCCTTTCATCAGTTTGACAGTTTCATGTAAAATATTGCTGTAGCTACCTAGGCTAACACAATAAAAATCATATTTTATGAGCAAACAATAGATCAAGACACAACAGAGCAAGTAAGCAAGTTGCAGTTCAATTTTTGTTTTCTCATATTTCATTGACACTTCACACTTGTAGCCTAGGTACTATGATAACTTGTAGGTAGTAGGTACCGTATAGGTACTAGCCTATACACAAACACTTGTGAAGCCGTGCCCGAAATTATTCTTTGCTGGACTGCTGGTAGCCTAGGTGGTAATGGTAGCAATGATAGCTACTTTATTATAGGGCCTAGCCTATATCACTTAGTCTTCACTTATAGTGAAGTTATATAGGTAGCCTAGGTACTCGTACTCCATACTCGTTATTAGGTACTAGGTAGCTACTCGTGCTAAGTTGCTAACTGCCTGGTATATATTCCTAGTTATATTCCAAGTTATTGGAAATTTATAAAAGTTTTTGCAAGTTAACTCTACGCCATGAAAGACAAAACACAGTTAACACAATAGCCTAGTCACAAGGTAGGAGGTAGATTACGTAGATAGATGTTTAGTCGACGAACGCAGTTGCCTGCAGAAACACCATGGGCCACTTCAACCGGCCGCGCATCTGGGAAGTGAAACAACTCAACAGCCTTTGTGCAGCACGCGAGTTAGTGCTAAGTGTTTTCCGATCGAAGAAAAAATGCTCTCATATCTGTTCTTCTTCTTCTTCTCCGGGTATCCACGCTGACGCTGGGTGGACTTAAAGCCGCAGGACAACCGCAAGGATGATCGCTGGGCCTGAGAGCTTCTGCAGTCATGTCTGTTCGAAGGCCTATCTTGTACAGTGATGATTCTTCAGCGGATTGGCAGAAATTTATTATTTGTTGAAATGTAAAGAATATAGCTGGAATAGGCCGTGGGCTTATTTCTTCAATGTCGACACTTCTATTCTATTATATTCTAAGTTGCTCTAAGGAAATTTTCGACAATCGACCGGTTCGAGTGCTGACAGAATAATGAACGGTTGCATCTGCACGGTGGTAGTGGTGTAAAAGAGTTATTACGCAGTTTCGATCCCTCTTGAGAGAATGGGTTGACGACAACGTAGTTTACCAGTTTACGGGATCATTGGAAGACGGCCTACGAGAACCACGTCTAGGCACCACGTAGTAAGCTCTTAGAACATATACTCGTCAGTGAGATTATGGTAAGCTGAAAAGAGCACAAACTTCTTTATACAAAATAACTTGACTTGCGGATAGGCTCTCTCACGATAAACAGTTGCTTGGCGTAGTGAACGAAGTATTGAAGGCTCTCGAGAATGAATACTATGAGGACTTAATGTCCGCCTTTTTGACGTTAAATTGGAACTCCATTTTGAGTCTATCACTCACAAGCAAGATTTGCCCGGGTCCCGGCTGATAACACCAGAAGCCACAAGACCGTAAAAGCCCCCTGACATTTGATATCTCCTGCAAGCTGACGTAAACATCCTTGCAGTCTAGAAATAGTTAAAAAATATCTTCCAACGCTCTCAAATTCTTCACAGTTGACAAAACTTATCGCATTACGACTCAGCAGCATGTATGTGTACCTGCGAGACTCTTGGAAAGTATCTCGAAGTAACGCTAATGAAGTCTGGGTCTCAATGAAGTGGAGAGCCAGTCTCCAACATCTCCAGCACGGCAAACTCACTTCACAGCGCTCGCCCATCACAGCCGATTGAGCCGATACTACGCCAGTTGCGGGGTGAATCTTCACCTAGCAGGGGATTTTCACCCAGCAGGGGATCTTCGCCCAGCAGGCGATCTTCGCCCAGCAGGTGATCATCATCCTGAAGGGTGGAGACAACCTAACCTTTGAAAAAACAGCGTAGAGCACTGCGGTATGTCTTTTACCGCTTTCAATAGACCTTCAGAGGGTACAACATGCTTAGTGGCCTAGATTAGCCAACGTTGCAAGCCATGCTGAAGCGTGCTAGGTTAGTCATACACTACATACAGGGTTTGCAATAACCCAGCCAATATCAAATCGACAGCTTCCTGACGAAAACTGCCACATTCAGAAACCATAAATTTAACCCTAACCCAACAGCATGTTATCCCCTATAGCAGGTTTTGTGATCGCCAGATGACATTTTTCACCCAGAAACTTCCTCGGGTATAACCGCCTGCTTGTTGGTGGCAGCCTGAAACTGTTGGTTTCGGAGATTTGTGATGAAGGACGGCGAGACGAGGCAAGGCTGAGTTTTTGCGGCTTCGTGAACTGAAAGAGTGGAGGAGTTGCATAGAAGTACGAGACTACGAATTCTTGAAAAAGAAATATTTAAAACCCAAGAATAAATACATGACCAAGAGAGTTCGATTTGTGAGCACGGATCGAGGCTTATACAGAATTAAATTATTTAGATTTTTCTTTTCCTTCAGATTTTAGAAATGTAATAATGAAGAAATTCTACAGTAAAATGTATATATATAGTTATACCGACACGAGCAGAATAATTGATAATAATGAATGTCTAAGGTCAAGCAAAAAGGGCTTAGCTGGATCGCATACGCGCAAAATTGTCAACCGAGATATTTCTATAGGCTGAATTTCGCATTTTTAATTACTGTCTACACTCTACACTCTACACTTTACATGTTCGGTAGCTCTCACGCGAGTTACAGACACTCAATGTTACGCCTCATGAGTCAACTCTGCTAGGATAGATAGTTAAAATGCTTAACAGCATACAAAAACAGTTTGTTTTTGCACTCAATTTCGCTTATCTAGATGATAACAAGCAAAAATATTAACCAATTTATATTAGAATTACAAGTAAGAGATCGAGCTGAGAATCTTTGCAGTAAGTTACATGATCACAAAAACGTTGCCAGAATGCGAGAACGTTTTTCAAATTTATCGTGGATAACTTAAGACTTTTATGGAATTCGTTCTCTGTTCAAATTCCGCTGCAAAATTTTCCCTGTCTCGAGGAAGGTGCCGAATAAAAATCGCGACAAAATCACGTTAACGTTTATTTCACCTTCTAATATTAAGGATAAGTCGTAAATAATGCCCGTGTGCAATTAGTGCCTTTGAAATATTTTTCTTCGCCACATCAGATAAAATGATTAAGCAATCGCTCCAAAGAGCCCAATTTTAGCTCTATTCATTTTTGCGTTTCGATTTATTTCCACGATCTTTTCTGCCAAAGCAAAACGACACAAATTTCCAGATGGCTACATAGATAAGAAGAAGAGCGACATGCAAGAGAAGCAGGAGGTCGAGATGAAGCAATTGCACCCAGGTGAGGTCACGCTCAGGGGAGCGCAGGTGCACCGCCCCCTGGTGGCGGATGACGTACTCTGTCCAGTACACGGCCGTCTCCACGGCGCTCATCGGACGGTCCTTCATCGCCGCTGAAATTGATTTTATGTTTTCCTGGTACCTGAAGTATAAATTTTTATCTATGAAAAATTTTATTTCGCTTCTTCTTTTCTCTTACTACCACCTCTCAACCCTGATACCTTAAGCAGCTGTAGCCAGTAACTCGAGTCAACTCAACATTTCTTTCAGGCTTCAGCTACATGAAGATGCAAAAAAAATTCACACGCTCGCTGAATTCATTTGACAGGTTTGATGAAGTGGCTACTTAGCATTTATTCCACTTCATTCCCTCATGAGCTGGTGAAAATTTTATTCATGAAACCAGCTGCATTGGAACTAGCGAATATCATGCTGGAAAAAGATGTTGAAATTTCGTTATCCCAAATTCCTCTTTCACATATTTTGGTTCATGTAGCAGAAGATTTTATTTCAAGCCTGAAAAATATTCAGGTTAATTTCGCGCAACTTCTTTTATTTCTTCTTATATTAGCACTGGAAACTGGTCCATGCAGCCCCGCGCACCTTCCCTTATTGAACGATTGATTGTAAATGTGGCATCCACGATAATTAAAGGGCAGTCTTTCGATGGATACTTTCCTTCTTATGTAGCGGCACATCCTACATGTATGAGGCAGCGGTTCACGTTTAGTGTTGAGACTAACATGCATATGATTCTCTTCTATTTTTTTTATAAGCACAACGCTCTCAACGTCTTGTTTTCAACAAATGGCAGCGAACTCCGTATTTCGGCTCAAAAAAGCTCTGAACATTTTCATGCTGTTTGTTACAAAATTTTCTACTGGCTACCCATTTATCTACTGTCTATGTGTTAAATTTATGGCATGGGAAAACTTCGTGGCAATAACCGCATGAAGGTAGCACATGTCTAAGGAAGGCAGCGGATTCCCGAATTCGTCTAACAACACCAACAGCGTCTTACACGGCTACGGCAGAAGCCACTAAAATATGACGTAAAAATTAATTTATATGTTATCATGTGAAAGTATTCAATTGCTTGAATACATTGATTTTTATGCAATGTAAATTTTAGCGTTTATAATCATTCGTCATTGGACTCAACGAAAACCTAAAAAAGTCATCGGATCTTGGCATAACATTAAAACCTTAACTACTTTTAGCGCATTTTCTCATTTATGGAAAAAATGCACTATTGTGCTCGCCATGTCCGTCTGTCCGTCCGTCTGTCCGTCCTTCCGTGACTTCACGTTTTCGTCGACGAGAAAATGCGCTCTCTGTCACTCACTGCAGTGAGTACTGCGTTATATTTTTTCAGTCGCACTTACATGGGATTTGTGATGAGCTCCTCTATGGTGTCGATAAGCAGCTGCTCGGTGAGGTCTGGCCAAGATATCTTTCGTCCAATTCCCATAACCTCGTGCAATTTAGCATTTTTGGGCTGATCGGCGAACACGGGCAAGCCCAAAATCGGTGTGCCTAAATGCAGTGCTTCCAGAGATCCCAGCAGCCCACAGTGCGAGATGAAAACTTTAACGTTCGGGTGAGCTGAGGAAATTATTGCATCAATCCAGTATTCCCTTTTTAAACATTAGCAGTTCGTTAAAAAATTGGCATCTGCGAGAGTCTATGTTTTTAATGGTAAATTATATTTTCATTAACCTATCCTCTCTAGGATATGACTGCCGTCTCATGACTGCCGTCGAGGTATTACCCACTCAAAATTTCGTGCCATGAGTCTTTTTTCCGATGTGCAACTACCTCGCAATACGAATAATCCTGGTGACCACATCCACCTCGAACGCTGTTAAAGGCACTTACCCAATATATCCTGTTGAGGCATCCACTTTTGTACGAATACATTTTTCAATTTTTGCTGAGGCTCTTCTTCGAACTTCCAGAGGACTTTGTAGGGGAGCTTGGCGAAGGCGCTGAAGAAGATGTCTTTGTACTCCTGGGGCATGGCGCTGCTGCGCGCTACGGAACCCAGACTCATGTACACCACCGGCGTAGTGCCAGACAAGAAGTCCGATAGGTCCTGGAAAGTATAATAAATTAAATATCTTAGCAGTATGAAACCATTAGTTTGTTTGATACAACTATAGGACAACGATTTTAATTTTTTTCGATTGTGAGTCTCGGGGATCAATTGAAAAATAACCGCATTCGATACATCGTACAACATTCATCCTCTATTTAAATGCATGTGATACAAATTGAACGATTATACATGAAGCCGGTATTAGAAATATGAGGTAATAAAATTCTATGAGTTACAATTATAATTATATTACTTGAAATTCAGCAAACGATTCGTTAGAACGATTTTCAATTGACGATTCTTTGGGATTTCTTTTTCGAGTTTGATGAATAGCTGAAATAACTTCAAAGTCGATATAAATTCATGGGATTCTTATAATTATACATGTTTCTAAAATATAGAGTATATTATATATAGCCAACACTTTCGACTATATGAATAAGTTCTGTACCTTTGGCAATCGTTTAGTTGGTTCAATGTGCAGGCCGCCAACTTCAACCTGGTTTGGTAGTAGAGGAACTACCAGACTGGTGCTGAAGTGGGAGTTCATCAAAGTAAGACTTACATTGCGGGCCATTTCTCTGAACGAGGGCAAGTCGGGAAAACGTTTTGTAATCTGAAAAATCCAAATCCAGGATTAAGGTCCTATTGGGCTCTTCAGTAGACTACTTCTGAAAACCTTAAATGATACGTAAGTGCCCCATTGGTAGACTAAACTATAAAGAAATATGAGTTTTTATCTCTCGAGTAAACTAGGTTCAAGAAGGTTAAACGTTCAAAAAAGCATCTCAAATGCAACACAAGTATTCGGATGAGAGAAAGATAAAATATGAAGGAAATGGTACATTATTTATTTCACATATTACTTTTTTAAAGTTGCAAACAGACCAACTTGATGCAGAATGACTGATTAAAAGTACTTATATCAATCTGATTATATGTCAAGTTCACTAAGAATTTAGAATTAAAGAAAATACTAAGTAAATTCATCACATATCTTCTTTTAAAACATATCTTCACAAACACCAAATTTTCTTCAAAAGCCACACCCGGTCATTGGGGAAAGTTTATATCAACCCTTCTAACATTCAGCAGACCTGGGCCATACTTTCAAAACTCGCGAAGTGAACGTAAGTACTTACGCTCTATTTTCTTGTCTATGATTGGTGGATTTTGCTTGAAAGGCCGTCAATGATTGGCTGATGTACTTACGATCTCTTAACTTTTTTTGAAAGTATAGGCCCTGTTGGGAGTTCAATACCTCGTCTTGAATGGGAGCCTGAACGGAATATTCCCAAGAAATGGGGAAAAAGATACTGAGCGCCAAGTTCTTCCAGCGGCCCAGAGTAGATAAAGGCTTCGGTACTTCCAAGAAATTCGGTACGTATGCAGGGTTGAGCGTGTTGCCCATGATTGAACTCATCGTAGGATCTAACCCTCCAGTACTGACGGCGATGAACGTGTGGTTGAACGTGAATGGGTACATCACCTGCATGCGCAAAACATATGGTATAAAATGTAAAATATTTTGCAAGAAATCACTATTTCATTGTTCATATCACCTAAAGTTCTGGACATGTATGAAATTGTTTGGCATTTATTTTCAGGTTTGTTACCAAATTCAATCAACTATACCCATAAAAAAATTTGAACTTCATTGTTAGGAGGAGTAAAAAACTTTGTATGGCGTATAACTAAAACAATTCGAGATTTTCGCAATAAGAGAATTTGCGAGATTACCCGTTGAATTTTGCAGCAGTGCCTATATTTTGAGCTATGCTGACAAATATCTTTTGTGTAACGTTCATGCCATTTGCATATTGGTCAATATTAAGAGCATTACACAATAAAATGATAATAGTCCCTGTTTAGCATCTATTCTAAAGCAATAACCGGGAATATATGGTATCTGCGATGTCACAATATAAAATCAAAAAAGAGAATTTTACATGTGTGTCAATTAATGCCGGTACAAAAAATGTTGCATATTAAATCACTGCAAATTGAAAATTTGTAGTTCAAGCGCGGAATTATAATCCACAATTCTTCACTGAGCTCAAAAATATCATGAGTAATTAGTTTAAAAGTTACCTTAAAAGTTATAACAGTGTATACTTTTCTGAGCACACAAATTTTCCGAATCTAAATTACTCACTCCCATTATTTCGCCTCACCTCGTTGAAGATAGAATCAAGAAGAATCACATCAAATTCCTTTCTTCTGTTATACAAATTTTTGACGATAGGAACGTCGTAGATGTCTCTCGCCATAAGAGGTAAACGCTCGTTGAACATCTTGAACATTTTTTCATGGTCGTCCATCATATCAAATGTGTTAATGGTGTCTATTTTAAAATGAACAAGTGGATTTTCATAATGAGTCAATCCAGGAATTTCTTCAGCTTCAGAGAGAGGACTGTTGCTCAGCATTGTTACCTGAAAGAATTTATGATTGTATGAGTCATGATCTCCAATCATTAAAAATAATGAAAACATGTTTAAAAAGCGATAATTGCAATTACAGTCATTATTCAAGTGTACATGAAAACTGTCTATCTCTATATTTGAACATTTCTGGTGGAATCGTTACTATTTATAGATATTTTTCACTATATATATGACAATATATGACCACATACAACTAACTTTTCATACTTCGTTACAATGCTAAGTACAAAAGAAATTATTACAAATATTCATTGACTAGAAATAATATAAATAAAATGTCCCACTGCTTCCTCTTTCAGCAAAGGTTTGGCGGCAAGCGGTCTATTTCTTCTTCATATTTTCCTGGCTTGGGCTTAGGCAGCTAAATCATCTTTGACTGAATCATGCTACAGGGCTTCTCGCGACTGCGTCCTTGTTCTCTAGGCTGCGTATCGGAGTATATCCTTACTTCTTCTGGTGAAAGAATATTCTGTAACATGTATTTTGGGGAGCATATTCGTTGTTATTATTGCCTATTCTGGTAGTGATCACTATATAGGTAAGGGAGGGTGATAGGTCATAGTCGTCGGTTATACTGAACCCTTTATAATCCGCTTGTTAATTGAATTACATTTTGGTCCAGTTGAAAGATCTTTTAGCTGAAAAATCTTTCGTCTCTCGAAAACCTAATGTAATATCTTTTGATAATATTTTTCTCTGAACTGCAGTTTTTATTAGTTTTCAACGTCATTTATTTGTAACGGGCAGTCCGGCCTAGAGAAGGATGTTCCGAATACTGAAACATCCAACGACTGCCATTTATCACTGCAATGTGTTATTTACTGCTTAACAATTGAATATTCACCCCTCCTGAGGGTGCTCTGAATCCCATTAAGTTCCAAGAGGTGCATCATTTATCATATGAGGTTAGAATTATACTCTAGGAAAGGTAGCACTTTTTCCTGAGAGTTCGGTGTCAATCAGGCATCTCATTCTATTCATTATAATTATATTCTAAGAGATATAGATTGATGGAAAAGTACTAGACCTGAGTCAGCATGGACAACATTACGTGACAGATCACGCGATCAAGAACACAGTAGTGAGCAAAAGTCATAAGTCTATTAAAGGGCTGGGAACCTTAGTAAGGTCCCCCAGTAGCAAATAGCACGACGCCATGTGACATTCGTTAGAGTTACACCGATCTAACATTCGACGTCTTAGTACCGACTGTACTGTTCTCTTATGTTTATCCAACCCGTATCAGAATACGTTCGGTGACAGATCTTGTCTTACTTATCCCTCGCGTACTTAGTCAAGGAATAAGTGTTCTCAGGTAAACATACTCGTAAATATATTATTCATCAGGTTGCGCCTAATCGTTCCGCCTGACATGTGTTTCCCGAAAAGGGATGCAACAGGTCGTTGCATGAGTGCCCCGTTCTGAACTTAATTGATATCATAGACATTTGTCCAATTCACTTATAAGTTACAACTTCATGAGGTTTCTGCACAATGGATGATGAAGTCTCATCCAAGATCTAAACTCGCGAGCTGTCGCGAAAGCTCGAAAACGATTGTAAACTTTTTTAAGTTTACCAAAGTATTTTATTGTTATTCTTTAAAGTAATCTTATATGCGATTGGTTGTATTTTAATTTTTAACAAGGCAGTTCATTACTGAACATTCAACAGTGTATTCTTATTGTCGACTCTTCCACTTCGAGTGAAAACGATCGATTCACCTTGTATTAAGGTTGCTACTTGTCTTAAAAAATTTATTTTGAGCGCACTATGTAATTGCACAGCAAAGCTCCAATTCGCTATATATGCAATTTTTTGCATTTAATAAACATAGAAAAAATATGTAATTGGCTTAACTTAAAAAAACTTTTGCCCATTAAAGAGGTGCATGACAGAGCAACACGCCTCTCTGCCACGTGAATCAATACCGAAACTTGTGTGCCGTTGCTACCCTAACCTGTTCTACAATATTTATTTATATATAAAGTAATTGATGGCCCCACTTCTCCCTACTTATGAACACGTGATACAGGTCCGAACAATTTGAACTTCGGCGGATTTCGTCTTGATTCAATAAAAAATCTGATAGAGCTGTCGATATCGTAAAAGCTCTGCAGGGACCATCCTGAGTGCTCGATGCATAAAACACAGAAATGTTAAATAGTTTCCAGCAGCCGTGCGTAAGAGAAACAGTCAAATTTACAAGATGTTTTAAACATGCACGCAACCATCATTTACATATAAAAATTCATTGAATTCACCTTATGACCGCGCTGCGTGAGGGCCTTGGCAAGGGGCATGAAGACGTTGCGGTGGCTCTTGGAGGACACGGGCAGCAGCATAAGGATGTTGTAGGAGCGCTCAGGCGGTGGCAGCGCCGCGCCAACTGCCTGTAGCGCGCCTGCCAGCACTACGAGCACCAGCACTCGGAGGCCAACCATTCTGTGGGTGGCAAACGTGTCATTTAGTGGACGTGATTTGGCCATAAGCAGTTCAGTGATATTATATGCTTGCTTCATCATAGACTTTCATGCAAAGCACATTTCAATTCCTCAAAGAGATTTTGACTATTTCTGTTGAACGGCTAGCAAACTTAAGGCCAAAATTTAGAACGCAGAGATCTATATTCAGAGAGACCTTCTGAAATGACCCAGATAATTATCCCATTACAACAATGAGCTGTTATAATTCTTCGCAAAATGAATAATAGTTTCGTTTGAAAAGTTACTTTCACGGCATTTAAGCGCTTTCAGGTTCTCCTACATTGAAACTTTTTAATAATTTCTACAATTAAACTGCAACATAATTTTATAAGACTACTTACTAAAAACCCTTCAGAAAAATTGCCAGCATATCAAGAGGGAAATATTACTTTCTGCAGCGTATCCGGAACAAAATTTATAAATTTTATCTTCACACTCAAACGCAGTAGTATTTATCGGCGACTGATAAGCCTCTTATGATTAACGTTGCCCATCTTGACATGGTAATTGTGCGAGATAATTCGAAAGAAATAACCAATAATTGTGTCTGAAAACCCGTTAGGCTTAAATAATTAATTAGCGAGAATATCAAATACTTTATTTTTTCCAAACCGCATTTAACTAATATGTTACTAAAATCAGTGTTCACAAATATATTAAAAAGTACATATTATGAAATGTAACAAAGCAATTAAGAAGAGCTGTACCTTCACCAGATGAGAACCACCCAACACGCTGGTCAGACCAACTCTGATAGAGGCGCTTGCCGGCTAACAACCTGCGACTCGTTCTATATACGTAGGCGCATCGCGCGACTACGTACGAAGTCTATTAGATAATGCGAGATTTAGATTAGCATTTCATTGATAATTGTGTACATGTGAATATTGCGTACTGTGTTTTTGTTGTATATGCCAAGTTCAATGTGTGTCAGAGCATTGAAATTCAGGCCAGAGACGCCGATTGAGCTAGAAAAGTCTGAAGCAGAAGATATGCCAATTCAGAGTCTGAGATTAAAATTAAACGAAAAAATTGGTACGTGATGTTTGCATTTCTTATTTTTGGGTCAATGTTGTGTTTACTTCACAATTTCGTCTTAATTCGCGATTTTTTAATTAGAAAAAAAAACTTTTTGCAAAATTTTTACACTTCTCTTTGACTTCACTTCTTGTTTGTTTGTCTGTCTGTCTGTCTGCTACAAATCTCATAATCGATATTTAACACATTTCTACCTCTCCAATCGATCTGAAAGTTCGCACGCTAGCTTAAAGTCGGAGACAATGCGTGAATCAATTGACAGAATAATCAATTTTAAAAATTAAATTTTTTTCAATATTAAGAAAAATTTTTAAATAATTTTGTCTGCTACAAATCTTATAATCGATATTTAACACACTTCTAGCATTCCAATCTATCTGAAATTGGGATAATCAATTATAATTAATCAATTGACACAATAAATAATTTTGAAAATTTAATTTATTTTATGTATTAAAATAATATAAAAATTAATTTTTTTAATATTCGAAATTAAAATTAGAAATTCGTTGTACATGTTTTACATTGGAGAAACTGGATTTTTTAGAAGTGTTGACTTAAAAAAGTAATTTTTAAACGTATATTTTTTTTTCTTTAACTTCACTTCTTGTTTGTTTGACCGTCTGCTACAAATCTTAGAATCGTTATTTAACACATTTCTACCTCTCCGATCGATCTGAAATTTTGCACACTTGCGTAAAGTCGGAGACAATACATGAATCAATCCACAAAATGAAAAAATAAAAAAGTAAAAAAATTTAAATATTCAAAATAATTTAGAAAAAATATGATTTTTTATGTTTAAAAATAAAATGAGAAATTCATTGTACATGTGTAACATCGGAGAATCCGGCCTCTTTATAAGTGTGGTATTTAAAAAGTTATTTTTGAAGGCATATTTTATTATACAAGTGATCTTAAGTTCCGCACCTTAAACTTTCGATTCCGTGTGTCCATGCGGATTATTTTATATGTACCTATATATATATGTATATGTACATATATGCTTGTAAGCATATAGGTACAATAGGAGGCGTGTATCTAAAATGCGATGGAATCCATCGCACCAAGTTCCTTGATCATATTTCATTGAAGATTTTCCCAGTAGTGCACCTTTTTAATTATTTTACAGCTTATCGTGCTACAGTTTATACATATATAAAGAAGTAAGATAAGAGCCTTAATCAACGTCAACCTTAACAATCGGTACTCTCATCTTCTTGTTGGTACACTATTTCCAAATAACTTTAATTAGCGCGCATTATTAGAATTAAGGAACAATATAAATTTCGTTGCTAGCTCTCTTCAGACAATTTTTGCCCGACATTTATTTATCTTTTGTGGAGCGAAATTAAATTGAGGTCATTGGCTCTTCTCATTGAAAATTTTCTCGAGACTGGATGATTAAATCTTAAAAATAAGTAAGTATCAATATAAAGGCGTGCTTCGCAAACATAACGACTTAAATAATATCATAGCACATATTCATCGAAATATAATTAAACTCGTGAAGATCGAGAGTGTGTGATGACCAATGAATGCCCCATCACTGTTACATGATGCATCAATGTTAGCTTCAATGTGTTCTGTTTCTCACTGATTAAGTAGAAAATAACCTATGGAAATTATTTAGAAACTAAAATTGGAATCACTTTGAAATTCCATTCTTTTTCTGCAGCCGTCTTGGTTGCAGAAAATCCATCTTGGATGCATTCCACCATCTTGGAAATAACTAACTTCTCATAAAACATTTGAAGAGTTTAACTATAAGGCTCAGTCGTTCTGCTGTCTCCTTATCTCGCTATGGCCGCAGATGTAGACAACACACCGGCCGGCTTGGTCGGCCACAGTCTTGCGATATCAGCGGCTTCCTCAAGAGAGCTTCATGTGAACTAGAAAAGCCTGCACCTAGCAGGGCTCCGTTGACTCAAGGTCAGTGCAGTAGTGAGTGGACTAGTATCCTGAGTAGGCTGATTGAGTGTACGTACTATTGTCTCGCTATTGCTAATTTTTACGGGAGATTTGTAAATAACATCAACGTTCTCAAGAGGTAGACTTTCATTATTTTTATCGAAAGGTCTTCTGTACATCAAACTAAGTCAAGTGTAATGTTGAATATGAATTGAAATTATGTTAATGCTCTATTTTTTTACTTAGGTTCCTATTCTTCAATTGTTCTCTAAAGTGTCTCAATAAAATATTGCAATAAACTCTTAGATTCTAGCAAGCAGGATGAGATTATTTTATTGAGAAATAATTCATTAGCATTTTCGAGAGCCTTGCAAGTAACTGAGTGAAGACTGCTTCACGTACGAGAGATGAGGGAGAAAAAAAAACATGCGCTATATAGCTGAAAAATTCTGCCAGGCCTGTGCAGGATTAGATTGTCATGCTTTGCGAGCGTTGATGGGGGCGAACAGTCGTACTAGGGTAGAAGAATTGTTTGGTTCCCACTTAAAATTAGGACTTGTTGAACCAAGCAACGACGATTTATAACAACGCTTTTTGTTCACAGATAAAAGGAAAGGTGTTGTACTGGTCACGTATAGCCCTTGTGTTCCTACTACGTTAGATGCAGATTCGTAAATTGATGGTTTTCAATTTACTTTGTTAATATTCACCTGTTACCGACACAGCACTCTGCACGAAACACGAAAGGGGCAGTTGCAGCGCAGACTGCGTTAGAACCGGTGCTCTACGCCGCACCTGCTCTTGCAAATTCGAGTACGAAGCTTTCATAGTCGTAGTTACTTTTTTGTTTTCATGAAAGGTGAATAATGCCCAGTATTTATCTCATGTTTTATATGTTCTTAGTCAATTTCTTGAATCAATTTTAGAGACATCAACACGTTTGACCTTGAACTTGAACGCTGCCGGCGGAGTGAGTGTGATGAGTTCGGACGATTCGTTGGGATTGAGCATATTTTATTCAATAGATGTGACTGGCAGGCGCTGGTTATTCACTAATATAGAATATTTCATCTTGCTTGCTTATATGAAGATTAACTAAAGAAGTTTTGACTAGAATACTTTCAGATCCTTCTCTCAACTCTGACAATATATAATTTACAGCGCAATAATTTGCTTTAGCTATTGGTTAATTTTTTATTTACCTCTGCGCTCACACTTTGTAGGCATTATTAAATTTCCTGAAGAACATATATCCTAAAATATTCATTATATATCTGAGGTCAGAAGCGTCTCTTGATTTTATAATGCTTGCTGATATTAATGCATCTAAAGTGCAAATAAAAACGATTACAGAGTCGGTGTCGATTGTGCGATCACAAGTCTGAAATTCTTGGTTTTATATTAAGAATTTCGACTTTGAATAAGTGCCACCCTATAATTGACATTCCTCGGGCTACATCGTGTTTACTAATAACACGTTTGCCACCCACAGGATGGCTGGCCTCCGAGTGCTGGTGCTCGTAGTGCTGGCAGGCGCGCTACAGGCAGTTGGCGCGGCGCTGCCACCGCCTGAGCGCTCCTACAACATCCTTATGCTGCTGCCCGTGTCCTCCAAGAGCCACCGCAACGTCTTCATGCCCCTTGCCAAGGCCCTCACGCAGCGCGGCCATAAGGTGAATTGTATTAATTTATAACCTGTATAAATTATGGTCGTGTTTATGTTTAAAACTTTATGTACATTCGGCAGACTTCGAAGCCCGGTAGCGGGAAAATATACAAAATTTGTTTGCTATTTGTATTAAACACTCTGAATGGCTCCTTGCTGGGCTTTTACGTTATTGAAAGTTCTGTCTGAGTTTTTATTGAATCATAACGTAATCAGCCAAAATTCAAACGAGTCACACGAATTCGTAATTTGAGCTGGTCAAAGAAGTCATACGAGTTTATAAGTCGAATTGTTCAAACAAGTCGCACGAGTTCAGAAGTCAAATTGATGAAACCAGTCAGAGTTTTGCGGACATTAGATGAAATTCTGATAATCTATTAATAGAATGATCATAATATGCGCAAGGAGGCAGTGTCCATTTCTGTATTTCAAATTCTTGCATTTGCCATCATATTTCATGCAACTGACTCGGAACGTTTTGTACATCAAATTACCTTCAACTATTAATTAAATAATACAATTGAATATTCAAGATACTAGTAATGACACTTCATGTTCCATCGATTTAGATTTTTAGCCCTGGTTTGATATATCACTTCCGAGTGAAGTAAACACGAAAGTTCCTTTCAAATGTTTCATCGATTTCGATTTTTAGCCCTGTTTAAATACCGCGATTACGAGTGAAGTAAAAACGAAAGTTCCTTTCAATTATCATCTTACTCTTGTTCAGATAACGATGCTGAGTAACCAACCTGCGCCGGACAATAATCCGAATATTCGATACATTGAGAATCCATCCAAGCACGTTGACACCGACAAGGTTAATGCCTTCGAAATTTTGGGTTCACCCGAGAAAATGTTCAAAACATTCACCGAGTTGATCCCAAAAGTGGCTCAAGAGATCTATAAAGTCGCCGAGGTGGCAGACCTCTACGAGAAGAGGAGAGAATTTGATCTCATTGTGATTGATGCATTATTCAATGAGGTTCGTATGAAACAATGATTGATTCCTTCCAATTATAAGCGAATTTACACTTACTTCCAGTTCACAGACTTAATTACTGTAATTTTATCTTACTTGAGCGGGAAATGTTCGATTTAGAGATGGCCTATGTCTTCAACGCCGACACTTCTATTCTATTCTAGAGACAGCATTATAATTTGTTATAGCATTATAATTCGTTGTAATTATAGGCTTGATACCTCCATTTATCGTATTAATTAATTTAATGATGTTTTTTTCTTATTAAAAGTGCATTTTTACCAACGAGATCAAAATGTAGGAATTTCAGTTGCTGTAGTTCAACATAATAAATTGATTTTTAACAGATCATGTTTGAGGTCTTGCGTTAATCAGTTGACTATAAATTAAACAAAATTATCTGCATACAATCAATTACTGTTAGTAGTTCCCACCCCCAAATGTTATGCGTTCAAGTTATATTCCTGAAAAATAATTACCAAATAAATTCTGGGGTGTAAATCTGCAATACGCATTACGCATGCTTAAAATACATGGATACAATAATTGAGAAATTATCGACACAAACCTTAACATAAAAGACACCAAAAATTGTTGGAACTTCTTAAGCAATTCTTCTTCATCGTAATTTATTGGATTTTGAACCTTTTCAGGTATGGAGAATCAATTTGACCGAATCACTAGGTAAACTACTTCTATTCACTAAGTAAATTCATTCATTCGGTGACTCATTTGAACATAATTTTCTATATACACAGGCAATTGAAGCAACAATTTCCTGTGCTACAATTGCTACAATATTACGTGAATTCTATTTAGATGACAACTTATTTGGAATAACTCACTCATAATTCACATTTAGAATGAACTCGGTTGTATATTTTCTTGAAAACTAAGTAAATTAAAAAAAGAGTGAAAATATTTCTGTATAAAGCCTGTCTAAGGAAAACTTCTGCTGTTGCACGCGGAACCACAAGCAAAGTAATTTATTTTTAGAATATGCAATAAAACAGTAAACACTAGACCCTAATGGGGTCTAATTTTACATGAAATCAAAGTGTATGAATAGTGTTAATTAAATTTCAATTTATCGACTTACTTCTACGAGTTGTGCAGGTGATGTATCCGTTCACCCACAACCACACTTTCATGACGATCAACCCTGGTGAACTGCACCCATCATTTAGCGCGTCGATGGGAAACTTTCTGAACCCAGCCTACGTCTCCAACATGCTAGAAAACTACCAACATCCATTTTCCCTGCTGGATCGGTGGAAAAATCTGATCATGAGCGTTATCTTGCCATTTCATTGGGAGCGTGCAATCGTTACGCCTGTTCAAGCTGAGGTTAGAGTTGACGTTCAATAGGTAGTTTCTAAAACATCGATGTGAAGAACTTCCTTCAGACAAGTGGCTTATAATTATTAACTTTCTAATGTCTAACAACGTCCTATTTATTTTCTAATACATGCGAGCAAAATAATAAAACTAAAACAAGTTAATTTTACAAAATATTTCCAACGTAACATGTTCAATTTGGATTTAATTAGCGTAATCAATAGTCAGAATTCATTGCCCTTGTCGTGAGAATAAAACTGTTTGATATATTATGATTTTCCAATTATCAATTTTCCAATAATTTTGAAGGTGTGATCTTTCAGATTTCGAAGCAATTCCCTGATTTGCCACGTCTTGATGATCTGAAACGCAACCAAAGCCTGACGCTCATCAACTCTCACTTCAGCGTCGGCCAGCCTCTGCCTCTTCTGCCCAACCAGGTCGAAGTTGGTGGCCTACACATAGGTCCTCCTGCAGCGCTCCCTAAGGTGAAAATTTCGATACATGCATTAAAGTTATTAAAGTTACTGGTACAGTGGTACTTTTTCCGATTTGAAAGAAATTCGAAACAACAGTCAGATAGATGAAAGTTACTATTTGTTACTCGATCTGTATTCCTTGAACATTTGAGCGTGAGTGGATAGTTCGCCAAAAGTATTGGCTGTTCAATGTATGTTTTATCCGATAAGCTACACGTATGGCAAGCCACGGGGAGGTTTTATCAAACTTCGTGAACTTACTTAACAATTTCATCGAAATGTTTAATATTTTAAAGCCCAATTTACGATTATCATTAACACGGGCACAACGTCAAAGCATTTCTCTCTAAAGCTCCACAAGCGACAAAAAATAATTAAATAAGTCATGTATTAATATTGTCAATTACACCAAGTAGCGACGTTAACCGATGATATCAACCTGGATCATAAGTTCAAATTCTAACACTACTGATAACCTTTCCTCTATAAGAAATAATCTAATATTACGAACATTATACTTATTTTATTCTCAGGACCTATCGGACTTCTTGTCTGGCACGACGCCGGTGGTGTACATGAGTCTGGGCTCTATTGCGCGCAGCAGCGCCATGCCCCAGGAGTACAAAGACATCTTCTTCAGCGCCTTCGCCAAGCTCCCCTACAAAGTCCTCTGGAAGTTCGAGGAAAAACCACCCAAAAAGGCCAAAAATCTTTTCGTTCAAAGTTGGATGCCTCAACAGGACGTACTGGGTAGAAATAAGAGAATAAATTTGCATTAACAGTTCGCAAAATGATGATGGAATATTTAAACTTTGAGGTTTTGAAAATAACATTCAAGTAAAATGTATGTATGCAAAGTGGGAAAAGTTTCTTGCAAGTTAGCAGTGAGTTTACTGAAACATTGCTTGATGCTTTGAAGTTCAGAAACACCAAAAAGACCCATTGCCAAAAAGGGGAGGTGACCAAAATGCCAAACACCAAAAGACCCCCAATAAATGATCGTCTATGTATGTGTATTAGTTTTTGAGATCAAGACATTATCAGGCTCTGTTACGAATTTAATTGAAAATTGCACCAACATGCATTGTAGCCCCTAACATTTTTCCCCTCAGCGCATCCTAATGTGAAGGTTTTCATATCACACTGCGGCTGGCTGGGGTCTCAGGAATCCCTGTACTTTGGTACGCCGATTCTTGGTCTACCGATTTTTGGTGACCAGCCTAAGAACGCCCTGGCTTTGGAGCACGCAGGGGTGGCTCGATCACTTGCCTGGGCTGACTTGAACGAGCAGCGACTGATGGATTCCATCACGGAGCTCATAGAGAACCCAAAGTAAACGAAAAAAGTAGTAACAATAGTCATCTTATCACGTTTCTGGTTGATACAGTTTCACTTGCGTCTTTGACAGGGCAGGGTGGCCTAGTGGTTACAGTTCAGAGTACCAAGATTGGAGCAGAGAGGCGGGGTTCGATCCCAGCTCTGTGCGCCAGTTTCTGGTCAGAATCAGCAAGGAGGCCGGGCGGTTAAGCACAGCAGAATTGTAGCAGTGAGTAGCGAGTTTGAGACCGCAAAATGCTGTGAATGTTCTGCGATGTTAAGAATCGGCGACAGGCCTACGGCCTACTAAACGCTGAAACCACTATTATTATTTATTATTATTATTTTTATAATATTATTCTGGTTATAGAACACTTTTTGCACACATAATTCCTTAAAGCCGCTCCATGCCACGAAGAGAACCCTATGAGAACTAATGTGATTTTATAGCGATTTTTCCATTACTTGCCCGAATACTCGATGTTACCGCTATTATAATTCTTTTCTTAACGATGGTAATTTTTCAAGTACAGAAATAAGACGGCGAACAATTTTAGAGATGAAAGTTACTATTAATAACTTTAGAGGATGCTTATAAAGCTTTTAATAAATAAACCATCATTCATTCATTTCGATTCAGGTATCGGGAGAAGGCTGAGAAAATTTCAGCGGCGATGAAGGACCGTCCGCTGAGCGCCGTGGAGACGGCCGTGTACTATTTTGGATATAAAAGTTATTATTAATGACACTAGATGATGCCAATAAAGCTGTTCATACAGGAACCATCATTCATTCATTTCGATTCAGGTACCGGGAGAAGGCTGAGAAAATTTCAGCAGCGATGAAGGACCGTCCGCTGAGCGCCGTGGAGACGGCCGTGTACTGGACAGAGTACGTCATCCGCCACCAGGGGGCGGTGCACCTGCGCTCCCCTGAGCGTGACCTCACCTGGGTGCAATTGCTTCATCTCGACCTCCTGCTTCTCTTGCATGTCGCTCTTTATCTCGTCTATTTAATTATAAGCAAGTTATTGGCATTCTTCTGTGGAGGTAGTCGTAGCAAGGCCAAGAGGATGAAGGGGAAGAGGGACTGAGGCTTGAAAGGTTAATATGTTCATTCTGAGCTTGTATCATTGCATTTTCAAGTGCACGTCAAGTGCTTCATAATTAAGAAGAAGAGTAGAAATTCCCTTATATATCAGCAGTACTTTTATTATTTATTACATTTCAGCAGTATCCATTGAATTTTTGATCGGCCTCGCAATCGTATCTCAGCTGATGTTTTGTTTAGAAATCGAAATCTTCTCATGTGCATTTCTTCTTCTCTTAATTGCATGTCGCCTCCTTCCTTTTTACTATCGTGCTATTATTAGGATTTCAATTTTGCTTCAGAGAAAAAGGCTAACCGGTGCATTCCAAGAAGAAAAATGAGAAGTGAATGTCTTTGAATTAATATCCTTGTTAAATAATTTTTATTCTTGTTCGAAAAGAGAGACAAACAAAATAAAATAATTGGATGTTCGAATAATTGATTGGATAATAACTGGATAAAAAATCATTTAGATAATAATAATTATTTTTTATTCAATTTGGAAATAATTGGATAAAAAAATAATTTGGATGCTCGGTTCATAAACAGGAGCATATGTTCAGTCTTAAAATGCCTAGCAAATTACGGACCAGGCAATAAGTCCAGCAGCTATCTCAATCAATCGTCAGTTATGGAAAGATCGGGTTCCAAAGGCCGGATCCCTTGTGAATCAAGTCACGAAAAGTTCAAGAATCGGCAACAGGCCATGGGCCTATGTCTTCAACGCCGACACTTCTATTCTATTCTATTGACTACTCCCTACGCTGTGGGCTTTCAAACTGCCGCGGCGTTACCTGGACTCGTGTTGAAGAAAATATTGTGAGCTATAACAGGAAGCGCTCTCTTGATTAATTGAATTCTTGTTATGGTTAGTGGAAATGAAATAAATTATAGAATATTTTTCAGTCGTCAGCTCGCTGGTTCACCGCAGAGATTTTTTTTAAATTGTCTGTAAAATTAATTACTTCTTTTCGCTGAGTGAAAGCAGTGGATGTTCCAGGCATTTTATTTTTAAATAATTTCATAACATTTGTTCGAACATCAGTTCATGTTCTTACAGCAATAGAGTATTGAGACAAATTAGATCTTAGATATTGAAAAAATTATACTAGTACGCGTGCACACACTAAGATTTTTGCTCATCAGATAGGAAATTTTCCCCCTGATTTTTTCATGCAACTCATCGATTAGCAAAAATTTGACCTGTCGAGAAGAGAGCTGCAAGGTTCTGATAAAATTCTGGTCGGAATGGAGTCGCAAATGGTTCCGTCAGAAGACAGAACTGTCATGTGATCAAAACTTTGCCAGACACACTCGGGACGATTCAAACCTTTCGTGCATCAAACGACCTAGAGTCCTAGACCTTCTGAGGATTCGGTATGTGTTATGTACCATACTCGTACCTTGGTTTCACCACATCTGTATTCGATCATAGATGTTTACATATTTTTTATAGAGACTGCCATTGATTCATTACTAATTTTGGATTTTCTAATAGATAAAGTAAGCCAAAACCCTCATTTTAACGTAAATTTAATAATAATTTATGAAAACCCAAATGTTAGGCGGCTATTCTAAGCGCCACCTGGCTGATTACACATTTCTACATCAGGACAGGGATTCGTTGAGTAAGTACGTGAGGGATAAGTAAGATACTTCTTTCTATAGAACTTATCTTAATATGGGATGGTTTTACATGCGAGATACTCTACGGGTATAGGCTAAGACGACGACAGTTAGGTCGGAGAAGCTTTAACGCGAACTACATGGCGGCGTACTTGTCAGTTACTGGGGGCCTTAGTAAGGTTCACAGCCTTTTTATAGAATCACGACTTCCGCCCACTACTGTGGTCTTGATCGCGTGATGTGTCACATGGTGCTGTTCATGATGACACAGGTTTAGTACTTTTCCATCAATCTCTTCCAGGTCTAGTGAAAATTACGTCTCGATTACAGATGATTTATTTATAGAATATCATTATAATTAATAGAATGAGACGCCTGATTGACGCCGGACACAAAAATTTCAATAAAACAGTTCAATGGATCCCTTCATTTTCAGACATCATTGAAGAGAACTTCGTAATTAAATTCTGTTGGTGCGAGTATTCATCCTATTTGTATCAGTATTTTACTTAAACCAGTTAACCAAAAATTTAAAAGCAGAGACACGCCGAATAATTTCAACTAATCTTCATTCAAGAGGTATCTGATTGTGTTTTTCAATTGGAGCTGATGAAGAAGCTCAGGTGGTCTCAGAAGAATTTCCGATGAATATAAAGTGGATTTACTTGGCATTTTCGTTGCTTTTAAATTCTTGGTATTTAACTTCTTATTGTAAAAATTACCGCAACATAAAACTATATTTACTACAACAGCTATCTTCAAACACGGGCATTGCAATGTTACGAAACTTTTCAAGCCTCGAAAGTCGAACGCTGTTGAGAAGCCTTCACCGCCTTCGTTTGTTATTGAAAATGCAGGTTATTTCGAGCAGTGTTATCAACACATTTGTAGCACTGAATGTTGTCAGCATAAGCATGAATTCTTTTATTTTTTATTTTGGGAATTCATCTCATGATGAGAATTGTAATGCAATTTTTTTACATTTCATCGACTAATTATATTTAGCCTGATTGCTTCACATTCAGAATAAGGATCTTGCTTTATCAAGTGAAGCAAAATTTAGATCTCAGTCTCAGAGAGTGCAAGTAAATAAGTAGTTAATATAATATTAAAAAGATAAGAATAAAGTATTAGGAGCCACTACTACTACTAGCCACTAGAAGGGAGGAGTGGAATGAGCTAACTGTATCCTAAAGTAACTCATTTACCTCCCCATCATCATTATCGGCCCTCATCGGCAAGACCTCTTGGGTGGAAAACCTGGCTATTATATTGACCAAGAATATTCCAATCCACCGCAAACAGAAATTTAGTTACAGAAGAAAAATATTCTTAAAGAAGTTGAAAGTAAATCATCGAGGAGGTTCAAACTAGCGATTGTATATTTTTAGCATAGGACATTAGTCCTCGATTGCACAGAGTGGAAACAAATAATTAGCAACGTGACAAATCATTAAAAACCCAGATATCATTCTTAGCATTACTAGTCTCACTAATCTGAAACTAATCTACGTCCTTCATCAAGAAATGCTGAGTAACAAATTACATATTTTCGAACATTCGAGTAATTTACTTACTTTTCAAACAATCACTTCAAACAGCGAGAGGCACATTTGCAATTATGCAGTTAATGAATATTGAATAATCATTAACTGGAACATGAAATCAGCTGTCTGCAGGACAAGACTTTCAAAGACTACGTGCTGGTCCTAACCGGTTAAAATTTATTAGAATAACTAACATAATCACCTGATTTTATTTAGTGGTGGAAAATTTCTAGAACTGCGAGACAATAAAATACCACAACACATACTAACTTAAATTTTATAAAGATAAAGAATAGCGAATTGGTACACAAAAATATTTTGATTTCCAAACAAAACATCAGCGGCAAGATATTCCGATGGCGATCATAAATAACAATCAATGGATTCTGCTGAAGTCGCGGAAAAGTATCTTTATGAAAATTTAACTTGCCAAACAAAAACTTCTTAATTTTATCACAATAAAGGGGAATTTTTCCTTTTCTTCTTACTTAATTAATTAAGAAACACTTGACGTGCACTTAAAAATTGCAATGATGCAAGCTCAGAATGAACATATTACTTAAATGGCAACGATTCATATTATTTGATACTGTGAGAATGGTCAAGCCTCAGTCCATCTTCCCCTTCATCTTCTTGGCCTTGCTACGACTACCTCCACAGAAGAATGCAAATAACTTGCTTATAATTAAATAGACGAGATAAAGAGCGACATGCAAGAGAAGCAGGAGGTCGAGATGAAGCAATTGCACCCAGGTGAGGTCACGCTCAGGGGAGCGCAGGTGCACCGCCCCCTGGTGGCGGATGACGTACTCTGTCCAGTACACGGCCGTCTCCACGGCGCTCAGCGGACGGTCCTTCATCGCTGCTGAAATTTTCTCAGCCTTCTCCCGGTACCTGAATCGAAATGAATGAATGATGGTTCCTGTATGAACAGCTTTATTGGCATCATCTAGTGTCATTAATAATAACTTTTATATCCAAAATAGTACACGGCCGTCTCCACGGCGCTCAGCGGACGGTCCTTCATCGCTGCTGAAATTTTCTCAGCCTTCTCCCGGTACCTGAACAGAATATTATAAATGATATTTTATTAAGGTACACAAAACCGGGAATAAATAAGTTGTGAGGAATGGGAACTGGACAAACCTGCTTTAGCACTTCTAACCAATTTTGACAAATTTCGTAACGTTAATGAAATTTTGACAGGATGTTCTCGGTACATGTCCCACAACATAATCTCAGACCTGAAACTTTAAAATAAAATCTAGAAATGAGTCATGAATGTATCATACATTGCGCCGAGGTTTCATTAACTATTGCTTATCATCAGCATCAACTCTTCACAGGCAACGGCACGTTAGTCCCTTCAAGCTCTTACGTTGACGTCTCGATGAGATCCCTGATGGTGTCGATAAGAAGCTGCTCGTTCAACTCAAGCCAGGAAAGTTTACGTGCAACTCCCGCACTCTCGAGCTCAACTGCGTTCTTGGGCTGGTCGCCAAACAACGGCAAGCCAATGATTGGTGTCCCGAAGTGCAGGGCCTCTTGAGCACCAAGCAGGCCGCAGTGCGAGATGAACACCTTCACGTTCGGGTGCGCTGTAAAATAAAATACATCTTTCCGTGAAATTGAACTTGTGATGTATCAAGTTGCCTACAAATCCAACGGTGGGGAAATGCTCAAATACAATGAGATAAAATTCCCTATACTATCACACCGTAATACCTAAGGTTCCTGCCAAGGGAAATCCGGTGAGAAAATCCCTTACAAAACATGATTAGAAAATGATCGGAATCCCATTACAACAAGAATTTAAATGAATCAGATCGTAAAACACTTATGCAAAACATACTAAATGACATAAGGCGATAACTCATGCTTTGAAGAACATGAAAATAAGACCGTGAAACACGTGAGAAGAGATCTAACTTGATAACTTTTGAAATCAACTCAGTGTTTGATCGTTCCAGAGTGATTAAAATTTCTATTCCATGTGACTACACCAAAATTGTTTTAACAAATTTCTCGCTGCAAACCTAAGATGTCCTGTTGAGGCATCCAACTTTGAACTAGGAGATTTTTCGCCGTTTTGGGTGGTTTTTCCTCAAACTTCCAGAGGACTTTGTAGGGGAGCTTGGCGAAGGCGCTGAAGAAGATGTCTTTGTACTCCTGGGGCATGGCGCTGCTGCGCGCCACGGAACCCAGACTCATGTACACCACCGGCGTCGTACCAGACAAGAAGTCCGATAGGTCCTGGAAATACGACGGAAACGTTGAACGTTCCATGCAAAAAATCTGTGGGGACATCTATGATGGACCTTTTATTATTATCAAAACGATTTATACTTAGTCATTACATCTTAAATAATAATAAGCTAGTAGGTAGCAAAAATCCAAACTGCTTCTGAATTCGCTTCTTTCTTCTTCCCTAGTTTATTTACCTGTAACCTTACTTCAGCCTTGTCTGCCAATATTTGGGGTAAGATCCTAAAAGCTCCTATTATATTCATCTTATTTGTAATGTTTCATTTAATCCTGTAATTCTTATTAATTAGTCCTCAATATCATTTAGGCTGTTATTTCTTGAGGTGTGACAATTCCATTAAAACTCAAATATATTCCACACTTGTGTTCAATTCCTGTATAAGAACCTTTCGCGTTTGACATTGCTGGTGGCGTTTCTAACTTAGCTAGTTATTAGTACCAATCGCGCTGCTAGAAATCCATGAACAGCAGAGCTCGTTTTGAGAAATGCAACCACAATTAATATCATTAAAACTTTTACATAAATCAAATTTTACTATAAAGTATTGGATGTTATTTGTTGTAACAGTTGCACACACCTGCTTATTTTAAAATGGATTAAAATTAGATTAAGACTGCTTGTAAAGGCTCTCCTCTCTGTTCCATTAATTCACGTTGATATTCACATCTACTGCCATAGGTGAAAACATGATGAGGGAGTCTGGCCACGAACGAGAAGACACTGAGGAATTTCATCCCGACTAGAGGCTCAGTACGAATAACCAATTATTTTTAAAAATCAAAAATTTTTTTGCCGATCGAAAAATCCTTGTGACGCGCGTATCAACAGAACGAGAATACAGAGGCTCAGTAGTGATTAAATAAAAATAGATACAGAATAATTGTTTAGAAAAATGTTTGGTTTGCTAAGAAATGCAATTTAAAGATTGTATTAAATTAATTAGCCATTTCATCGAGCGCAATTCACCTTAATGTTCACTTTTAGAATATTATCATGATAAATAATATAGAATAGAAGTGTCGGCACTGAAGAAATAGGCCCATGGCCTGTTGCCGATTCTTGTTCATAGAATATAATAGAAGTGTCGGCACTGAAGAAATAGGCCCATGGCCTGTTGCCGATTCTTGTAATTTTCGTGACTTGCCAAAAAAACAACACTCACTTTTGGCAGAGGCTTCGGCTCGACAATGTGCATCCCTCCAACCTCGACTTGATTGGGCAGCAGCGGTATAGGGAAGGGTGCGCTGAAGTGCGAGTTGATGAGAGTCAGGCTCAGATTGCGATGGATCTCCCGAATTGGAGGCAAGCTCGGGAAACGCTGGGAAATCTGGAAAGTTCCTGCTATTTATGCTTTGAACCGATATCACAACTATACAACCAGAGTTTAGAAGAAAAAATATGAATTAAATCCAACAAATTATTTAAAGCTAACAACAAATAATAATTCATTAAACTCAATGAATTAAAAAATATAACCCAGTACTCACTGCAGTGAGTGACAGAGAGCGCATTTTCTCGTCGACGAAAACGTGAAGTCACGGACGGACATACGGACATGGCGAGCACAATAGTGCATTTTTTCCATAAATGAGAAAATGCGCTAAAAATAATTTGTGTTACAATTTTAGATCGAAAAATGGCAGGATGGCCCAGGGTGATTCACGGATACTCCCCATTTTAAAGCCCCCCCCAAAAAATATAACTCAGTACTCACTGCAGTGAGTGACAGAGAGCGCATTTTTTCGTCGACGAAAACTTGAGGTCACGAACAGACGGACGGACAGACAGACAGACAGACAGACGGACGGACGGACGGACATGGCGAGCAAAATAGTGCATTTTTTCCATAAATGAGAAAATGCGCTAATAACTAGCAAAGATATCATTACTATATGAATGTTATTGAAGAAGACATTGCCTTAATTCTTGTATCACTTAGTTTTAAAAATAATATCTGACAAATGACGGCCTTCACTGTCAATGCATTCAGTTAGTCGATTTTTAAAGTTCCGTTCAACTCGCTGAAGCATACATTGACGGGTATGTTGGAGATAGCTTGGCGTATGTTGTTCTTCAAATTAGGTAGGGTCCTTGGACAATCATTGTAAGCAATTGAGTTAAGATAACCCAATAAATAATCGCACGGAGATAAATCGGGGATTGAAGCCGGCCAAAAAAGGTCACCTATCAAGGAGATGAGGCGCTCTGCAAAATGTTGTCTCAGAAGACGTGGAGAGCGCAGGAAAGGCCTTGCTAATTTTACGTTTTCGGGTGTCGTGGCAGTCCGCTGACCTCCTCTTACATTCATACTTTCACTTGCCTAAATGTGTTTATCCACGTAAAAATCGATTTCCGATCAGGAACGTGACCGGGAGGATGAATACGGAACCGAGTACGGAATGCTCGTGAGTAGCGATAATGGAACGGTCATAAGAAAGTACGCCTCGAAAGCAAACGCACGCTGCTCACTTGTTCAATGCATAGTGGTAATTGACTAGGCGGGACACAAATTCATGATCTAGCCTATCATATGAAATGCTGCCCACCCTTTTAATTTAACATCTGGCTGCTGGGCGCAAAATACAAAACAGGAAGTTTCGGCGAATCATCCTGTATTATAGGCCGAATTATTTTCTTGGGCAATCTGAAATAAAGTAGTTAGCTCTAGGAAACTGTACAATGACCCTTAACCCTGAACATGACCTCGGAATTTATACACGAATCAGTCTTCATTACGAAGATTATTATTTTCAAGCGTCGGATCGTATTGGCAATGCCATTACACACAAGTTTAACGGTAGCCGTACACAGCAAAACAAATACTACCGACTTTCTTTATAGAAACAAGAAGTTTCATCAAGCTAAACCTTGTGCTTATCAACTCACCTCAACCTGAGTTGGGTTTACAATATTTTTTCGCCATATTACGTCGGTGGCGATGTTCATGAAGACACTCTTGGCGCGATGGTACAGTGAGAATGGTCGTGGGTAGTCCTGCATCGCGCTCGCCACGTACGCAGGATTCTGCAAGTTACCCATCGTGGCGCTCAGCCGCGGGTCCAGCGCGCCCGTGGTTATCGTGATGAAGGTGCGCTCGTGTACGAACGGCAGCAGAGCCTGTACAAGTTAGGGAGAAGTACAAATTATTTTAATACGGCATTCGCCATGATCGTCAGCGTAATTTTTGGTTGTTGATTCAGAGTGTTAATTTGCTGAAGTTGATCATCATAGAAGTCGGATAAGGAACGGTTAGGGAGTAGTACAAATTATTCTAATACGGTATTCGCCATGATCGTCAACGTGATTTTTGGTTGTTGATTCACAGGGCTAATTTGCTGAAGTTTACCATTACAGAAGTCGAATACGGAGTGAGGTAGGTATAGAAGAGGTTTGTGCAAAAGCCCGATTTGAACGCCATTTTATTACGGATAATTTGGAAAAGTGATCTGGAAAATGAATTTTTCTTCTAAGACAAACTTGGCAAGTAAAACAAACATTCAAACCTGTTTTGAGCGATAGAAATGTAGAAAGCACGATAGAGCAGGTGAGGCAAGTTGCTTCTGAACAGGATTCTTATTCATATGGGCAGAATATCAGTAACAAATTCAACATCAACACTGCAGTAAAATTGTACGATACGTGCACACCAAGCAAGACTTCATGCCTTTTATAAGAATAAACTAGCGAAATAATTGTTAAGCTACTCACGTCGTTGAACATGTTATTCAATATTATCAAGTCGAATTCTTTCCGTTTCTCGAAGAGCTCTTTAACAACAGGAACGTCGTAAATTTCTCGCGCAATCAACGGGAATATTGTGCGGAATTGGTTGAACATGATACTGGGATCTTTCATGATCGCGAACGTGTCCAGGGCGTCGGGGTCAAAATGTTTGAGTCCGTGCTCTAGGAAGAGAATCTTGCTATTCTTCTCGGGCGGGGGATGATTACTCAGCATTGTTACCTGCAGGGATACAGAGAGCTGTCAGATATTTGCATTAATTCATACTTATCTTAGTCAATATTGCACTGAACTGAAGTAAGAATAAACGAATGAATTTAAACAAGTCAACCCACAAGAATCACGGCAGCAAACACGGGTAAGCTCGCTCTGGAGTTCAGGCGGTTCTCAATACAATAGCTTTAAGAACCTTCAGTCAAGTGTCAGCTAGGTAACGTTTTAAGGCAAAATTCAAATTCAGAAACAAAAATTTGTTCGGATATCCTTTAGGTTTAATTGTACAAGTTATTTACAGAAATTAATTAGCTCACCTGCTATATACCTCCTATATAGCTTACCTGCTATATATCTCCGAAAAAGTACCGTATTCGTTTTATGAATTAGGATTTTGCCTTGAAAAGTTCACTGAAAGAAATCTAGAGATTCTAAGACAGAAATTCCTAAATTACATTGGCATAAATGGCACATCAACATAAATGACAAGTCCATTTCATAAATATCGTCAGTCATGCCTCTTCCCCCCCCCCCCAAAAAAAAATTATTCGTATTTCATATGTTTAAATTTGGGTACGATTTCTATTTATTTCGCTGTTATTGAATTTTGAAAAATTACTACGAAACCATGAAGACTGAACTATGGAATTCCAACATGCAGTACCATCACCATCGCGATCCTCAGTCACGTCCTTATCGTTATAACCAAGGAACATTTGTTTATTAAATGAACACAATTCTCCTAGTCACGTCATGGAAAACAAGTCGTTTGAATTTGAATTGTCATGCCATGATTGCTGAATCATCGGGGGCTCTATCGCAGACGTAAAGCTTTGCGCAAAAATCACAAAGATGGCTCTGTAAAGATCGCAACGAACTCTACAATTCTGAAACATCTACAGAAATTTGTTTGGAAACTCTGAAAATATTTGAGAGTTAAAAATACCCGAAAATACATACGAGTCGTCGGGAGATCAATTATAACACCGCAGAGATCGAGTTGAGGGACAGATAACACCAGATAATGTCAGACGGATAACGTCAAGGCAGAGAGAATAAACGATAACGAAAATGTGTACAGCCAAAGACTTCTTCCACATTTTTATTCGAGTGATTTTCATTTTGCAACTATTAGATCTGAACAAATTTAAAATTATTACATTCCCTATATATAGGCTATATCCAAGTAAGGCATGCATGCTAGTAGAAATGAAATATTGTGCATGCCAACATAAAAATGAAATAGTATGATAGTGTTAGTCGTGTTTCAGGTGTTATAATTCTGCAATTAGAGGATCAACAGAGATCTCTATAAAAATCTTTCAATTGTTCTATGTTTCTATCTATGATCTATGTTTCTATAAAATCCCTATTGATGGCATAGACACGTGTAAATCCTAATGATGATTATGCATAAAATACCTAAAAAGAGCGCATTCATAAGACTTTCAACCTTATGGCCGCGCTGCGTGAGGGCCGTGGCAAGGGGCATGAAGACGTTGCGGTGGCTCTTGGAGGACACGGGCAGCAGCATAAGGATGTTGTAGGAGCGCTCAGGCGGTGGCAGCGCCGCGCCAACTGCCTGTAGCGCGCCTGCCAGCACTACGAGCACCAGCACTCGGAGGCCCACCATTCTATGGGTGGCAAACGTGTTATTAGTAAACATGATGCAGCCAGAGGAATGTCGAGAACATTGTTCACCTATTACTAATACTGCGTATCTTTTAATCAAGATGTGAGATTTGTGCGGTAAATAAGCCAGCAAGGAGTCAATGCGTTATGTCCGGCCCGCATTGCAACTGTCTGCAACTTCTGAACCGAAAAGTTACGAGGCTATTTTTCGTGAGAAATAATACATCAGTGCTGCCGCTTCAAATCGAAGTCGAAGCTCGAAACTTCCCGCTTTACAGAGCTTTGAAACAATTTTTTAAAATCAAATCGATATTTCTTCAAATATGAATAACTCAGCGCTAATTTATAACTTGGTCAAATGTTTATCACAATGATCAACGGATACGTTCTGCTTACTTATTAAACTAACCAGCTTCTAAAACCCAGCACGCGTTTTTGTTTTGATTCAAAAACTGAAATGTATGATTCAATGGTTCACATATATATATTCAACATTACAATCTGGTTAAAATTGAATCAATCTTACATTCAAGCAGGCTGTTGCTTCTTCTTTCACATAAACTCCGCACACGCTGGAATTCCAACTAATTAATTGCACACGCGAACTACGTTAACCTTCTACAACCTAGTCCACCCGGTTACTGTTGTGACTTGTGAAGTTGTGAAGTTGTGAGTGTGACGGAGTACGGAGACTACGGACTGACGGCGCTCGGCAGTGGCTAGCAGGGTTGCCAGATGGAGCCATGAGAAAATTTAGCTCATAAAAAGGCCAATAACGGACCATTTAAATTTGATATTTTTAAATGTTAAAAATAGCACAACATTTTAAGTTCAATGTAGTTAAGATTATTTACAATGCGTACGGCAACTCCTCATGTTTTCAGACAACAAAAATTACACAAAGTTCACTAAGTTTACGACTCACAAAACCTTCAATGCCACAAAAAACGCCAGCGTTGTAACCACAAAAATTACAAATGAATTTGCTACTCTTTAGAAAGCGGATGACTATATGCACTCGCAGCTCTGCCATGCATGGTTATTAATATGAGTGGGCAACTGTATATTTTGTATATAACTGTATATAAATAACCATGAACCCCATGGTTCAACCATGGTGTCACCGTGTACGGTAGGCCCAATTAAACGGCACACGGCCAGTTACGCAACTTACGTGTCTAAATTTAAATGTATTCATCTTGAGCAAAAAAAGGTAAATTTGAGAGATGGAAAAAATTAATAAAAAAACTTGCGAGTAACATATTTTTTTTTATTGCGAGTAAAAGATCCCAAACGGACAAAAAAGGTCAAATAAATCTTATCAGGCCAACGCATCCAAAAAATACCACCATTTCTTAATTTGTCCAGAAAAAGGCTTTTCTGGCAACCCTGGCTGGGTAGTCCGCGTCCTCGACATGATTGTTATGTAGTGTCGGATAAACCTGTCAACTCAGCTCGCGAACGAAATTTTTTTGGCGAAAAAATTATATTGGCCCTCCAATATACTTTATAGAATATATAGACATAGAACTAAGAACAGTACTTTGAGTTCATCATGGTTTCGGGAGGGCTGCTCGCAACCATGATTGCGAGCAAGATCAACCATGCTCGCAACCCTCAATTCGCCACACAGAGTAGTGGATATTTTCTCTAATGGAGGTCCTTATGGAACCAATTCATGCCAAAATAGAAGACCAAAATCTAAGGATCCTTAATAGAGAGACTAGCTAATCTGGTCCTAAAAAAAGTGTAAATTATGGGTCTTTAACCACAAACAAAGCATAAATAAAATGTAAAACATCCTGAACGGATGAAAGGGCACCCTGCATTTTCGTCGTTCAAATCCTGTGGAAAAATATCCATATTTGATTAGTTTACCTGAAGAAAGGCCTATCTGGCAACGAGCGTCATGCCTGGCGGTATCTGATGCCGAGAATTGCCCGAGGCGGGTGACAACATTGGTGATGCATCTTCTCCTTGCAGGGTTGAGCAGCTCGAATTGTTTGCCAGTTAATATAGCATTTAACTGAAAGGAAACTAAGAGCTACATTTACTTTTAGTTTATTTGATCCAGTAAGTTAAGATCAATCCAGAATCACACTTGAGGATTTGGTGGGTAATGTTATTGTTAGTAGGGGATTTTCATCGATAACACTAGAAAAAAAAAACAATTTGGTAACAATTTTTCAGAAACTTCATTGAAAGACGTTAATTGAATACTAAAGCAAGGGACCCATAGAAATAAAAGCTATTTATTTCCGCAGCGTGCAAGAAGCTAAACGAAGTACAGTAATCCATAGCCTATCGAGGGTGTCGCGTTCAAGACTCCAGCCGCGATAGGTAAAATACGCGATTGGGAATTGATCGACTGATAGTTTTGACGTGCTTATTTACGCATTAATATTGTGATTGTTTAGTAAATTTTCACTACAAATGTTCGCAAACCCTTCCCACACTCTTACTGCCGATCGAGTTCCGCGGACTGTTTTCATTGGCCGCATGTCTCCTTCAAAAACTTCAGAAAATTAGTTATCGACGTCTGCGTGGGGACCTCATTGAAGTATACAAGTATACTCATGGTCTATACAAGGTCCCTGAAGGGTTACTAGAATTTGAAACAAGAACCAACACCAGGGGCCACGGCTATAAGCTAAAAAAATTGATCTTCAAACTATCGCCAGTCATGAAAAGATCCGGTCAAATGACACGAGTTTAGATCTATGAACAAGGCACGAAATGGAAAAGAATCGGCGACAGGCCACATCAGGCCTACACTTCAGAGCCGACATCACTATGTTATGTTATGTTATGAATGATTCTTCTCATCAATATTTCTTTAAAAACCCGCGATGAAGTAGAGTGAGGCAGGATATAGCGAGATATTACTGTCCTTAAAAATTCAATAATAAAAAAGAATTTAATTTTATGAAGCTATCATTCGTGCCAATTGTCTACCTCTTTAACAACTTAACGCAGCTGAAGCAAAACGCGATTATAGGAAACCTCAATTTACAAACACGTAAAGTTTTATTTTAAGAGCGAAATCTCGTGAAATGTTGCTGTAGTGAGTGTAGTCCCACCTTCGTTGCGCCTGCGTCGGCCGCTCACCTAATCATTCTCAGGTGCATCTATTATTACACCGTTACCAGCAGGATTACGTTACATCACTTATGAGCGTTGCAGTCCACGAATTGGATTGAGAAGCAAGCGTGTTAAACATTGGGCTTACTCCAAAAACAAAGTTTTTCAATAGTTTGCAAATTGTCAATTCTGTTTGAGTAGTCTTGACTCTTGATTTATCTTAACTTGTGTAGTGTGTTTAGGCAGTGATAGATTTACCAAAAGTAAAGTTTGTAAAAAGCGGTGGGTAGAAACTAGGACGTTAGGAATAGGATAGTTCAACCATTATCAATCTGAAATTTATTTCTGTAGGGCTGTATGCAAGCATTATTTATACTATACTTTGCATTGGACAGATATGTTACCTTCATAATGCACTAGGTAAACTTTTATTCAGCTTGATTCATCTCTCAGCTGGATAAAATTATATAATTTGGACTTATTTAACTTCAATTTAGTAATGCAGAAAGTATTCTATGAACAACGAGACAATTTTCTTCAATGAAATTATTAAATGACGTTATAAAGGGCGAATTGAATACTAGTGATTTTGCGTAGAATTTTATAGGTTTGGCTTCCTCTGAAATCGAGTTTCTGAAGAACGTGCAGTCTTGCCAATTCGGGAATTTCTCAATTGTGGAACGTCATTTTTGCCATCAAATCTAACTCTTCACCACTGCGCCATTGAGCTGGCCACATTTGGCAAGATTGTATGACTCATTTTATAGTACGGATAATGTAGCTAATTTAGTACGATCGAAAAAACAGTCCGACGAATGCTCATTGGAAATCACTGGAAAGGTAACGAAATCTATTCACAAACGGGTGAATCATGCAGCAATACGTAGAAATACTATAGAATTTGTATGCACAAATATGTGTGCGCGTGTAGGATATAGAGCTTAAAAGAATTTAAAAGCGAACAAAACGACAAGTAAATTCATTGTATCTTCGCCTAAAACGTTTCAAAGACCAGCTTCATCATCAGTTCAAAAATTTAGAAAACACACGGATATTCAATAGAAAAAAAAATTAAATTTACGCCAAAGAGATTAAAACAAGTACCACAACAACTGACCAAATAGAAAATATCAGTCGATTAATAGTTTAAAGTTCAAGACACTCGTGGTACTAGTATTCGAGATACGTAGTACTATATATTATGTATTAGTGTGAGATAAGAACTATAAGCGTTGCGAGCGCAAAATTTCCGCTTAAAAATATGCAGAAATTCCAAAATCCTTACATCCGAAGCACCAACTGAGGTGGAACCAAAAATCTTGTAAAAAGGATCACTGTCCTGCGTGGCAGGGCACAACCGAGTGAGAAGGATGGGCAAAAGACAGTTCAGAATGATAACTCCTGTCGCGGTGTTTGGTATCAGCGAAATCGACGGTTCATGCTCAATTTAATTGACGTTTTCTTTGCTTTTAAATTAATAGGCGACTTTCGATTTGATCAGACTAATGATATAAGTACTAGGGATGGAGGTATTGTGGTATATGCCACATTGCTATATATTTGTGTGTTAAATATTTTCTGTAACCTTGTGCCTGAGGTTTTTAGAGTGGTTCGTTATGGTATGCACTTTTCGATGTACGACTCTGTGCGTGGAAATTGGGGGATGCGTGTGTGCGTTTGCAGTGCGTTGGTAATTGCTATTTTTAGATATAGTTTACAATGTTTCACTAATCTCGACAACATATACGCGAATATACCTGCATATGATATTAGTGATGTACAAATATATACATTTAGATTATGGATGCATTTATCCTTGTTTTGTATTGTTCGCTTGATCTCACTTAGTGCGAGCATATATGAATTTCAAAATGTATTTTGCGAGTGAGAGTGCGTGCCTAAATAAGCGTATAAACAAGCGAGTCAGCGTATTATTTTATTACGTTGGCGTTAATTAGATAATGAGCGTACTAGGGGTTATCGCTGTGCGTATGTCATGTTCTTAGTAAATTACAACTAATTTTCTATACAACATAGTAGTGTTGTCGGCGCTGAAGAACAGACATGATGTGGCCTGTCGCCGATTCATGTACTTTTCGTGAATTGTTCACAGCCTCACAGGAGATCTAAAAACAGGTCGGATATTCGACGGTTCGACCGGATCTTTTCCGAACGGACGATGGTTTGAAATAGCTATGAGACATCCACTGTACAAAAATAAATTAGGTTTTTTAAACCTATAACGTATAAATTTATAACGGAAAGAGGTAGATAAATGTTTCATTTAATTTTTTTATTTCAGGCAAACTGACTATGTTTCTTCGATTTTAAACCTGTGATCCAAACTGACGTTGACGAAATTGTCACATCATCCACGTTTGGAATAGTGATGATGCATTTGAAGATAGTCACAATATAATGTCAGCTGACTCATCATACCGTATGTCAGAATCGTGAAAATTGTTCATAGTCACTCACGGCTTTATTGTGTAGCATCAAACCTATTATGAAAATGAAGTTCACTACAACCTCGCAGTAGTTTCAGGAGTATCTTTACATAGAATTGCTGCTGAAAAATGTTCTGAAGCGATAGAGCAGCTCATAAACAGCATGTTAAACGATACGGCCTTGGCAAATTAGCGCAGGCGAACTATATACTATGACACGAGCCTTGTAAATCTGTCGAGTCAGTCAGAGTCAGACAAATATTTGTCATATTTTACATTATCGTACCCAAGGAAGGTAGGAAAATTATGATTTATTCAGTACAAGCAGAGCTAGCAAAATTTACGCTAGGAATCGAGTCTGCTCATTTAGGTCGTGTTGCATGGAGCGAAAAATTATTATCTGAATCGTGTGATCTTACTTTTGAGCTCACTATAAATGTATTGACGGTCGTTGTAGGTGTTTCTTTGACAAAGTAGAAAAACTTGATTCCTGATCTTTCATAAATTATCAAATCGATTAACAATTCTTTTCCGTTTGCAGAAACTGGGCCTTGCAGGTTGCTGGGCTCTGCCTAGCAAGTTGAGTTGAAAAACGTCGTAGTAGCTACGGCACCGCTGGCATGCGCGCCAACCTTACCGCCTCACCGCGGTCAGCCAGTCAGACCAGTCAGTGCGTTTCAAGTGTTGCTTCGGTAAGGAGTGTGGGTTGTTGTTTCGGAAAGAGTCGCTCAGTTACGCGCCGAATTTTGATCTCGTGAGAGGTTTTCCTGAGACGGTCACAATCATAATTGTTGTGCTCAACTTTTTTGCGGTGACTTTTACGAGTTAGAAACAACAAGAACTTAATCAAGGTAGAATGTCTGCCTCTCCTGCAGCTCGTCAGGCTGTGTCACAAGGGATTCCTATGTCAAGACGCATTAATATCAACCATGAAAGTGAACTTCCCAACGACTTATCAAGCACTCCTGGTGGATCTTTGTTCTCTACAACTCCTGGAGGTTTGTCTAATAGGCCTAATGTAAAATATGCACAATATAAAACAATTTTTCCTGCTTGCATCCTGAATTAGGTTCACCTAATAATGTTCTGTACTACCTTCAAATGGCTTCAATAACGAATATTAAGTCGTGACAGTAATTTATGTCGCCGCATTCACTTTGTTGCTCGTCGGTAAAACCATTTAATAACGAACTTAAGTGCAATTTACTGTATTCACTTGAATTTAAGCCGATTAAGCGTATTCTAAAATCTAAATAATTGTGAAAAAGTCTGAATGTATATTTTTACTAAAGCAAATATTCACTAGTAAAATTAAGTGTGAAGTCACCTCCTGTTTCAGCTCTATTGTAAATATTACGCCTTTCTTCCTGAAGTACGTAGTAAGCAAGACGTGTATATGAGTCACAAGAACTGTTTAGTCAGCAGCTGCACAACACTAGAGTTGTGCTGAACACACTTGTGCGCGTAGTGTTTAGTCACAGACTCACAGGTGGTAGAAGCATTAGCATTTGTAAAAAACTCTTCTCATACGTGTGAAATTTTCTACATTGACTGCATGCCGAGCTATCTCATAATTATATATAATTTGAACGACTGCAAAGTGCAAACTAACAAATGCGTTTATCTACAATATCGTGCGACAACCTTGAAACATCTACGCATCTGCCCCGAACCTACCTGCTACACATGAGCCATGTACGCACAACTGGCAGGTACACATGAGCCATGTACGCACAACTGGCAGGTACACACGAGCCATGTACGCACAACTGGCAGGTACACATGAGCCATNCATTACTGCTAAATCGGAGATTTCACATTTTCTTTGGAAGCCGCAGTTCTCATGAAGGAGTTGGGGAAAAAATGAGGGGAAACACACCTCGTAAATTACCCGCCTGTCACTCTTGTGGTGAAGGGGAGCACAATAAGGGGCGAGTAATAATGGTTGGCCAGTGGTCTGGCCTCGGCCAGTTAGTTTTAGTCACCGCAGGCCATTCCTCGGCCACCTAAGAGACGGCCGCAGCCCCTTAGATGGGTGCTGGCTCAGGTATCATATTACAAAGGCAACAAGCTCGAGCGCAGCAACTTGCCGATCTGAACACAGAACAAGGGTTCCACATCCTTGTCGCGAATTTCTCGCTCACGGACTTCGCCGCACTGTGACTACAGGCCTTAATGGTGCACAAAATTTGTGGTGCCCGGCGGCGCTCCCCCATTGTTAACTTATGATCGAATATTTGCAACGGAAAAATACAGAACTGCCCCTTAATTGTCTCCATTAACAAATACGAATCATGAATATGTCTTTGATTATCAAACAAAGATAGAGAATAGTAATATACATGGGAATACTCAAAGAATCATATTTATAAAATAACATTTTATAAATGTTATTATTCAGATAAGAATTTGAAAGGGACAGTATTAACCCTCTACCTCCTGACACGAGTAACCGGAGCAATATTGTCACAAGCCTACTTCCCAAAAAGGATACGTTCTAGTGAGCGTAAAATGACTTTCCACTGATGGTTGCCGCCACGTACGACAAATTTAAAATGTTCTCTGTTGCGTGCAACCGTTTTCAGGTTGCTACACTCAATAGTTTACGTATAATTTAAGTTGAAAGTTATGTTCCCGGAGAGTGACATACGCGGCGGTAGAGGGCTAAAATGCACATGGTGTCAGATGGAAGCTGAATCCCGATACCCGATGGCTGCGTGTTGTTGAACTGTAGCGGCAACCCGTACAGGGGTAGTCCTGTATAATTAGCGTTTGTGCTTTGCTTTGTTGGACATACAACTTGGTTATTTATAGTACCCGTTATTACTTCAGAATAATATTTGGCAACATCTCTTACTTTACATTTGTAAACTCTATCCTAGCATTATTTTAATTCGACTCTAAATTTGTATTTTTAGCGCATTTTCTCATTTATGGAAAAAATACACTATTGTGCTCGCCATGTCCGTCTGTCCGTGACCTCAAGTTTTCGTCGACGAGAAAATGCGCTCTCTGTCACTCACTGCAGTGAGTACTGAGTTATATTTTTTATCACTAGCTGTACTGGACAATATTACAATTTCTCATATCCAAATGATTAAAAAAATTTCTGGCAATTACGATGGACTCTTAGCACCCAAAGCAAGATTACTGAAGTTCTTCATAGTGTTAGGTTTGAATCTCACCAACTCCCAGCAAACCTAGTTTTTTATCCAATTCATTTTCAGAAAAACGGTTCATTCTACACCGATTACTCTTATCTGAAGTGAATCTGTTAATCCTTGAACCATATGTACGAACAGGTTCTTAATTTAAAAATTAAGTTGCAACCTCTGCATCTCTTCTCTGCTCTCATTAGAATAACTGAATATGCAAAAAAACATTTAGAAATTAGTATACTAAAATGATAACATGGCTCGATCTATTAATTATTAGGTCGCATATAAGCAACCACATATGCTCATACTTCTACCTACGTGAACGAATTAATTACAACTTTGCGTTATTACTAAATTAATTCTCATCACGAATAATGTACTCGTTAGTTACATAAGCATTAAAATTTCATGCGCTGTTGACACTAATGTTTGAAAATACTTCTCATTAGCATAGCACGAGGACTCTTAGCTGCTCCTGATATCTCTTGAAGCGACAAGCTATCGTTTTTTTTTCCAAAAATAATATTCACTTAACACGATTCAAATCCGATGCCCTGTAAAGATAACTCATCTCACTTACCAGTACGTCTGATGAAAACACAACCGATGGTTTCTATGTATGTAAATATCTGCGTGTGCGTTTAAACTGTAGGTGTACAAAGGTATACGCGTGTGTCAGAGGAGTAGACTGTCTGCCAAACTACACTGCCAGACTTGGCTCTGACCTGCATATATAGAAACTGCACCTCTACATCTAGACGCGAGCGTGTTTCTGTAGGAACCTCCTAGTGGATAGCATTCGACTCATTTTCTTTGCACTTAATTTATGTCTGCGATAAAAATTTATTCTCTAACATTATTGATTAAAAAATTAAAAAACGGTCGAATTCCGATGACGGTTGTGAAACAAATTATTTTATAACTTTTAAATGCGCATTGAGCACTCGATGCTCATTGAGCGCATACAAAATGTAGGTACTCTTTAAAAATAAAATTAAAAACAATAAAATTGATGAAGTTGCATTCCATGGATATTATGTTCGGGCTGTTAAAGAATAGAATGAAACTTTGTTGCGATTAAATTCTTTACCTACAGAACAAGAGCTACTCGTTCCTCGTGCCTAGATGTGAAGCTTAACTGCTGCTTATGTCGTGAACGGCACATCCAGTCGAAGGCTCTCAAGGCTACGAGGATGTTTACGACGGGCAATATATGATGCAAATTTGCAATGTTTTTCCCGGAGCAATTTGAAGTATAAATACTATGTATAAAAAAATCCTTGCCATGGTACATGCTAAGAAGTATTAAGTAAAATAAAATGAATCAGTGGCCATTGAAAATTTGGACGCTGTGCCTGTTGACTCTTATGTTTAAACAACATACTGTCTAAACAACAGACAGACATCAAACGTAACGAAAACCGCACAGGGCCAAGAAAAAACTAATAATTCGAACTAGTCGAAAATACAAAAAAATTTATTTAATAAGGAGCAAAACTGGCACACAAATGTCTGAAATTGGAGATGACTTTGGCCCTCGCTCGAATAAGGTCCGTGTCGCACCCGTGCAGTCCGACGATTGGGAAGCTACTGGAATAAGACAGAAGTTTCACCTTTCGTTTCAGTTATGGATTTAAAGTAATAGTTGTAGTATTAGTTATATAGCTAAAGCCATATAGTTATAGAATTTGGTATAGTAATGTTATTGTTGCAGTTATAAGGTAATAGTTTTAGTTATAAGGTAATAGTTTATAAGGTAATAGTTAGACATACCGTCTAAACAGCAGACAGACATCAAACGTATGGCTTGGTTATTCCTTATTATTTTTGATCGCGTCGGCAATTCTGATCTCAAAGTTTGTCTTCAATGTCGTAATTATGGAATTATATCGCTACATTGCTTCATTGGTGCTTAAAAAGCTGCATAATTAATTTCGAAAAGGGTAAGCGAGTTTAGATTGAAGAATATCCTGAGTTTGACTGATTACGTAGATATGTGTTTTATATAAGAGAAATGCTGGGAACTTTTTGGATAGCTATGCATTCGACGAATGTAACTTGTGCTTGTCGAGCCGTATTTATTTTGGGTACAAGGCTTTAGTATCTAATTTATCTAACTGAATATTACATAATGTGTTCTATAGGCTTCCAAAACGTCACCTATCAGGCATTGAGTGTCTTATGCGCAGATAACGAATAGGTATCGATATGCCACCTACATCTCATTTAAAAGTAGGTATTATAGACGAACTACAGCTATCAGGGACGAAAACTTGTGATTGGATGAGGCGTCTGCGTTTTGGTCAGTATTTACGAACCTAAATATTAAGTTCTCCAATGTAGTTTTCTGAAAATGATTCAAGTTTGTAACGAAAGAGAATTAAATTTACACGCCTTTAAATATTCTTGCTCATTCTTGAGGTCAACGGTACTGCGCAACAACACATAAGCGATCTCTATTTCATCAAATACAAAACGCTTTTCATACTTCTCAAGAAATGCCTCTCATGTGCACAATTTCAGCCAGGCAGTCATACGGCCTTCAAACGACTTCTGCCCTTCCTCCGCAGTTAGACCGTCCTTAGATCTGCTTTATCAAACGTCTTTTATTGCTCTTATTCAATTCTTACTTCATCGACACATTTTCTAATATCACATAATGCAAGAAATTATTAAGATTTTAATCAAGCAATCACTATATTACTTCAATTGGTTGATTCATACAAGGCATAAATAAGTTCGGCCTTGCTGGCTGCTATTGCGCTGCATATAAGATAGGTGGGGCAACGACCTTGGCAACGCATATCTTGTCTACGAGTGCTGCTGATATGCTGCTGCCGAGGCTCTCATAGAATACAATAGAATAGAAGTGTCGGCACTGAAGAAATAGGCCCATGACTTGTTGCCGATTCTTGAATTTTTCGTGACTTGATTCACAAGGGGCCTTTGGAACCCGATCTTTCATGCCATACTACAGTCTTCCTACTCCTGAACAATGCAGTGCACCTCTAACAAACCGGTTTACTGCATGGTAATTCTAATAGCTGCCTGGCAATACAAGAGCTATGTGAGTTAGTCATGTGCCAAGGGAACCAGGAGTAAATCGTATGATTCCATTGTGAACCTTAGTATTTAGTTTCATTGGTATTTGTTTGGGACGTGTCAGTCCCAGGCCACGATGGTTCGCCGCCTCTGATTATCGTTCATCCGCCCTCATTTGGGCCACCTGATGCACGATGCTGTTGCTTGCTTCTCGCCGCTGGTAGTGTTGCAGGGGAGGTCGATCTGGAATTGTGCTCAGGAACACGTCCAGTCATCTCTTGAAGGTCACCAGGGTGAACTCCCCCTCTCTTAGATCCTTTGGTAGGACGTTAAACAGCCTCGGCCCGGCCACGGAGAGTGATCCTTCCCGCAGGGATTGAAATCTGACCGCCGATCTGTTACGTAGTGGGGGGATCTTGCACAGTCTCCCCCTTCTTTCGTTCTGGTGTGTCTCAATCTTGAAGGTCTCGCTTTCGAAGTTTGGTGCCATTCCGGCTATCATTTTCTATGTGTACAGAATGACATACCTCTCCCTTTTCCTCTGCAATGAGTACAGACCCAGTCGCTGTACGGAGTACGTTATGAAACTTGTAAACGAATGTGCACTATCTTAGAAATCATACTCAAGTACAATTCATGTATATTTGTTCTGATTTATATTATTGATGTGCAGGTACACGCGTGTATTATGACCGGAACTTTATGTTGTCGATGAGAAACTCGCCATTGGCTCGGACGCCTCCAACCAACCTGCCATCCATCCCTGGAGTTACTGTCCCTGACAACCGGCCTGCGAAACCCGACTCACGCAAAAGTAAGGGTGCACCGCAACTATTGTGTTTATTGTCACTAAAATTACAAACATGGAACTTGCCGTGCTTATAAAAACGTTTTTATAATTGCCAGACAATTATTTATTTGCGTTGATGTTGGATTATTACTTTATGTTGTTCGATGAATGTGTCCATGGAATAACAATGATTTAGTATAATCCAAAAGCTTAAAATAATTTTTTAAGCTTTTGAATTATACTAGATGATTGTTATGTTATCTTAAATTGGCTTTAGAACTTATATTTTGCCTATTGAAGTTTAGTGACTAAAGAGAGTGTAACGCCGATAAATCTCTCTTTATTAAATTTTAAGGAAATTTTAAATTTGTTCATCCAGTAATAAAGCAAATAATTTCGATTATTCAATCCCTCCTCTTGCTTTATACTAATAAGTAATTTCACCATTAAAAATGAAATTTCTGATCCAGGTGGTATCCCGAGATGATGGGTACTGTAGATATGCTGTCGAATAGTCCATCTATATATATTTACGAGGCCAGTCTTCAAACATACTGTGCAACAACGTACACAAATAAATATAGATTCTGAAATATAAAATGATTATTCAATCAGCTTGCTTCTAAAAGAACCTGTTTGCTGATTTACTGTCCTCAAATTCTTAAACGCTATATATCCTTCGCATGAACGATGTTGACGATACATATAGGCAGAAGACGCTCCTAGCGTTATGTTACGTGTTTACGTATTATGATCAAATTCAAATAGAACTACTATACTGTCAATATAGTATGTCAATGTAAGGCCAGCAAGCCTTTGTCCTTCAGTTGTATACCAGATTCTACCGAATACAGTTCCCCAAATCTCTAGTCTCGTTTTTGCCCTTCTTCCTCCTTAGCTGGGACTCTTAAGTTATACGACCAGCGAACGTAACACGTTCTGCCTATCTTCCTCATTAGCTGGGACTCTTAAGTTATACGAAAATACGACCAGCGAACGCAACACGTTACATATCGAGGCGAGAATGTTCGATGTCCTCTATATAGCAAGCGGAACATTTGTATGAAGTTGTTCTCTGTTTTTCAGGCCGAGATTCCGACGAAGATGCTAAGAGGCTGTCTGCCATTGATGCAACTGCCGCAGCTCCGGCCAAAGATGAAGACGAACAATTCCAGATAGAGCTTTAGAGAATACGTCTTGTTGCATGCCTGCTGAGATCTGTTGTAGTAAATATGATTTGTTATGGATGCGTCGGCTACACCTATTATATTATAAGGCCAGTGTTTTTATTTAATGGAAGCATTTGCCACTAGGATCACTTGTAAAATTCGAATATTTTCTGGTTGTGGCTAATGGTTGTCACGATTTTGTCCACACTGCATCAAACGCTGAATGTTTTCTCTGAAAATTTATACGATTTGAATTCACCAATCGGTACTTTTCTGTCCGCTCATTAACTTATAAAATTTCAGAACAAAGTTGCGAAAACTGAATGTGTTTTCAGAGCCTATGTGGCCACATAAGAGATATAATAATACCATAAGGGTATTATTATAAGATATAAATACAATTTTTTGCTTCTGTGCAAAAAATAAATATTAACTTTCTTAAGTCACACTAAAAAACTAAGCTCACATGAAAATAATAATTTGATGTGATTGATGCATTGAGAAATTCAGTCTTAACAGGTTGTAATTTGTGAAAATTTCATAATTATTATTATAATTATTACGGATGATTCCGAGATTGAAATTTGAACTTTAAAGGAGTTTAAAATAATATAATCATTATCATTTCAGTTATGGCGTTTCGATAGTTGTTTTTAGATTAAGATTGCATGAAAGAACTGCTAGATAAGATCATTCCTTCGTATGACTTTAATCCACGCGTCTGCATATTTCATTTCACGATGGTTGAAAAAAATCTTGCCTAATTCAAATTCAATTTCCTGCCTCTGCTGTTGGGTTGTAGTCACATCAGACTTCGCCTTTCACTAGACGGGAATATTTTTCATAACAATAAACGTTTGCGCCAATTTTTCTAGACTTTCCCGGTTTTTTTTTGCGCAAATTTTTCTAGACTTTCCCGCTTTCATTGTAATTTGTTTTTTCATTGTTCACGTTGCTTTGAGGTAACGACAATAATATCTGTAAATGCTCCTATTCGATAACAGTAGCAATTTAAAATTTATTATTTTTGTATTTGTTGAAATTTCATGCCCATTTCAACATGCTGACTTGAATTGGGCACGTAAGCTTCTATAATTAAGTTTATTGTACACAGACTTCACTGCCATGTTGGGGAGTGCCGTTGGATGAGTGATATTTGCGATTGTTGTGTTTTTATAACTCACTTATAAAAGTGATGAAGACTAAAATGTATATTTTTTCTATCTTGAACTCAATGGAACCCAAAGCGTTCAACTCGCCTTAATTTCCACCATCTGTCATAACGCGGCTTCATGCTGTTCATTTATTAAAAAATGACGTTTCTAATTGAAACTGATCGATAATATGGGAAATGCTGGGACTTAAACTTCGTTAATAAGTGAAATGCTAAAACTTATTATCACAAACTTGCATTGATAGTTATGTATTTAGCAGGAGTTTACTAAAGAAATATTCGATCGGTCTGTGGACGGAATGCATTTGTTACTACATTATATTCCGGCAGTAAATTTTCATTCAAAGTACAGGGGTTGGACAGAATAAGGGTAACGCTTGACATTTTGATATCGTAATTTTTGAACAATGAAAATATTACATATTTTTATGTTTTATTGTTTATTGTTGCTTCTAATTGATATTTTATCCGTGCCCAGATATTTTTAGTGAATTCTTGTGTCTATAACCTGAACATTTCTTCCCGCTTCGAGTCACCGACATGTGGAACAGCCTCCCTGATAGCATCGTTGACGCTCCGAGTATGAACGCTTTCAAGAACAGACTAGACGAAGCTATGCAGGAGCATATGTTCAGTCTTAAAATGCCTAGCAAATTACGGACCAGGCAATAAGACTAGACGAAGCTATGCAGGAGCATATGTTCAGTCTTAAAATGCCTAGCAAATTACGAACCAGGCTATAAGTCCAGCAGCTATCTCAATCAATCGTTAGCGTCCAGCAGCTATCTCAATCAATCGTCAGCTATGGAAAGATCGGGTTCCAAAGGCCGGATCCCTTGTGAATCAAGTCGCGAAAAGTTCAAGAATCGGCAACAGGCCATGGGCCTATTTCTTCAACGCCGACACTTCTATTCTATTCTATAACCTATGAATGGCAAATCTCGCTGACTTTCAAAGAGATCAAATTGTTGGTGCCTGTATGGCAGGTGCTAGTGTGACAAAATCTTCCCGAAAGCTTGACGTTTTTAGAGGTACTGTCTCAAAAGTAACGACTGCTCTTCGAAGAAAAGGAAAAACATCCTCAGCAAAGCACAGGTCTGCCGAAAATCGAAGTTGTCTACGAGAGACCGTCGCTACCTAAATCCAATTGTGAGGGACAATACAAAAGACCACGGCTGTTGAAAATTACTGAAGACCTCAATGGACAACTACATACATAAGTAACATAACCCAGTTTCCATAAAGAATGTCCGCCGAGAGCTGCACAGATCTGAATTCTATGGAAGAGCTGCAATTCGAAAACCTTGTTCAAAACGTTTAGAATGGCGTAAAAACCTCCAAAATTGGTTCCTCAAGCAGTGAAAAAAATTGATTTTTTTTGACGACTCATTGTTTACTTTATTGCCAACCTCTGTCCGAGTGTGGAAACGGCCAAAAGAGTCATTTAATCAGAGAGATGGCGGTTCCTGCCGCCATCGTCTTTAAAAGAGCTGGAGGAAATTTCAACTGAAGAATGGGTTAATATTCCTTTGGAAACAATTCGCAATTTGCATGAATCAATACCTCGCAGAATTGAGGCTGTAATTTCTGCAAAAGGTTGACCTACACCATAATAAAATATATTTTGTGGATTTCTAATGTGCGATCTTATTTTATCTAACACCTGTATGCCATTACCTTCGATTCTTTCATATTAAACAACATAATGAAAAAATATAACTCAGTACTCACTGCAGTGAGTGACAGAGAGCGCATTTTCTCGCCGCCGAAAACTTGAGGTCACGGACGGACGGACAGACAGACGGACGGACATGGCGAGAACAATAGTGCATTTTTTCCATAAATGAGAAAATGCGCCAAAAAACGCATCAAAACGATGCACAAAAATGCTGATTGGTTCATTTAATTGACAATTGACAAACTTGTAGGTATATGTTGGTGAAATTGAATTTGACAATTTCATACACGATAATATTAGATGTGAGAACTATAGGGGTATTTTCAAGGTAAAAATCTCCTTATTTGGGATGAAAGTTTTTACAACTTGATCAGTATAATTCGATGTATTCAGACATTTTTAGCCACCATGCCACAGCACCGGTGCGCGTGTTCGTTCAACGATGTTTCATTTGCATTTGGTTGTTACTTTTACATCGGGAAAGTCGTAAGGTTTAATAAAAAGTGTTTTTAATTTGTCGATTCGTATTTTTGGCCTCCTGGAAAGAGGTCGCGAACATGTACAAGAACCAGCTTGCTTTACACTTGACATTAATTTCGACGAAAGTATCTGGGCTACCGGTACAGCTTAGGCCATTCCGGTTTGGCACGCTCATTCATTCATTCAATTCGTAGTCAATCATAATGAAATTAAATAAACTGTTTTTAATGCTCATTGCGCTGTGGCAAGAATTTTTTTTTTTTTTTTGCATTTTACCTGCTACCGTTTTCAATTAAGGTAAAACGGTAACTATAATAATTAAACTGTTTCTAATGCTCATTGCGCTGCAGCGAGAATTTTTTTACATTTTACCTCCTACTGTTTTCAATTAAGGTAAAACGGACAAATTCAGCCGTTTCGGCACGCTTTTTTAAAATTTGTTGAAAATAATTTTAATATTATATTATTATTAATATATTTCTACATGTTCTGAATTATGGTCACGCTGAATACGCAACTTGTGTACTGAAAACCACGATCGGCCGCTCAGCTACACTCCTGGCAGTTGGATAACAAATTCAACTATTACAACTCCCTCCTTGCGGTAATATATATAAATATTAGTAAAAACATCAAGATGTTTTACTTGCAAGGATTTTACAAAGTTAGCGCTAATAAATAATTTAGCGAGTTGACAGTGAAGCACAATCACATTCGGCATTGAGAGGTACAGTTCAACCGAGTTTATGATAATTGGGAATGACAATGTAAGAAATTGTCTTGCGAATAAATCTCTCTCTTTATTAATGAAGTTTCATACTATATATATTTATAGAATGAACTTTCATGCGCTTCGCCACATTATTCATGTCCGTGATTAACACCGATTGAATGAGTAGAGGAAAATCTCGGATTCGAGCGATTGATTAATGAGTTGCATGCTTCGATCAGCTGCATGCTACGATCAGCTGCATGCTACGATCAGCTGCATGCTACGATCAGCTGCATGCTACGATCAGCTGCATGATACCATCAGGTGCCGTACAACGATCAGCTGCATGCTATGATCAGCTGCATGCTGCGATCAGCTGCACTCTACGACCAGATGATCGTAAGTCATGTTATGACGTACTGTTGAACGTTACAAAGTTGACAGTCCCAAACGTTACAGTTGACTGAAGCAGTCCCAAGGAAAAAATCGTTGTGACAAGGCTTATGCTGAGACGGTCATCAGACGTTGCGAGGCAACGAATTAAAGGCCGTCCAGAGCCCACACCAGGCGCCATACTTTCAAAAAAAGTTAAGAGATCGTAAGTTCAACAGCCAATCATTGACGGCCTTTCAAGAGCAAAATCCACCAATCTTAGACAAGAAAATAGAGCGTAAGTACTTATGTTCACTTAGCGAGTTTTGAAAGTATGGCCCCAGGAAAAGAGCTTCATGAACCCACTTCAGAAAATAGCAAGATGAGCAATTTTATGGCAAAATTGTACAATTTGGTTTTTTAAAATTGAATTGGCAGGTAATGTACAAAAAATACTGATAAATAGTTAATTGTGGCCGGTTTTGGCCTTTTTGTAAGCAGATTTGGCCGTTTCCATAAGCTTCCATCAGGCAATCCTCTGATTCAACATTGTTTCAAGAGAACTACTACAGACAGAAATTTCCCTCACGTCCCCTGTTATTTGGTGGCTGCTGAGCGCTCTGCGGTGACTTATAATAATAATAATAGCGGTTTCAGTATTTAGTAGGCCGTAGGCCTGTCGCCGATTCTTAATTAACATCGCAGAACATTCGTGCAGTGGTTACGGCAGGGTGGCCCAGTGGTTCCAGTCTGAGTACCATGAGTGGCGCAGAGAGGCGCTTGGTCCATGTTTAAATTAGGCGCTCCCAAATAAGACTGATTGTTAATTGAGAATCAAGAAAGTGAGAAATATTGGCAGAACGAAGAGATTACAGTATAAAAAAGGTTTGGATTACCATTAATTGACAAGTAATTAACGAGTCGGAGGTCTAACAAAAACTACAGGCCTTCTCAACAGTCCCAATTTTTAAGCTTTGAAGAAATAATTTTTTTAAGCTAAGAAATGATCAGCCCGTGACCTGGTGCTCGTGACCTGGTGCTCGTGACCCGGGGCTCGTGACCCGGTGCTCGTGACCCGGTGCTCGTGACCCGGGGCTCGTGACCCGGTGCTCGTGACCCGGTGCTCGTGACCCGGTGCTCGTGACCCGGTGCTCGTGACCCGGTGCTCGTAAATATAAAGAAATAATATAAATCTTCCCTGCAGAGCGGAATTCTGCGGGTTCATGTGTGAAAACTTTTTCTGTAAAATTTGCGCAATTTTTCACGAATAGAAGTAAGGGAGTTCCTCAAAATTATCGCATGCTAACTTGCTCCCAAACTTACTCTCAATATTTGCGGACTTGGTATATTATTTCAAAATGATAATGGCAAAACGTCAACCTGAGGGGTAATTCATGTATATTATTTTTCAGGGTTTATCCTAAAGTTGGCGTGTGGTATTAAATACATCCCCAAAATATTAAACAAAAACTAGTCAACACTATTACTCTTGAAAGTAATCAAGAGCCAAGATTTATGCAAGACGAAAAATTGCATTGCAATACATTTTGTACATAATTTTTATAAGTTGAGTTGGTGCGTTCAACTTCGTGAAACCCGCGAAACGCTTCCAACCTCTTTCTCTGTGGGAATTCCCTTGACAGGTAGAGAAATAATAAAAGCCCTACTTGTCATATATATAAGGAATGCGTTCAGCAGAGACAAATAAAAATATAAAAAATACAGTAAAAATTTAAATTTACCGTATGTGAAAACAAATTTTATTAAACCTGAGCTCAATGGATTGAATTCGGAATGATTAAAAAATTCCCATCTCAGAGCGTACAGTTTCCCACAGCTACAACAACAAGAAACATGTCGGGTGGGCTTACGGCATTTTTCACCTAGAAAACGCTATAAAAAACGTTTGTTCCTTTCAATGTCAAAAGTTTAAATATGTTATTGTGATAATGGCGGAAGCTTCTCTTAATTTTGAGCCTCTTACAACGCTTGAAACCCTGGTGTTAGACAAAACAGGTGCGCAAACTGACGAATATCAGCAGGATAATGGAGTGTATGAAAATGCAAATGAAACAACTCCGTCAAACGAAGCTAAAACCACTTCTGAATTTTCCCAGGACGGTATGCCTGAAGATCACGAGCGAGATAATGGATTTCCTAATAGCAGTTTAGATGAAAATGATTTCCACTTGCCTCTTTCTGATGCTGATACCAGCATGAACGATCTTCCGTTTCCCGATACATCAGACGATCCCATTGCTGCGAGAAATGAAATGGATGAAAACCATCAACTTGAAGATGCATCTGAAGAAACAGAAGAATTTTCACTAAGACTTAGAGATGATTCAGAGCTTGAAGACAGAGGAGATGAAGAAATAGATGAAAATAATGTCAGAGATGATTCAAATGACGAAAAATTCATGAACACTCTTCCTGAAGAATGCAATGAGAGTGAAGTTTTGGAAAATGATCTTCAAAATAATCTAGAACTTCAATATGATGATACAAATTTGAATGTAGGTAACAATGTTGAATCAGAGCTGAAAGACTCTGATTCTGAAACTGCCAACTTGACAATTGATGACCACACTGATGGTGTTTTACAAAAATGTACCCTAGAAAACAATAATAAAACATTTGGTCAGTCTAATAGCATTATTACTAGTCTTGAAACAATAAATGATAGTTCAAATTTATTGTTTGCTACTTCAAATTTAGAATCAACTGAGCCTGAGATGGCCAATCTGGATTCAAATATTTCACCGAAGCAAAGTTTCCCAGTAGAAGAAAATGTTTACAATCATTCAGAATCCAGTTCCAATCATCTGGATGACAATCTTGGTATGGATATTATTGAAAATATTGATGATGCTCTGAAGATTGAACATAGTGCAGGCAAGGAAGAAAATCTTAATAGTGAAACATTTTCCATTTCAAATGGCTATGATGAAATGAATCATGAAGTTGTTGATGGACCTTATGTGTCCAGAGTTGACAAATGCGGTTCTAGAGATGAATCTTCTGAGCAGCATGAATCACCACCTACAAATGCTGATATTGATAACTCAATGCCTCATGATGCAACTGATAGCCTAATATTGCCAAGTGAAGTTCCATCTCAACTAAATATTGAAGAAGCAAGCACAATGGATGAAGCTATGGAGACAGATTTTCAAGTTTCAGCATCTGGTCAAACTGTCGAAGATGAGCATGAGAGCAACACTGCTAGTGAAAGTCCACCCCTACCTGCACCTTCATCAGGAGCTGCCCCTGCTGCGGTTACTCCACCAATTGTTCCTACTTCATCATCAAATGGATCGGAGTATCCTGAAGGAACTATCAATGGTGATTGCAGCAGTGGTGAGAGTAGCAATGGTGAAGGCAAAGTTACAGTTGGACAAGGGGATGTGGGAGTCTCGGAGTTCAACTGGGAGGTTGTGAAGTGCGTTTACTGCAATGCACTTGTTCTCGATCAAGAGCCAAAGCTACTTCCTTGCCTGCACTCAGCTTGCAACAAGTGTGTTGGCCATGAAGCCATGCAGCCTGCAATGAAAGATGATGACATTTTACCAAGTAAGATCTGTATTCTTGAATATTATCAATCAGTTATATATAAATTAAGCATTAAATAATTATGAACATGTATGTGGGAATCAATTGCCTTGAAGAAGTTACATGCAAATTGATCATTTGCAAAATTAAATTGCAATTTTTTATTTATTTATTTTATGTTAGGTTTGCAATATCTCAATATTTTTCCAAGTAAGAATGAGATTTCAGGGCTTCAGGCACAAGTAAAATCCCCACATGTAAAGTATTGTGCCACCCAAAACAAAGCCACACACAAACTTCAACTAATATATTTATATACATTTCTCATTTCTTGACCATACACAATCCAGTGTGTTGTTATGAAACTGTGAAAAAAATGGACTTCCCGCAAAAGAAATTTCATTTTTTTTTTCGTAACTGATGACATTAGTTGCCATCTCTTTTTATTTGAATAATTTAAGTTACAGCTTTTCCATACCTGCATAGTGCAATGCATTTAAATACTTTTCCCCATTTTACAACATATCAGTGGTCTGGGGTTAGGGGTCATGCTTTCAAAAAAGCAAACAGTTGTAATTCCATCAGTCAATCACAGGCCATGTTCTAAAACCACCAATGACCTGCAAAAAATCAGCCTCTATATGTGCATGGGCTGCTGAGTGTAACTCTAGCAAGTTTTTAAAGAATGGACCCTGGCATTTATAACATCTTTGTTCTTAGGAAAAGTTTTGATTATTGACTTGAGCTTGCAATCCTGGAGAGCAAGATTGGTGATGCGCACTGATATAGATATAAACACTTTCTTTTTTTTAATACGAATTCTTTCTTTAAATAATATGTATGTAGTTGTTCTCACAGTTCTTAATTTTTAGATTCTCAATTACTGCTAACTTTGTGCTGATATGGATGTGTTGGGCAAAAAAAATGAGTTTTTCATTATTCATGTCAAAGGTTTCATAGAAAGACTAGCATAAAACAGCAGAATTGTTTAAAAAATTTTGAAAGCAAATTTTTCTTCTGTTTCTGTATCAAATACTGATTTTTTCTTGGCTGATTAACACATTGAGTGCAGTATGACCCTCCAGTGGGCTGTACTACCAGTATGAAATGTGCCGAGTACAACATAGCCACACTTAACAAGTTTAAAGATATATTAGGCAGGATTGCCTAAATGGCTTATAAAAAAAGACTTGCCTGTGGGCTGATGTGAATAGGAGCACTCACAAATTGGCCAATAAGCGATATAGAACTGGATAGCATAATCTTATCTATTTTTATATAATCTTCATTTATACGCAGATTAATTAAATCTTTTTGCCCAGTGGATCCTCTGCTGCACTGCCCTGTGTGCAAGAAAGGCTTCACCCAGGAGAACATAATTGACAACATGTTCATCTGTGAGGCTGTTCCCGTCACTGGAGCATCGTCAGCTCAGGTCTACACATGCACCTCTTGCTCCGATGAGGCCCCGGGCAGCCTCTTCTGCATTGACTGCGCTGAGTGGCTCTGTGATGCCTGCCTACAGGTGATGCAATCTAGTCTTACTGAACCATTGTTAGTTAGCTTCCTACTATGAACTCTCTTGATAAACAAATTTGGGTATCAACAACTGTTTTATCAAATGCATTATACTTTCTGATCAAATAGCCAGCATGTATAAATTTGACTAATGGAAAGTTGTTTCATGTTGTTGTTGTTGTTGACCCTCCCCGCCTCGCTTCATGGCGCGAGGCGGGGCCTAGACCCAGTTCTGGGGCCAGCCAAGTCGGTCGCCCCAGAGACCAAGGACTACTACACACATTGTAATACTATTGTATGAAACAATTATGGGCATATCATTTGTTGATGCCACTAAAACACCAGCATTTTCATAGTGTAGGCGATCGCCTCTGCTAGCAGAGGCTGGACATAGGCTATGCATGTCCTGTGTGTAGTAGTCCTTGATAAAAATCAAAACCCTAAATTATCTTCATGAATTATGACACCTCAATTGTTATCTTATGATGACATTTGTATTTCAGGCTAAACTGATCATTTCTTTGTTTGGTGAGGGGTAAATGTTGATTTAATAATAAGAAATAATGAATATTCAATATCAAGACCAAAAATACTTAACAATAACTATAATCTTTATTGAAGTGAATCCAAATATAGGTAGGTAGATATTAAAAGAGAATCCAAATTGAATTTGTCAGCTACTCAAATTCAATTTTGTGTAGCTCAACAAGAAGTACGTATACATACATTTGCTTGTAATATGAGGTGTGCTGATGCTTTGAGTCTCTTGAGTTTTTGTAATAATATCTTACAATTATGTATAATAATATATTACTATTATCTAGTGAATATAGTGTTTATTGACATCATGCTATAATAGGACATAGTTAAAAATAATCAGCTCCCAGGTGTATGTTAATTAATTGTTAATTTATACTACCGGCACAGAAGCTAAATATATTTATATGAAATGCATTAGTGCCCTGCAATACAAGTGCTCTGTTTTCGTTTCTATCTGGTTTCAATAATTGGTTTGAAGATCTTTAGCTCCACATAATCTTCCCTTGCATATATTCAACTCTTGCTTTAAATATCCATCCAACATTGTAATGTTATCAGTGATAATTTCCATCTTTATATATTTGTTTTGGCTTAGGTTCCATGTATTCCAAATCAATCATTTTAAGAACAACTTCCCATTATTTGTGTCATCTGATCAAAATGTTATTGTAGTAACTTGGCATAATATATTAAGATGCCATATACCTAGAGTATACATACTGCAAGTGTTGCTGACTAAGCCCTTTGTCGTTTAATGTGTATATTATGTTTTATAGATGCCATGTTTGTGAAAAAAATTGAAACCCTGTTAGGACAGCCAAATGGAAAATTCAGGGATCCTTGTTGTTATTCAATGTTAAATAATTAAATTAATTGATTAAATTAAATTGCTGAATATCTATGAAACAGATGAAACAGTTCATAACTTACGGTATTTTGTACTCTGCTTGTGCAGGCCCACAAGCGAGTGAAGGTAACCAAGGACCACAGTTTAAGGAGCAAAGAAGAGGTGGAGGAGGCTGATAATGTTGGAAAACTTGTGACAAAATCAATTAACTGCACAGCTCATCCAAAGGTTTGTCTTTCATTGTTATGACCTCTCTTAGTACACTCTTTTTATTTACACAAATGCGCTCTGCTTTGTTGACCCATGTTGACGCTGCCAATATTTGCTTGCTAAAAGAGCACACATATTATTTTTCACTGAATTGGATGTAATATTTAAGCCTTCTAGAGATATATCTTATATTTAAGCCAAATAGATATAATCTTTTAGCTGTTAATAATCTTTCAATAATATAATCCTTTGGCTGTTAATAATCTTTCAATAATATAATCTTTTAGCTGGTAATAATATAATCTTTTAGCTCTTAATAATCTTTTCATAATATAGTCTTTTAGCTGTTTGTAGTATTTAGTGTCATAAAGTAAAGTACGTGTCCTGCCTCCAGGAGAAGCTGCACCTCTACTGCACCACCTGCGAGCAGCTCACATGCCGCGACTGCCAGCTCATGGAGCACCGTGAGCACAGGTCTTTAAATTTATAATTTTAATATTTAATAATTTAGTTTAATAATTAAAGCATTCAGTTAAATGCCAATTTAACCCACTAACTCTCAAGCTAGATATATTTTCAATCATATTTCCTCTTTAAATTATTAAACAATTCTAAGATTTTGATAGTGGTAGATGTTATTTTAAACTTAGTTTCGTTCATCTGTAACAGTTGCGATCAATACTTCGAGAGAGTATTCATATACCTTGCTTGATCATGTTGAATTACTGACACGACAGTCTACGGTACTTTAAATTATCTGCAACTGCATGTCACATGCATTTGCACCCACTAGGGTATGCTTCTCTCATTCAAGATTTGTGATGGCTTGCTGATCTTGCATACAGCATCATCTCCATATCATTTACCGAGCCGTATTTGAAATCATCTCTGGAGTGAAAGCTAGTTATCTTCACTTTATTTTTGAAGAAAAAGATAGATATTTATTCATTTTATTTATCATAATATTATTATTAATATTTTCCTATCTTCCTAATGATATATCCTCTTAATTGCTGTTCAAGTCCATTCTACTGAAGCACAATTGATTCTATATTTTGATTGGTACACATTTTTTTGATGGCTTCATTATGGCTTCAAACATTTTATATCTGTTGGTTCATAATGACTTGCAATTGTGTCCAGGTACAAGTTTGCGGAGGAAATGGCCGGACAAACTAGAGACAAATTAAGGAAGCATTTGCGGGATATTCAAGTGAAGAGAAGCTACATAGAAAGTGCTAAAGAGTTGGTCGGCAAACGGCGCCGTCAAATCAACAAGAAGGAAGAAAGCGTCAGGACAGATATCAACAGACTTGTAGAAACGTGAGTGAAGAGTGACTTGCCACAGCGCCATCATTACCATTACCAACTATGGCTGCTTATGCTGCTGAAATCTTAATCATTTCATAGCAAGTGCTCTCTTCAATTGTGTTCTCAATTGTCAAATGTCTTTGCTTTTGGGTTGCAGTGAAATGTTTGATTTAATTTGCAAGAAAATGTTGACTATCCTTGTGTTTGTTCTGTTGAGATAACTGAAGAATTATAATGGATCGATCGTTAGTCATTCTGACGCGTGCTCAAATTTATTTTCTGATCAGCATTGGTACCTTGTTAGAAAAATCACCGTTAAACGATCTCCCCGGCGTTCTAGTGGCCGGCCGGCACGTGAAAAGAAACACCGTGTGACCGTTTTTATTTTAATTTAACACTGAAAACCCGTACAATATCTGAAAATAAAAACGGAGAAACCGTTTCTTTTCACTTGGCAGCAGGCAACTAGAACGCCGACGAGACCGTTTTTAGCGCATTTTCTCATTTATGAAAAAAATGCACTATTGTGCTCGCCATGTCCGTCTGTCCGTCCGTCTGTCTGTCCGTCCGTGACTTCACGTTTTCGTCGACGAGAAAATGCGCTCTCTGTCACTCACTGCAGTGAGTACCCACGGAGTTATATTTTTTTACAGTTTTTCTAGCAGTATAAACGAATTGTTGCGCAGGTTTGTGGAAATTATTCGTAACCGGGGCAATGCTCTCATCATGATGCTGTCGGAGGTGTGCAACAGCAAGCAGGAGCAGCTGGACAAGAAACAAGAAGTCCTGCAGCATCTTGGCGGCCAGGCTGACCATTGCACACAGGTCCTCAATACTGTGCTTGACACCAGCAGCGACACTGCGTTGCTCTACAGCAAAAAGTGAGTGAGACCATCAAGGCAGTAGAATTTTTTTTCATAATGACTGTTATACACTATAAAATACTGAGCAGGGAGAAGGGCTGTCTGATGCGATTGTCAATTCGTGAATATGAACATTTCACCTTGAGGCGGCTCTATATACAACCTTTCATAACTTTGTTTGTCCTGAAATCCCGAAATTTTCAATAATCGAAGCTCACAGTAGTAAACCTGGCCAATTTTCAAGCTAATAAAATAGTAGAATAACATTTAGGCATAACTTCTAAAATACTTACCGGTATATCTGTGACGTTGATTGCCCAGAAATACACGGTGTATTATGGTCATGGTCGTATCATGGGCTCATGGCTACTTGTTTATTAATTTATCTTGAGTTTGCAGGCTCCTGATGGAACAAGTACTGAAAGTTGATAAAGATTCTCCTGATCGACATCTTTTTGATCGCTTCCGCGCCAAGCTCAACTCGAGCGATGAAATTTCTCTGCGCATCTCCAGCGAATCTCGTGGACTGGGGAAAGGTACGATCACTTGGAGCACATGAAATTCACTGTCTCCTATATTTTACGTTGTTGTTTTTCAATTTATACGGGAGAAATTTTCAGGAACAATTTGAATGTCGCTATTGATTTGCGATAGGTTTACAACATTACTCAGACAAGGACGTTATTTATTTTTTAGAAGTGTGTTAAATGCGTCATTGGAATTCATCATTGTTCTCTACTGAGATGATGTTGTAATGTTAAAATAATCTTTCTGCTACTCTTTTTTTCAGTCCTTGCCGGTAAAATGTTTTTCTGTAGAATTTCAGCTTCTCTCTGGTAAATTTTTGTCTTTGCTCTTTGGTCTTGTAGCTCAGTTTGATTGCTTTAAGACAAAGGTTGTAAAAATCTGGGTGTGGGCTAAATATTGTGTAGAAAAATGGAAAAAAGCACAGTATATACCGAGAATATCACTAAACAAAGGATCAATGTGTAAGCTCTGTGCTGAAATGTGATTTAAATGTTTTCAGAGCGTTTGCATCTTAATTTCAATCGTTCATGAAGGTTTTCAAAGGCTTGTGAGTTACTCACCTGCTATTATATGTTCGGTGCAAAGTTAGAGACAGCTTAAAAATTTGGGGACCTGCTCTGACGGTAGGAACGTCCTTAATAGCCTTAATAGCAAACCAAGACCTCCTCCAAATCTGTCTGCATTTGGGTTTGGTCCGTGACGCCTTTGGATTTGGCATTCATGATAAATAGGCAAGCAGTTTTCATCTTGCGTGATCATCCGGCCGGCTTTTCAAGCAGTGTACATTTACTCAAAATGAAGCTGTATCTCGTATAGTGTTACCTCATCTGGCCGATATGTAGTTCATTGGCAAAAATGTATTATTTGAGAGACAAATCCGCGCGTTGGCTTTGAAACTCTCATTATTTAGTAATTAAATTGGGTGTGCCTTGTTTTTGTCAGTTGGTTAGAGGAAAAAAAATCCTTTTTTTTTGAGAAATTGAATCACATTTTTGTCATCTACAATACTCACTGGAGGATTTTTGTGCAGCTCTGAAGGATGTTGGCTACTTGTTGGTGGACAATAAGATTTATCCTCCAAGTTCCAGCAGCGACTCGTCAGCCACTTCCAGCTCCTCTACAACCACGGTTACGACGTCGACCTCATCCAGTACCTCCACCACGTCCACCACGTCTGCTTCCTCCACCGCCTCGTGTTCAGCCTCCACTAATTCATCAGCTGCTGGCGATTCTTCTGTAGCTGCCAACAACAACGGCAGCTCTGTGTCCTCCTGCCTCAATGCAAGCAGCAACAATACCGGACAAATGATGAACAACGCCAATAATATTTCAGTAAACAATAACCTGAGCTCCTGTATGAACAGCGGCAAAAACGGTGTTGCGGGCACAGGTGTTCTAAGTAGTTGTGCGGGCAACATTACGGCCAGTTTGCTTCCCTCATGTAGCAAGACAAGCGCCTTGTCATGCCAACAGTCTACTGTAGACCCCACTTGTTCCTCCATGCCCATCAACCAGCAACTTATTCAACAGCAGCAGCAGCATGGCATGCACAGCGGCTTGCAAGCACCGATCGCAGGACCGACTATGATGTACAACCCTCCTCAGCCTCCTGCCCTCACTCCCATGCATTCACACGTGCAGCAGCAACAGCAGCAGCATCTCATGCAGGTCATACTGCTTATTAATTAAGAGCATTTCCTCATTATTTTTATTGTCTCTTAGAATGTACCTCCACTTAATGAGATAATTTAACCTGTTATATAGATTTAAAACATTCAGATCCTCCTTATTTTTCTTGGCTATGCATATTGACCTCGACTTGATATATTTACTTATTCTTTAATTTCAAACTCTTAAGATCCTCCAGCTCATAACCATTTCTAATGCTAATTATTTATACTGCAGGGAGTCGTTGGCTCTGGACCTCCTGCCATGCATTCAAAGTACGCAAATTACGGACACGGCGCTAGCAATCCTCCTGGCCTGGTGCGGATCCAGCCAAAGCCTGGGGCAGGGATGCCCCCATCGGGCGGTCTGGGAACGTCACACCCCCATCAGCAGCAGCAACAACAGCAGCACAGCACTCCCCCGCCGTACCATCGCATGCCTCCTCACTTGCCTGCTCCGAATCGTGCGTCCTCCGATGTTGCCCCTTCAGTCTCGTCGTCCACTCATCCCATCGGTTTAGATTCAAGGTCAGTCAATTGTGGCTACATCGCCAAACAGTAAAATTTTGTTAAGATTTTGGGCTCTTTGATTAACTTTACACTATGCGTGTAACAAACAGTTCACAAGGAACCCTAGTCTAACTGAAGCGTCAACCGACTCAATGCCTACAAACTTGACTAATAAACAAATAGCTTTCCAAATTGTGCATCAACTTGAAAAATTGTCATATTCCCAGATTACATCTGTACTGATTTCCATGCAAGTAACTCAAAGCAGCCCTGGCACCTGCTCTGAATGTAATCTCGTCGCAACTTAATCGAATATAAGTGTTCATGAGTTGTTGGAGTGGCAACTAGAAAACATTACAAAGCTTGTGACCTTTGAAGCAAACGATGTCATATACATTATTGCATTAATCTAGAAACTAGATGTTGGAGTCACTGAAATCAGAGTTTGAACCTTTCCGTTGAACTCGATAATTTTTATGTTGTCCCAATCCTTAACGTCCATCTTCAGTTTAAACACAAGTATAAGGAGTGCCTGAACCTTCTGTTTCACAACTCAAGTCGCGTCCATTTACTCAGCATGTCTCATTTTGTGTCTTAATTCTCACTCTGCATTTTTGACTTGCTCGTGTGACCTCACAACGTGAGGCAGAATGCAAGGTGCAAAGTCTTGAATAATGAACCAATGGAAATTTCTGTGGGTTCAGTTGAATATCTTTAGGCATTACTGTACATATACCTTGGTGCTTCAGATCAAAACCTAGATATCTTCCCCAATTTCTCCACGTTTAAAAGAACAGGCGATTGTGAGATTTGAACTTACTTCCATGTGTTAGACCAAAAAGAGAAAACGATAGACGTTCCAGAATCACCTATGACCATTGTTAATCTTATTGCTAACTCATTTGATTATTGAAACCTAGTGAGCTTTTTTATATATTAAGTATAACGTGTATATGTTGTTACATTTGATTTAACGGATTCTAGTATTAATTTTTCTAGGATTAAAGGCTGTTTCTTGGATTAATTTTGATTTTTCATCAACTCAAAATCAATTGCGAATCGAACTTGGATTATTGTGTCACTCGTGTGGTGTTCAACTTTTGTGGGTGCTATAAATTTCAGTAAAATATTTTTTTGACAACTTGCTGCTTTTGCAGCCACCTCAGAGGACTGCTGGCGCCTGGAGGCTCCTACAAGTCCAACTACAACTCCCACCTTGCCCGCATGCAGCAACTGCAGCAGCAGCATCAACAGCAACACCAACAGCAGCAACACCAACAGCAGCAACACCAACATATGCAGCAGCAGCATCATATGCAACAACAACAGCAGCAGCATCAACATCACCAGCAACAACACCATCAGCAGCAGCAGCAGCAACAACAGCAGCAGCGACGATTAAATGCTGCTGCTTACAGCGCCTGCAACCAGGCAGCGGCGGCGGCAGCGGCGGTGATGGCCGCCGCAAGCGCCTCCATGACCCCCGCCATGGCCGCCGCCGCCGCAGCTGGGGCTGCACCAGCGCCCCCCAACTTGAGCCTGATGGCGGGGCAGCTTCCAGGAGCGTCAGGCATCAGCATCACTCCCCTGCCGCCCCCACAACAGCAGCCCAAAGTTACCGCCTTGGTGGGCAGTGTTGGCATTCTCAGGAACTCTCTAACTAAGGACTGCTCGGGATATCCTCAGCAGCTGAGACCTCAACAAGCGTCACCTCACAGCAGCAGCACTACGCACGGTCCTGCAGTTCCACATCAACAACAACCTCAGCAACAACTGCAACAACAACAGCAGCAGCAACAGTATGGCGTTAACGTCAAGAAAGAGCGCAGCAGTCCCTCCCCTTCGTCGTGGCACACGCCCCACGCGCCTGACGTGAAGCCCATGGTCTCCATATCATCGCAAGCATTCGACAACTCCTTCAAGATTATGCTCACCTCGAACAAGACGGCCCCGCTCGTCCCCAGCGCCCCGACCAGTCAGCCTGGGGCGGGGGGAGTCTCTTCCTCATCGGCACAGTCCAACCTGCCTTCTCTCACTAAACTCTTCAGACAAATCCTGCCTAAAGTGCCCGCCGACCTCAAAGACTCCAGCGCCGTGAGTTCCTCTCTAGCAATTTGAATGCAAATACTATCTTCTATGTTCCAGTTTCATTAGTGTTGGTGTTTCTGATCTATATGAATTGAAGGTTCAGCGGCATCAGTGTTGAAGATGAAGTTTCATCAGTGTTGCTACTTCAATTGCATCCGTGTTGATGCTTCCGCTTTTTCAATGCTGCTGTTTTAGTTATATCTGTGTTGATGCTTCAGTTTCATTAGTATTGATGATTCAATTCCATCTGTATTGATGCTTCACTCTCGTCAGTGTTGATCATTCATTTCCATCAGTTTTGGTGCTTCAGTGTAATGGATTCATTCATTTCCATCAGTTTTGGTGCTTCAGTGTTTTGCAGTTTCATTTTCATCAGTGTTTATGTTCCAGGTTCATCAGTATTCTCATTTCAACACTTAAGCTCAGCAACTCTTGTCCTATGTGTTTTAGCATAATCTTGATTTTGGCACTTTACGTTGGCCTCAAATAATGAAGTTTCAGCTGGTATGTTCTATAATATTCTTATATAATATTTATGTTGCCAGAGCGAAGGCAAGAGCGGCGGCGAGAGCTCTTCGAACGCCTTCCCTTCCTTCAGCAGCCTCACCGAGGGCGGCTCAGCCTCGACATCGACTTCTAAGAGCAGGTGCCTTGTAACGAACTTTGCATCCGTTCTGTTTTTTCATAACGTGTGGCTTATTTATTCCTAAGACAGTTCCTATTCTACTAACATTTTGATATTCAAGATCTGGAGTTGTCTACAAGTGAACGTTCCCACGACAAAGTTTCCGAAATTCAATACAAGAGTGAAATTTTCATGAATTACTTGAATCATCGTCCAACAATCTATTATCTTGTAAGACTGCTTTACTGGCCTGTCATAAAGTATTTCAGCGGCTTCAATATATACAATTTAAAGCCTTCTTTTAAAAGCTGAGGGAGTGCTGGAACTCGTTCTTTAATTTTATTTAAAACAAATTAAATCAATCAGGGCCAATTATAAATAACAATATTATTTCCATTAAAAGGACTTAGAAATTGAAGAAATTTCTCATACTACCGACATTTTTTCCACTCGGCACTAATGAAAACTTGCAAGCACTTCATCTGCAAGTCAGTTTTCATTGCTCCTCATTCCCGCTTGGTCGTATATTTTTGCCCAGAAAACAAGAGGCTCATTTCCTTAGAAGCACAATAGTGTTTCAGAGGCGTTGACTTCGAATATTGTAGATGAAATTATTATTGTTTTATTTATTGTGTTAATAATGTGCAGGACGACGCCGGACAGTAACGCGGCTGACAGCTCATGTAGTCCTTCAGCCATCTTCGGGGACAAGAGCAGCGCTAGTTCTGTTGACAGCGCTCCTTCACTAGCAGGTTCTTAATATTTACCATCACTAGTGTTGTTTATTATTAAATTACTAGTGTTGTTTCTTATAATAAATTACTAGTGTTGTTTCTTATTATATTACTAGTGATGTTTCTTATATTAAATTACTAATGATGTTTCTTATTAAATTACTAGTGTTGTTTATTATCAATTATTAGTGATGTTTCTTATAATAAATTACTAGTGGTGTTTTCTTATATTAAATTACTAGTGCTTATTAAATTATTATTAATTATAATTAAAATTAAATTATTTATTGAGAAAGTAGTCAACCTTAGGAGATATCAAGTCAAAACAGCTTGCCAGACGTAAATACTTCCTTCCCTTGTTGTGCTGATTACTCGTTCATTTAGATAGAAATATTTTTGAATCATTGCCATTTAATACCAACGCTGCTAAGGGCGAGTATTGAAAAAGTTTGTGTCTAGATCGATGACAAGAAACCACGATTGATGAGGAACTTCTTGAAGCTCTGGCATTGTTAAATACATCAACTCTTGATGTTTGTTAAATCATGCACCCAATGCATTGTTCTCATCGATCTTATTAATATTATTATAATATTAAAGTCTCTATTTGCTTCTCTTCTTATTTACTGCTCGTGTATCATTAGAATTTAAGTTACATACTATTTTTTAGATATTTATTTTGTTGAACATTGCTTAATTTTCTTTCAGCTTCAATTTAATTTAATAATTCTAATAATTTAATTCTAGACTGTTTAATTTGGGCTTTCTAATTATTATTTAATATATTGGGCTTTCGTGGTTCCAGCTTCGTATCCTGTGTCTTCATTGTCTCGGGTTCAGTTTGGGGACGAAATATCCCAACTTCAACCCCGAAAATTTAATAAAAATATTAACCTTTTAATTTTGTGCACCAGGGCAATCCATTCTGTCCACGTCGCTTGGCATAACATATTTACCATTTATTAAAGTGTCTCTTCTGCCAAACTCTCTGCACTGGGATCTGGTAGTTCATGCAGTAATCTCATGGCAGATTACGAAGAATATACCTGCTTTACTGCCTCAATCATTCGTTATTGTTATAATAATTCTTGAGTCTCGAGCACGATATTAACATTTTTTTTTTTCATTGCCGTGCACTTGCACGCTCATCAACGCTGGGATTATGTATAACTTTGCTTCTGGAATTTAATACACATTTCAAAACAATTTCTAACAACGCTGCACGTTATTCCAGTGAAACAGAGTTTGCTGCTGCTTGGCCTATTATTTTCTTACTTGGTCTACTACGTTTTGTTGCTCTTACTTTCTTCGCTATTGTGGGGGGCTTCTATATCTCTGATTTTTTAAGTTATCCCTTGAATTAGCTTACTAATTATTAATTTTTACTCTGCATCGAGATTTGATTACTGCGTGGTGTATTTTTTATATACTTGCATTGCTTGATTACAAATGCTTTCGTTTTGCTCAATTAAACTCCTAATCTCTTATACTCTCACATTATTGTAAATTATTATCTAAAATTGTAACTGATTAGCTAACGAAACCCCAATTAATGATTTTCTTTAAATTTAACTAACCTACTTGCAGCGAATTTCAGCTAAACAGATTATTAGACTTGGCTTATGGATTTGATATTGTTTTCCTTCAATGATTGCCTCTCTGATCAATGAGAAAAAAATTCACATTAGTTCGGCATAACCATGTCCACTATATCTTTTTCACTCGGATATTGTTTTATTTTCTTGCCGTCGTTAGCACTTATTTAGTAAACAACATTAACTAATTCTTTCATTGAACAACTTCCGTTAATCAGTCTCATAGAAGTTCCATTTTCCTGTTCTGTCGTAATGTACGAACCTATTTCATGGCTAAATTAAGCATTGCCTGCCCTGGTGTATTTGTGTGGGTTATGATTGGGTGCTCGTCCCGTCCCTGTAGGCCCTCAGGAGCCTGCACCTCCAGGCACAGTCGCCGTCAAAGCCTCGCCCATTACCAGCCCTAACGCCGACCCTGCCAAACTCTTCGCTAGGAGACGTTCAGGTAAACAAGTCTTTGCGACGCTTAGCTTAACCGGTCCTGGGTTGACCTAAGTCCGGCATTGACAAACCAGCACTGGAGACGATAGGCAAAGGTTAGGTTAACCAGTCAATGACATACCTGACTAGGTAAGGCAAACCATCCCTGGTCCCGCTTCAGCTTACGGCCGTAAGGTCCCTCCAGGAAACAAGTTGCCAAGCTTAGTATAGGCGTCTCCCACGACCACGCTAGTGTGGTACCTGTTGTGCTATCCTGCGTCAACCACTTTCGACACGGAGCAGTTACCTGAGCTCAAGCCATTACTCCATGTCCACGCCAATGTCTGCAACTTCTTGCGTGCCAATGTGGCTCAGAAATATCGATAATAATGTGGTCCATAGTTGGAGAGGGTTACTGATGTTGTCCAAAGCTATGGATGTTGATGTGGACCATAGCTGAAGAGATCCCCATATCCGGGGATGTGGTGTGTACCTGGTTTGGTTCATGTTTATTCCTTGTCGGGAGGTGCTTATGTGGCCATAAGCACGTAAGAGACCTATTGATACATTATTGGGTGTTGTCAGTTGACTTAATGACATGACACAACACATTGCTGGGAACTTTGAATCGCTGCAAGGTTAAATACTCCATCGCGTTGCCTCCATCCGAAAGAATGACATTCACTACTCTGTCTTGTCTTGGCTCTCTTGAAGTAACTGTTCAGTGAATATAATATGCAGCGGGTGCTTTTTCTTACATTTCTGCTGTAATATGCTGGTAATTTCGCGTATAATATTAATATAACTAACATTTATATTGCATCGTCGTCTTACTTTGAGAATGTGTAGTTCACGTATGGACTTACTGATTGAAGATTTGACTTGCTTGGGGAAATGTACGAAACTTCATTTGAACTGTTTTAGTTATCAATGGTGCGTACGTATGGTGTTGTATCTTTTTCTTCAGTAGTTTTTGTTATGACTGATATCAATATTACAGCCTTTCTTTTATATCAATATTACAGCCTTACGATGTTGGCTTATGGTCCTGGTTTTTGTTGGTAGACAGTATCGGTCCTCGAAGATACTCTTTGCAAACTTAGATAATTAATCAATGCAGCTAATTCTTCATCAAAATGCTCAGTATAAATTGATCAGTAACCGTGGGAACATTAAAGTCGAACTTAATCTCACAACCCCTCAGAGGGGATTCCTGACGCGTGTCTGTGCGCGTTAGAAGTCCTATGGGATTTCGCGCTCCTAAGAGATTGTTCCTGAGCGCCCCACCGCTGAGCTCGCGGTGTCTGACTGCAGGTCTCAGTTGTGGGGTTGACTTATTATGTAGGTAGGATTCCTTACATTAAGTTATTATGTAGGTAGGATTCCTTACATTTCCCTTCTCTGTCTCTCTCGTGCGGGTGGCCGACGTCCCGTGTAAGCGACCTCTTGTTAGAGTGTCTTCGTTTCTGTTGCTTTTCACCTGTCCCTCCATGTCACTTCGTCTCTTAGAGATGCTAGCGCTGCTTCTTTCGAGCCAGCTTCAGCGGGCTGGACATCTGAGACCTTCCGCCCCTTGTGGGTGATGAACGATTTTTGATTAAAGTAACTTTCAACAATTGAAACCTCCCATCTTGTTGATGATGTTCATCTCGACTTCTGATGCGAGATAGCTAAATAGCTGAAGCGCTAGTAAACATCTGGCCACTAAATTTACTTAATCTCACCCAGGATTGCTGACTATTGAAACGGTCGACTTCTGACTCACTTGAACCAAAAGCGCACAATATCTTGTGAAATCGACTGAAGAATAGTCTGTAAGCGTTCTTTAACGTACGGAATAACGCCCTGGGGCTACCTGACTGTACTGTATCATATTCTATAACCGCCAGTTTTAATGCATTGTCTAAATTTTTTCACCCTCCCGCATTTTCTAATAACTCGCGCTGCTTGGTTAGGTGGCGCACAGCATGTGCCTAATTCGTGGTCTGCTTCATCAATTGGTTATTTGCTGATTATTTGAATTATTGATTCATATCGAAAAATGAATTCCGTATCCAGAGATTTAAAAGGGACTCAGCAGAGAGAATAATGAGAGTATGATTAGATTTGGGGATTTTAAAGGAATATTATATATAGAGAGAGAGACGTTTCCTATCGTCTCATATCTTTTAAAGTTGGGTGAATCGGAGTGATCTACTCCACCAAATTTACGTTACGTTCAGGTTCAAGATACCGGTATTCATTACTTATCGTTTTGTCAGGTAGGCTGCCGAGTGGCATTTGATTTGGCACGTGAATAAGGTTCTCTTTTTTGGAAGCGTTACGGCAAAGAAAATACAAAGAGAGGGTT